CGCATAAAATACTTGATAGAGGAAATGGGACCTTTTTACATTGTTTGTATCCCTTCTGATCTTGGTAGCGCTCAGGATACACCTGGTTGACTAATAACGTTTTATTATATGGCCACCCCAGCTTGACGTTATAAATATGAAAATCACATTCCATTGACTCACATTTATGCTCCGAACCACTTAAAGTGTAACATATTTATTATTCACTTATCCATAGATTTCTTTTAATAAAAAGTGCAAGTTTTCAATACTGTTCATCACAGAAATCGCGTCAAGATTGAGAAAATACTATATAAATCCGAAAATACACGACAGGAGATTGTGACCCCAATTACATTTCCAAATTGCCAATTCCGAATGCTAGCAATTTTGGGTCCGAATTCAAAAAAGAAGTTGAAGTCGATTTTCTTAAAGAAAAACGCAACAAATTTGGAAGATACCTCAATATTTCTAGAATTTACTACTTTTACTCGAGCGTTTTTATTTTATACTTCTGTTTTGTAAAGAAAGCAACGACGCTCAATATATCTCAAAATCTCGCATACGATTTTAATTTTTTCCTGATTCTTCAGCGTATTGTTCGTTACTTTATTGTTTTCGCGGGCGGTCCAGAAGTGTGTGTACCAATATGGAAGTAAGTAATTTTGCCTCCTTTACATCAAGTTGTGTAAAGGGACTGAAACCAATGGGCTGGGGTTCACTTGGCTAACACAGACAGCCATGAACTCGTAATAGAACTAAAATAGGGATTTATGGCCTAACCTGGTACACACACTACGGGAGTACCTTTTCGCGACTGTGCGCGCATCAATTGTACAGCAGAAGCCAAATGTTCATTTATCTCGATTTATCATTACCATCACATATCTCTCTCGTTCCATGCTTAATACAGGACATATTCCTAACATGCGAAATGTAGAAAGAATAATATACCCAACGCGACTCTCCGAGTAAATGAATAGGGCGTTATGAATATACCGGGAGGAGCAGATATCTGGTTACATTTCGTTGCTACAGTGGTATCGAAGCGTGCTGCCGTTACCGGAGAAACACAAAAGAAAAATGAAGATCTCATTATTTTCCTAAGTGGTTCTTGAATAGGTTTAATCATGTTTATTTTTCAATAATGAGTACTAAAATCTTCAAAGAATTGTCTACTAGCCACACAGACCTCTTGTCTGGCAAGCTGGTAACCGACATGGTACAACGCTTAAATTGTTGCGCAAACAATGAAAAACCAAAATGTGTATTGTGATTCACAATTTAAGGAATTTACAAAATATAGAGCTTAGCAGGTGGCAGCGTGCCTACGTTGAAGTATTTTTACTTGTACATTATGTGTTTTTATGATGTTTCGGATGTAAAAGCGTAAGGTTGAGTGTTTAGTAAACCCAGAGATTTGAAAACCACACCACCTGCGTAGTATTATGCCGTAATTAAAAAAAAATAAACGAACGAGAATTGACTTTTTTTTATATTTTTTATCCAATCTGTTTGTTTGGTAAGCGATTCGGTTCACCAGTGGTTCCACTTAGAATTTTCACTGGTTATTCTGTGTATTTAGTGTTAGTGCATTTGTTACATAGGGGCAGAGTAATCAAATAAAACTGCCTAAGCTACTTATTTATTATCCTCACTTTGCACACATGTAGACTATTAGTAAAAGGATTATACACATCTATATTTTAGGATCGCCAACCTCATATTTTTCTAAAAGAATAAATCAAATACCGGTATTATAATTTTGTTACACGTAACGTAAGTCTATGGTTGCTGCATTAGATTGATAAGTATAAGTTTTTATGAATGGTTCAAAGTGTCTATTTTGGCTTAATAACCAAGCATACGTGGAGCATATATTTTAAAGTGACAATATGACCTTGCGCTGGCTATCATAAGTATTTCAGGAAGCTACTCCTTTTTAGTGTAATACGATACTCGAATGAAAGTTATGCTTACGGCTTGCGGTATGTTCTAGGATAAAAAAGGACTACGTCCAAATGAAATTATTCGAGTCTCTTGAAGTCCACACTCAGCAGTAATATGTGCTCGCGATGGCCTAGCCCTAGTGCACTGGTCGGCAACTTTTAGCTTTGAAAGAACCATTTGGCACCCTTTTCGTCAAACTCAAACCTACTCGGAGCCGCAACATGTACTCAGTGACCATTAAAACTCTTGGAAAATCATTTATGAAGCAATATTCTTCTTACTAAGAAAAAGCCAAATAAATTACGAGTGATGCGATAATTCAGTTTACGACGAAATTTGAAGAATTTGATAAATGAAAAAAAAGCTTGTTTTGACAATTTGAATCACCTTAATGCCACCTATTTTTACCGCTCTCGGCTTATACATGCTGTGATGTGTAATTAGTGAGTAGTAATAAACTTAATGCCCCCCGACTTTCATGGAATGTTCATTTTCGCATCTTGACTTCAGGCAAGACTTCGAACATGCAACCCTGGTGCGTAATAAGCTACTTTTTGATGCCACGCTCATTCACGTTTCTTGCTCCAAATTAGGCCCTGAACATTCCATGAAAGTCGGGGGGCATTAAGTTTATTACTACTCACTAATTACACATCACAGCATGTAATTTGGAGCAAGAAACGTGAATGAGCGTGGCATCAAAAAGTAGCTTATTACGCACCAGGGTTGCATGTTCGAAGTCTTGCCTGAAGTCAAGATGCGAAAATGCCGAATAAAAAATATAGGCTTTGCGACTCAAATACGGAAATGCCATATTTTTAACTGTTTATGATATGTTGTTTAATACTTTTATAACTTAGCTCTGGGATCCCGTGATGATTGCACAGGAGGTCCGCAACAGTATGTTCCCCAGCTTTTCATTGTAGGGGGGGGGGTCGAAATTTAGGGTCGGTTAATAATTTTCTATACAGGGAGTCCTCGGGTTATGATGGTTGCGACTTACGCTGTTTCGAGGTTACGAACGCACTTCCAACAAAAATAAAATAGAATTCTGTACTATAATATCAAAGCCCTTAAACTGGATAATTGGGTGACTCATTTACATCGTACTTTTTGCATTATTTGTACATTTTATTACTGTACCATACTTTACAATACAGTACGATATGTATAGAGTAATTTATGTACTATACAGTATACTGTTACGACTTACACTAAAATTCGGGTTACACTGCTTCTCAAGAACGGAACAACGTCGTAAGTCGAGGACTCCCTGTATTTTATATAATTAAATTTAATTATACTTGAGTTAGGAATTACAGTGTAGTATCACACCTGTAATTTTAGGAGGGGTGTTCACCCCCTATATGGGGTGTAGGGAAATCATTGATCCGCAACAATATGTAAAGAGCCTGATCGATCTGTAATGATTGATTTCACTCAAAAAGCCATTGCATATTTTTGGTTGCACGTTGCGGACGAATATCCATTGCTGTCAAAAAATGCAATTAAAATTTGATTGACTTTTGCAACAACCTACATGGCAGCACTTCAGCGCATACTAATATGATGACAAAATACTGGTCGAGACTTACCAGACTTACCGTAGAGTCCAATCTACGAGTTTGCTTGACAAAATCGCTCCGAGAATAGATAAATTGTGCGTCAAAACTAAGATTAACAAATAGGGCTCCGCGGCCCAGAAAGTTTGGGAAATTCTGAATTAGCTGATTAACAGAATGAAAGGGGACAGATCAGAAAATTAGTGGTGTGACAATGGCAGGACAGCACCGAATAATCTTAACCTATCCAAAGAAGTACACTTTAAGTTCAGTTGGTAATATTACGCTAAATTAACAGTCAGGTACACTTCGAAGTTTACTTTCTATGCGTTTACACGCCTGTCATACTCAACGGAGCTCACTACAGTCACTGATATGCGAAGAGGAATAATGAAACTGAAAACAGTGTTACACATAAATGCAGGCCGACGACGTAAAAATGTTTAAATTCGCGATTTTGTAAGGACCACCATGTTTTTGTCCAGCATTACCTATCCGATTTATAAAACCCTGGGTGAGGTGGCTCTGCACAAGCACCTCATTGATATGTAAATAGCTACGATAATGGAACGGCCGTTCAGCAGTAACTACACGATTCACAGCGCTCAAATGTTGAGGACGGCTCGGTTTTGAACCCTCGATAAGGGATAGCTTACGGATTACGCCAGGGGTCTGCAACCTTTTGTCGCTCGCGGGCCAAAATTAGGGGTTGCAAGTCATTGGCGGGCCGGACAAATTTTGGGAAAGTTGGAAACCGAACGGATGATACTGTTTAAAATAAAAACCAAGCAGTGAAACATCTCTCGAATAGAATATAGATTTATTTCCTCATTGCATTGTATCTCAACAAATCACAACTTTTCTACGTTTTGTTGCCATTTGTCTAATTATAATTAAATTATAGGCTCATTAAACGAGGAACTGTGAATTTTATACTTGTTAGATTATGATATAACTTAGTCTACATGTGTCTCACAATAAATTCTGTTACGTATAGAATATAATCGTCAAAATAGCTGTTTTGTCACTATAATTCAGTGAACGGTCGCGGGACGGATCCGGCGTAGGCGTCGTATAGATTGCCGACCTCTGGTTTACGCTATAAAATAGTAAGATTACTGTATATTGGTCGTATATTATAGAAATTCTCCAAGCGATGTTTTCACTTTTTCACATTGTATATTCAATTTATAACACGCAAATGAGGAGGTCGGCACGGGTTTTGAACCTGAAATATGGGATATTTCACGCTACATATGTGTATTACTGTTTAGAAATTCACCAAGAGTTTCCACGCGGAATAAAACTCAGCGCAAGCAGCCATCGATACGCAAAGAGCTACTAAAATCTTCTCGTTTAGCATTACGTACCCAGTTTATAACACCCTAATGAGGATGTCGATAAGGGGTTTAATTCCGAAACATGGGATATTTTACCAAATAAAATTGTAAAATTACTGTAAAATTTAACTTATTTTTTGTTTTATATGTTTCTATTTGTATAAAACCTAGATCAGTGACCAAATTAAAATGAAATGAAAAAAACTCCAATGAAATAAGAATTGTAACAAGCACAAGAAGTGAAAAAACTGCAGAGTTGCGATAGAATATACAAGTAATCATAAAGCACAATGGTCGAAATCCAGGGTGAGTAAACTAATACATATACTGAAAAAAAAAATAAAAATTCTTTGTTGTAAATATTTGATAGATATTAAATTGGTGTCGTATTTGTCACCGCGCAATTATACAATAAAATAATTAATTGCAGGGTTTTGCAACCTTTATACAGGAGGTCAGATACATATATCTGGATGAAACCGCGGGCCGCACTTTTATTATACATAGGCTTTGTAGTAGATGCAAACACAAAAATTTTGGTTATTGATCCTCTGACATGCGTTGTTCGCTTCGTACAAGTTTGAGGGGAAAGTGAAGGGCATTGGCACTACTCCGCGGGCCGCACTATTTTTTCCTTGTGGGCGCAGGTTGCACACCCCTCATTTATTGCCACAGCAGCTATTGTCAGCCTGATGGTGGCCCGTTCGTCGCTTAGTGATCAATCTCCTATATTTCTGAGTGCATGACCTTGCCTTAAACAATTTCCTTATAAAAATAAATAGTTTTAGGCGAGGCAAGAAGTCGGAGAATTGATATACCGTGTTTCCCCGGGTCGGCTTATTATTCAATTTGGACCATAAAAAACTTTGGGGCGTCTCCCCGTCATGTCAGTTTAAATGAATCATCGTTATCGCGCTGTGAATCTGGAATATTAACGCTGTGATTATCATCTCCGAAGTTGCCGCATTTGTGTGTGCATCATGAGCGCCGGGCTATTGCCGATATCATCATACGTGCAATTGCATTTTGTGAAAATCGCCGAATGTTTTCCGTCAGCGTGACAGGTTATTTAGGTCGTAAACATCTTTCTCCCTAAATCGAGAATTTTCCTCGACTTATGTTTAGTATCACGAGGACGATGATAATTAGTATTCGACTCGTAATTTACAGAATAAAATTATGTTCCACACTCCGGTGAAATGACACCAGTTCTTGCCCTCCGATGTAATAAAATATACACGGCAAAGACTTTATTGTGCAATATGTTTTAGATCTCGACTCTGACTCCACTTTTAGAATTTTGCAATTTCGACTACGAGAGAAACTACAACTGTTAGTCTTTCAAAAAGTAAACCCCGACTCGGATTGACGTCGAAAATTGTCGTCCATGGCTTTATAAATAAAAAAAAAAGTAAAAGGAAACAAGTCTTGATAGGACATATTTAATGTTTAATTTTCTCTTTTTTAACTTAATTTCAATTGGAATACAGTCGGTAGCCGATACCGAAAAAAGTACCGATGTTGCCGAGACCGATACCCGATACATTGACGTCGATCACTTGCAACAAACAAAAAATACGTGAATAAGAAATAGGTCATGATAGAACACACTTATTGAGTGTCTTTTTTTACTTAATCTGAATTGAAAGACAGTCGAACGATAGAAGAGCTTTTATGATTAGCATCGTTATATTATGTTTGTGTGTTAGCAAGGCTGTTTGTCTATGGCTTTGCTCAGAGTAAATATGCATCTGAAAAAATGCTGTCAATTTTCGTTTAAGTGGCTCGGCGGAGTGGCGCATCGTGCTAAGTGTTAGGAATACGCTCTGCGTGGGTTCGCAGGTTCAAATCTTATGCGGGGATAATATTGGGCGAGAGGATTGTTGGACTCCACGCCACCGTAGGGTGATTAACGTAACAGCTGGTCGGTTACGGCTTTCGCCACAATCAAGTACATTCTTCTGAAAACTAATAATTGGCTAACTAGTCCCATACCCGACATGGACGCCATATAATTTAGCCGTCCTATCGGCTTTCATCTCTCCGCGTTAAATATGTAAATCCTATCCGAAGTGAAACCTGTAGTTCCGCGCGTTTCTTCTGAGACCCATTCGCACCAAGGCTTTGTCCTGTCGAGTAATAAATTGCATGACTTAGTTGTATGACGAGAAGTTATTCATAAACAATTTTTCCTGAAATCATTCGAATAATCTGTTGTAATACTAGATTTGCACCGCTCACAAACGTTTTCGTAGTTAATTCGCCGATCACTTCCTATGGGCTCATTTTTTTTCAATATCCAATAGACTATAGAGCTATGCGGAATATCACGTATGGCACCAATAATATGCATTTCTTCTCCTATCAACTTAAAATGAAACAATCTGTCTGAAATTTCATATATATATATATACATTCCCGATATATGCAAAATCAAACGCACGTACTTTATTTATTATTTAGTCCTTTACATTTCTGATTGTTGTAATATTAAAGTCTTTCCGACAGCAGCCTCCGCGAATAAATAAATTCTTATTCATTGTACACCGGTAGTCACTTGCGCATTTACTTCTGAATATAACTGCACAGAGGGACTCGGCGCATAAACTTATCGCCTGTACTTCAATTAAATGGCAATGTATATCTATTACTAATTAGTAATTAGGTGTCTCACCAACCTAATTCAGTTGGCGTCCAAGGTACAGAAAACTAACGTAATATAAATGAATGAGCGGGCAATCAATGTGATTGTTCGCAGCGTTACTTTCGGAAATTATTTTTTTGATACTCCCGTAATTAGTTACCTCCATATTGGTACACACACTTCTGGTGCGCCCTTTTTTCGTCTTGAGTGTGCGGGAAAACCCTGCAAAACGCTTGACACTCTGATACGGACGGGGGTATTAGTAAAAATCCTTAGGATCCTTACCGCCCTTAGACAAGCGATATGTGCCTTAATTGCTTACCGAGATGAGTGTATTTATTTGTCAGGTTTTCGTAATAAATACGATACCGAAAATGTTGCGCGTTTCAATTATAAAAGTCTGTATAGTTGTCAAATGTATATGTACAGATACTTGGTATTTTCGTATGCAAGTTTGCCGAAGCCAGGTAAGAATAGAATAAAAAATGTTATATTATATAAAGGAAATAATAGATATTCAAATGAATAAATTAAAAATCAACTTATTACAATCTGTCCGATATCCACGCTCGTGAATTTTGATTTTGAGAGCGCTTATAAATATCAGAAAGCTAGAATTGTACTTAAATTACTTACTTTCTGTACACAAACTGGGAACATATGAATCGTTTTGCTATATTGTTGTTGTTGCTAGCGAAAAAAAAATCGATTTTCTCCGCAAATGATGGGCCAAACGATATAAATTTTTAGGGCCTAGAAATGGAGGGTGTCGCTAGAAGGCCAATTTTTTATAAAAAAAAAATATGGTAACATCTTTACAAATAAACAAAATATGGGAACACCGATCTGTCGATCATTTCGGCAAACTAGGTTTTATCTCTGTTTTTTTTTTATACAATCGAATACGTTGAAATTTATTATACCTAATAATATTATTTTACATATTTTTCAGTACATTTCATCATGCTTTCGCGACAATTATTCAAAGTTTACTGAAATACAGCAACCTCGAATAAATGTATTATTGAAAATGACATTTGTATATGGAACTAAATTATTATCCTTCACTTGCGTTCAGTAGCGTGTCAGAGGGGGGCAAATGGGAGGGTTTGTTGCTTAGTTTGATGATTTCAATTATAATATTACAACAGTTTACTCTCACTTGGTCTTTAATTTATTTATTCTAATGTATAACAACATCTATAATTTGTTTATCCCCTAAATCAGGGGATTCTCAAACTTTTGGTGTTACGGAGCCCCTGAACAGGATGACTATTATTCACGGATCCCCACAATAAATTTTAAAATTGTTACTTACCAATTAATATTCCTTAGTTAGTTAAAATTACTTTACTCAATTTCAATGCTAAACTTTTTTAATAGGAATAATACAAGCCATGAATAAATCTAAGTTTCACAGATAAATTATATATTATGGCTGTAAATTTGACACTTGACAAACATATTAATAAATTCGAGGTCGAACCTCCCTTCTGATATTTTTGAAAACTGAAAAATCGATAATAACGTTCGCGATCGCATTTTGATAAAATCGTCGATTATTTTCGTCAGTTTGATATGTTTTTTAGTAAACATTTGCACGTCGGTGTCTCCTTTAATCACAAAATTTTTTTCGGCATATGCATAAATTGTTCCACGAAGCAGACAATATTTGCTTTTTGTTTTCGTGTGGAATTATAAGTTTAGTGTGAAAAACAAGTTAGTATATTATATATCATCGGCGACGATATGCTAAGAATATTTAATAGAGGGGTGTATTCGCAACCCAAATTTCTCGAATGAAAAGCGGCATTATATAATAATAAAACTAAAACTTAAAACAGCTAACACCATAAGTTTTGTTTTAGCAGACTCGTGACAGATTGAAAAAGCTTTTCAAGACAATGTTAATAACAAAATTTGGTGTTATTTTAGGTCTTCTTTGGGAATTATACGGTAGTAACAGAAATCGAAACATAGTCAATTGTGCGCGCGATATAGGTTACTTTTATCCATTCTGAAACTACCGACTGAGCCGCATGCGACTTTTTCTCGATATGTGACGATATATAAGATAATTATTGTGAAGTATATCAATCAATTTTTTTTATTGCAATAAAATAATTTTAATCGTCCGTATTTTGTCCAGATCTTGTGATTTTCCAAAAGGGTGATATATATCTTTGAAAGAATCTGAGTGGCAGACATGCGATAGGGCGGAGTCAGCGTTATAGGAACGGCTCACATTTGTCGAAATCTCTGAATTGCTGAAATCTGTTATTTTAGAATAATAATCTTTAATTTTAGTAATCGTAATAGTAATATAGACGCAAAAACGAGCAGCGATGAACACAATTAAATTATCGTGCTCGCGTCGGCAATAGATTGATATTTTACGCGACAGAAAACTCGTTATCTGCTGAAAAAGTCTTTTTTTTTAAACGAGTGGCCTAATCGCGAAGAATGTTGCGCGAGAATTTCCGATTCCAAATTTTAAACCTCACTCCCTTTTAAAATCGCTCCTACTTATAGATAATGTCATATTTGAATTACCGCCTTGCGATATTTCGACGCTACTGTTGTCACATTTTATTAATGCCGTTATTGCGTCTTTGGACAGTTACAAAATTAGCCAGGTAATCGAATAGCCGGCGGAGCCCTCAGGTTTTTCTCACGGAGCCCTGGGGCTCCGTACGGAGCACTTTGAGAACCTATGCCCTAAATAATTTTCGAAGTGGGGTATAAGTGACAGCATTATATGAAACTCGACCCGGGCAGCAGGAAAGTTTGACACGCCACTGCTTGCGCTGCAATCACGACCATCATATTACTCTCGTACATGTCATTTAAAAAAAATTTTTTTGGTAAGAAATATTGATTTACCACATCAGTCATAGCAATATAAACGGCCCTCCAGAAGTGTGTGAACCAAGATGGCGAACACCTTAACGTATTATGTGTACCAAGTTATGGTTAGGCCATAATTTCAGGCACTAATACTACGGGAGTCACTTAGCTAGTCCCCGAACTCGTGATAGAACTAAAATAAGGAAAATTGAAATAAAATTATGGCTCAACCCTAACCTGGTACACATACTACGTTCCGGTGTCCGCCATCTTGGTTCACATACTTCGAGAGTACCGCTTTTTTAAAACTTTATCTTGGTAGGAAATATTAATTTGCCACATCAGTCATAGCGGTAAAAACTGCCTATGAGTGAAAATTAAGATCATTTCTCGATCAAAACCCAAATGTGTCATTTATGGTAGGAAACATGGGCGGTAATTGGAAGTCTCCGCCATTTAAAGTTAAAAGTACTTTAGATCCCCTTTATCGACGCTCCGGAAGTATTCGTACCAAGATGACGCACAACCAGAACAACCCTGACATGGTACACATACTCTGTTCAGGTTGTGCGACATCTTGGTACGAATACTTCGAGAGCATCTAGGAAAGAGAGAGAGAGAGAGATTCATTGCCACAAAACAATAAATCTATTTCTCTTTTTCTAGATGTGCAAACAATGGACAGGACAAGGTACTTTCATTTTTATCGGAGCTCCTCGCCGTCGTTGGGTGGTTCACGTAACCGCTGGTCGGTTACGGCTTCCTCCACCACCAAGTCCATGCTTCCGAAAACAAACAATACAGTAAAACTATTCCAATACCCGACTTGGAATGGTAACCGGACGAGAGGCTGTGGTTCACCATATGATTAAGCCGTCTTATCGGCTTTCCTCTCCCCCGGGATATATATGTAAATCCTATCCTATCCTATTGCTTGTTGTGCTCTGGGTAACTCTTGCAGCATTGACCTGTTTTATAAAATTAATAAAGACTGATTAAAAACATTTTCGGTGGTCCGCACATTAAGTTAGCGATAGCAATTTTATTGTCATCGCCACAGCGATTGTTTAAATGCGGAGGTTTAGAGGTTCGAATTCCAGCATGAAGACAGGAAGAGGGATAAAATACAGGTTCTCGTGTAGTTTCGTACCTAATGTACTTCTAGTGGGCGTAGCATAACAATTTTTTGATATGTCAATCCTAACCCCCATCTGACTACACCATCTAAAAACACTACGACATCACAATCACGTTATAGAGCTTGCCAAATATACGCACGATCGACCGAAATGGCATTGGCGCCGACGATAAGGAACTGACTGACGTTATCGATCTTTCTACTATTGGAATCATTGCGACGAGAAAACGAGAGAAATAACTGTTCGATTTCGGGTGCTCGTTGGCGCGTCTTGGATGGCAGTTCGTGTAGTTTGAAGGGCCCTATTACATCACTGTGATGTCGTAATGACGTAATTTTTGGATGGTGTAGTCAGATGGGGCTTAGGATTGATACGTGAAAAAATTGTCATGCTACGCCCACTAGAAGTATGTTAGGTACGAAACTACATGAGACCCTAAAATACAATATATGTACAAAATTATTGCTGGACACTTTGCCCTTGCAGTATTGTTGAGGGAAGCAGCCCTGCTTGCTTCGAAAAGTCCCTCCATATACAGTTATATCAGAATATATCATGTTTCCCCAAAAATAAGACAGGGTCTTATTCTTATTCCAATTTATTTTCATTTATCAAAAACAAAATGACAAAGTAGAAAATTGCTTTTCAAATATACAAAGTATGAAAACGACCATTTACTTTTAAATACCAGGTTTTTATTTAAAAAAAGCTGAACAGAGATTATTCAAAAATGACCAAATAATCATCCTCTGACATGTATTGCAAGTCACTAGATTCATAATTTCGGCGCTGTCGACTACTACTAGGTCTTATTTTAAGGTGAGGGCCTATATTAAAATCATCTTTGAAAATCAAGCTAGGTCCTATTTTCAGGTTAAGTCTTATCACTCTTATTTTTGGGGAAACACCGTAATGTAGCTTTTTATGTACCATCCGGTGCCTTTTTTGAGTTGATACTTCGAGTAAAGCAGAATTACTTTATGGTCTCATTTTTTCTTTAGCACCTGTTTCCTATGAATCATCACATGCACAAGAGAGAAAACGGTGAGTGTTTTAAGCATCAATTCAACGAGTTCTTTACTTTCCAATATGTCAGTAGGAAATACTGATACTTGACAAGAATAAACCAAGGGTGCGCAATTCAAATTGCTGCATTCATGTGGCAGTAACCCATTGTGTTTTTGTCATGCTGCGCATCATGCTCAGCGTTAGAAATACGCATGCCACTGCACCTTTGATTACCCCGTGTGAGTTCGCAGGTTCGAATCATATTCAGGGATAATTATGTACGAAAGGATTGCTGGGCTCCTCCTCCATCAAGTCCATACTTCCAAAACAAATAACTGGCTAACTCTAATCCCATACCCGACATGAACTGGCAACCGGACGAGAGGCCGTGGTTCACCATATGATTTAGCCGTTGGCTGTCTTCTCCCACTGGATAAATATAGAATTCCTATCCTAGTGACCCAACTATTTTATATAATAGGCGACTTTTTAACTTCCGCCCTAGCTATCCAATTATGTGTGGCAATAGCAATCACACCAGTTTCTACAACCTCAATAACCAGCCCCCATGCAATTTATTGTGAGACAAAGTTTAGATCAGGATTGTGCAATACTGCAACAGGCTGAAATGACTGAGCAACTATTTCCATATCGAACATGATATGGTAATCAGACAATTTTTTCATGGGTGCCACTGCTCGATAACCAAATTTGAATTCTCGCGGCTTCCTTCCCCCTGAAATGCCTTTTAGTTATTCATTGCAATTTGTATATCAAGTGTGCATTTAGTATGGTGAGAAAATAAACTACTGATTACTGCCCTATGGTTATTTCTAGTGAGGCTTAGTGTAATCAGCCAAATCGACCTTGTTTTTTAAAGCTCAGCATGGTTTTGTGAAACAAGAGAGCTATGCTCAAATATATGGACACGTAGCGCCACCCAGTGGGAATAATTTTGATGACGTCATAGCGAAAAAAAAAGTAATAGCCTATTGGAGAAAAATTTTATCTTTAACCACTGAAAATTTCAAAGCAATTGGTCCAGTATTCGAAGAGAAAAGCGATTTTTTAAAAATGGAGACGGATGCAAATAACAATAACAACAAAATTTTGAAACGATCGTTATGGCCACTAAACGTGTCCAATAAGGGGGTATTGTTGTGTAGTTTCGTCGTAGTGATGTAATTTTTGGATGACGCAGTTAGGTAGGGTTTAGGATTGACATATGCAAAAATTGTTATGCTACGCCCACTAAAAGTACTTGAGGTACGAAAATACACTAGACTCAAATAAGGGAACCTGTTGTTAGTGAGTACCATACAAAAGAGAAGATTTTTGAAATTTGAATACCATCACTGGTTATGCCATATTGTTATCTTTTTCCTCCTACCTCCCCTGAGTGATAAATATAAAAATCTAATCTAAAACATATTTTTTACACTAACAGGAACAGTAAACAGCAATATTCATCTGGATATTCTCTTCAAAGAATTCTCGCTTTATCACGACCAAAAGAAAGCAAACAAATATGGCTGACAAGTTTTGGGTAAGAATTTTTTTTTTTAAATATCATTTTCATATAAACACAGAGAAATTACTTTAATACAATAACTATAATAATTCGACACTCCAGAAGTATGTGTATCAATATGGAGGTAACTAATTTTGTTCGTCTGTTTTACATCAACTTGTGTGAAGGGACTGAAACCTATGGGCCCCAGAAGTGTGTGTGCCAATATGGACGTAACTAATTTTGTTAGGCTACTCTACATCAAGTTGTGTGGACGAAAGCCTTTAGGCAGGGGGTATATTCACTTGGTTAACACAGAAATTCCCCGAACACACCACAGGAGAGTAGCCTCCACATGACTATTCAAAATTAAGGAATGTAAATATCTAAAATAAAGCGGTCAAGATTAAAACTAGCAAATGTTTTTAATTTTAATTAGCTTTACGGCCTCTTTAAAAATTTGTCTATGCCCCACTGTTTCATAACCACTAGTGTAGTGTATAATTCTCTCTCTCTTTCAGTCCGAACTTGCGATGGGGTCATCAAGATATGATGTGGCCTTTACCAAAAGCAGCTCTTCACAAACGACCAACGCAAAGGCTGATGGAACTCACAAAACCGAAAAGAAATTTCCAGCTCAACACATTAAAAGTAAGTACCGTATTTTTTGTCTGATAAGTGGATTTTTCGGGATGTGCTAATTGGGTGACGATCTATTTTTATTTTTATTATTTGGGGGTCGAGATATTATTAGCATCGTACCAGAAAATACAGAAAGAGGAGGATAATAACATACTTCCCCCAACAGTTTTCATGGGCAGCGTGGCATATTTTTTTTTTGAGTTGATTTATTATTAACATAGTACCAATAAATACAGAAACAGGTCAGTTATCATGTATCGTCATTTTCACACTGTGAATATGGGATATCTTCGCTGTAATTATTATAAATTGTTGTTGCTACATTTGTGTGTGTATCACGAGAAAAAGGCAATTACCGGTACAATGCGCTTTGGTTTTGGTATGTGTACTGTAAACACGCATGAGAGAGAATTTATGCGTAACCCATAATAAAATGTGATAGGTATAAACAATAAAAATGAAGAGCTCATATTTTGGAACATTTTGTATATTTTAGTTGTAATCGCTACAAATTATTGATGTTTACAAATCGTTCAGACAAATTTCAAATTTTCCAATCTACCTTATTCCAACTCTATTCTTGTAGAAGTCGTTTTCAGTGTTTTTGGTAGAATTTAAAATTTCCAATCAGACACACAGATACTAATTTAACAATACACTTTGACTCTAGTTTTAAATTTGAAAGTAAAAATCTAATTTCATAGAACTGTTCAGATGAGTGACTAAGGATTATGATCAGTAGAACTCATTTTAATTCAAATTCACAAAGTACTTTCATACGATCATTGCATTGTTGTCTGTGAACACCAATTTCACCATGTCTTAATATTCCGCAGTTAAACGTAGATTCAGTTTCCTGCCAGGTATTCCATATATTGCTATCTACTGCAGCCCCATCTAACCATTTGAAATCTCCTTCGATAAGATTTATTCCAATCCAGTAATAGTTTTGGGGAGCTATTAGTTTTTCGTTATTTTTCACGAGACTTAGGATAGATGACTTTTTCAGGCCCTTGTGAGCTAATTCAGCATTCCTTTCCTCACAATATATTTTCCCTTCATTCCAAGTCATGGAGAAAGAGCTCGAAAAATATGAGAATCTTTCATTTACTTCTACCCAAGGGAGAGACGCAAACTTCAGCATTTTGGCTTCTAAATTTGCCAAATATTCTTGTGAAACTTCACCTTTAGGACCTGGATGTCCAACCATTCCTGCATTTCCTTTTGGCCCTGAAATCAAATGTATGTTTAAAAGTTTCGAACTTTTCACCAATAATAACGAGTTTGATTTTTCTATCACCAATTTTTTGTGAAAAGAGGGGGAAGAGTATTAAAATAGGCTGCGCTTGACGAACCACTGCAGTAGGCAATCTCACTCAGAATTTCTATGTTAACTGATTATTGAATATTAATTAAGTCACTTTCACAGAATAAGATAATTATGTGTGATGGAATTGCTGAACTTCTCACCAATGCAGCGTGATTCATATAACACCTGGTCGTTTACGGCTTCCTTCACCATCAAGCCTACTAATCCCATCCCTGACATGGACTGGTAACCTAACACGAGGCCCTGGTTCGCCATATGATCAAGACGACTCATTGACTTTCTTCTTCCCCACGATAAATACAAAAAAATTCTAATTATTGCTTACCTATGATTCCTTGTTCGCCCTTTTCACCTCGCTGTCCCTGTGTTCCTTTCTCTCCTGTACTTCCGGGGATTCCCTTTTTCCAGGTCTTCCTTGTATTCCTTGTGCGTTTTCCAGCCAGTCTAATTCTAAATGCATTTTTGATCTCGCTCTATCGTAACTCACAGAGCAAGTTCTATCACATTTGATCTCCCCTATCACAACGCAAAGCAGGAAAAATATGAATCTTGCCTTCATCATTTTTATAGTGTTCATCTTGAAATTATATGTCAGATATGAGCGAAGTCTTGCGTGTTTTATATCTTTTTGTATTGGTTGCTCTATTTTTCACACAGAACACAAATCTTTTACTTTTAATCTGGGTGGATTAAAGGTGTGTCTCACTTGTTTTGCTGAAAATTGTTCAAGGCTTTTTGTATTGGAATATTTGGGTCATGTTTACAGTTCATAGGGTTTTCAAGCTGTTAACATTTTTTGTGAACAACTTGCACTGAATTCTCTTTTTGTCTCATAAAACACTAGTAGGCTATATTATTTCTTTATTTGGTGGTTTGAGGGTGTGTGATGCTCATTGGGCAAATTGTGATCCATGTTTAGTAAACTTTTTTGTTTTTGGAATTTGTGGTCTTTTTATAGGTAATGGGTTTCTAAACCATTTTTCAAGCAATTAACACATTTGTGGATATCGTAGTTAAAGTGGATTCTTTTTTCATCTCCCAGAAAACAAGTATATTACTTTTGTACTGGGTGGTTTTAGGGTGTGTGACACTTATTTTGCAGAGTGTTATCCTTGTTATTACGGTAAATAAGATCTATTGTGTGTGTGGTTTAATTAAGGTTTCCTCTTTAAAATACCATACCCAGGGGTGCAGCCAGTGGAGGGTTACATGGGTCGTATCACCTGCCTCCCATTTAAGAAATATTTTTGATGCAAAATTTCTTCTACAAAAGAGCAACAGCGTCGTTTTATGGTCGCTCATCATGGTTTCGCGACCAAACGATATTATTCTGTGTGTTATCACTGTAGTGCAATTAACACCGCCAGACTTTTTTCGTCTCCGCAATATGTTATCTTTTTTAGTTGGCACTGATAATGGCGCTTACCAAAATTTCAGTTATCTTTTATCAATAAGAAAGTTTTTTTCATTTATTCTATTCTTCACATTTCCACTGATATTTCTCGGACCCCTTGCGGGTCTGCGTACCCCATTTTGCGAAAACCGAACCTATGCGAAATCTTTCATTACAGCCACTGACAATATGAAATAAAATCCAAGCTTATGACAAGTTTATTGTTATCAATAACAAATAGTAAATAAAAGCAGAATTTCACAACTTTAGTAAGACTGTGTGAAATTAGAGTAAAGTTCATCTCTGGATAATAGGAGCAGCAAATTAATGATATTTATAAATTTTTTCAGACAAATTTTCAAATCCAACTTTATTCTTTTAGAATTTGTTGAGTTTTTGGTAGAATTTAAACTCTTCAATCAGACTGACAGAAACTACTATAAAATGCACTTTCAAGTTTTAATGTAAAAGCAAGAATCCAATTTTATAGATCTGTGTAGATGAGTGACTAAGGATTATGATCAGTAGAACTCATTTTAATTCAAATTCACAGAGTACTTTCATACGATAATTGCATTGTTCTCTGTGAACACCATATAGACCATGTTTTAAAATTCCGCAGTTAAACTCCTGCAAGGTATTCCATATATTGCTATCTACTGCAGCCCCATCTAACCATTTGAAATCTCCTTCGATAAGATATATTCCAATCCAGTAGTGGTTAGAGGGAGCTATTAGTTTTTCGTTATTTTGCACAAGACTCAGGATAGATGACTTTTTCAGGCCCTTGTGAGCTAATTTAGCATTCCTTTCTCCACAATATATTTTCCCTTCATCCCAAGTCATGGAGAAATAACTCGAAAAATATGAGAATCTTTCATTTACTTCTACCCAAGGGAGAGACGCAAACTTTAGCATTTTGGCTTCTAAATTTGCCAAATATTCTTGTGAAACTTCACCTTTAGGACCTGGCTGTCCAACCATTCCTGCATTTCCTTTTGGCCCTGAAATCAAATGTATGTTTAAAAGTTTCGAACTTTTCACCAATAATAACGAGTTTGATTTTTCTATCAGCAATTTCTGTGAAGTCCAAGCATCTGACGAAAATATCTGGCTTACTAGTCCCATGCCCATGGACTGGTTATCGCACATGCGGCCATGTTACACCCTATCGCCATCTTATCGACTTTTCTCGCCCCCACGATAAATATGAAAAAATTCTAACTATTTCTTACCTATGATTCCTTGTTCCCCCTTTTCACCTCGCTGTCCCTGTGTTCCTTTCTCTCCTGTAATTCCAGGGATTCCTCTTTTCCCAGGTCTTCCTTGTAGTCCTTGTGCGTTTTCCAGCCAGTCTAATTCTAAATGCATTTTTGATCTGGCTCTATCGTAACTCACAGAGCAAGTACTATCAGATTTGATCTCTGTTATCACAACGCAAATCAGGAAAAATATGAAACTTGCCCTCATCATTTTTATAGTGTTCATTTTGAAATTATATGTCAGATATGAATATGAGCAAAGTTTCGTGCGTTATATCGTTTTGTACTCCTTTGAATTTTTTTTTCTTTTACTGGGAGGTTTTAGGGTGTGTCAAGCTTGTTTTGCTGAAAATTGTTCAAATTTTCAATTTTTGAAGGCTTTGTTTTGAAGTTCGGGTCATGTTTACAGTTCAGGTTTTTTTAAGCAATTAACATATTTGTGAATATCTTAGAATGGATTTTTTTTCATCTCCCAGAACACAAGTATATTTCTTCTGTACTGGGTGTTTTTAGGGTGTGTGACGGACTCACTGTGACCCTTATATTTGCAGAGTGTTATCCCTGTGAAGTAAGGCTTTGTGTTTTCATATATAGGGGCTATGTTTATAGTTTATGAGTTGCTAAATCAATTTTCAAGCAATTAACATATTTGTGAATATCGTACTGTGATTTGGCTCAGAATCTAGGTTTATTCTCTACCAGTTTGCCTATTTTTATGCAAACACATTCTTCATTGTTTCACCATCACTTAGCTAAAATGTCAAAATCTGGCTGTGGTTTAAGTACAGCATGTAGTACATAGTACTACTCATTACTTATCGATTTTAATCGGTAAGTATGTTGATAGGTATTTGTCTGTCTGTATGTATGTCTGTTAGATGCACGCGATATCTCACGAAAGCGAGATTGAATCTGCTCCAGATTTTGCATGTGCATTCATCTTATCTCGGACCAGAAGCCTATTGATTTTGGGCGAATTATGTCGTATAATTAGCGAGTTATTAATCAATTATTGATATAGTGATCTAGATTTTTGTAAAGCGAGAGAATTTTGAGACCCGCCGAGTGTGTGTGTGCGATGCGCAGTGCGCAAGTTACAAGAGCGGATGAATCGAAACTGCAGTTTCTGTTTTGGGGGATCCCCTAACTATCGATCGATAAGTCTTCGGTTTCCAACCGATATTCTCGCATTTGCCTTTTAAAAAGTGTTTAATGAGAATTACAATTTTTACTTCGTTAGATTATGCGGTTGCTTAAAATTGCCCTATGCATAAAACTACATCCCCTTCCAATTACCAATGAATTCTTAGCTAGTGTTATATGCAAGTAGAACTCCCATGTTCAAACAGTTCAAGTATGTTATTATGTGTTCATGAATAAGTACTGTAGTGATAAAAGAAAAGAAAATTCTTTTTTAAGTGAGTGAACACGTACCACTTCTTCTTGGCAAAACCATCCATCTTGTATACATTCTGTACGTTTTAAACCTTATCTAAGGTTTTGTTTGTTCTCCTGATTTCATAATCAGTTTTTATTTTTTTTTACCAATCATTTTATTGTTATGCTGATTATGGAGTCAAAATAAACTTAATATTATATTATTATATTATTATTATATAAAATAATAATAGCCTATCACAGCGAATGTGAAGCAAAATGTCTCCCAAAAACAGCACAATTCTCTCCAAGAAAACAGCAAAATTATTTCCCGGTTGATTCCTTCCTGATTGGGCAACCTTCCACTATGCCATCACACTTAAGATTACTAACAATGTAATCAATTTCCTACCTTTGTTAAAACTAGGGCTAGAGAGCCATGGAACTGTGATATTTTGGTGAAGCTGAAGCCAAGCTTACCATGTTAGATGGAGCCAGAGCTACCAGAAATTTTGGTACTCCCGAAGTATATGAACCAAGATGGTGGACACCGGAGTGTGTATGTGTACCAGGATAGGGTTAGGCAATAATTTCATGTACAAATATTACGAGAGTCACTTGGCTAGTCCCTGAACTCGTAATATAACGTAAAATTATGCCCTAACCTGGTACACATACTATGTTCCAGTGCTTGCCATCTTGATTCACATACTTCGGGAGTACCAAAATTTTAGTGGCTGCATCTCCCAACCATCTGATTATTTTTAACAACTGCATTTGGGCAGATATTTCATGGCAGTGGTCACACCTAAAAACCTTAATGTGAATCGAGCCCAGCTACAACATAGAAAAAATGAATCTTCTGAGCCAGAGCTGGCACCACAGTTTGAATGTACTGCGACTCCAGAACTGGAGCCAGAGCCACTGTGATTTTGAACAAGTTCCCCAGCCCTGGTTAAAACCCATAATTCGTGGAATAGAATCCTGAATCAATAAGTAATACATCAATAACATTTTCAAAATTTTATTACTTTGTACAAATAATCGCTAATAAGTGAGTTTATTTTGACTTTGTAACAGACAATAAACATTTAAAGGCAATCTAAGCACTTTAACCTAAAATTGGGAAACTTGAAAACTTCGTTTTCGAAATTGAGAAAAACATGTATTTTTGCATTTTCATTCTTTAATTTTTTATTGATTAGGGAATACCAAGTTTTATAGACTAGGGAATACCAAGTTTTATAGACTTTTGCTTTTAACTGTGATTAGATACCAGCTTAAAGATTACTTATTTCTTTGTAGCATTTTCGAATAAAACATTTTTGAAATTTTCACGTTTCCCTATTCGTTTTAAAACCTCAAATGCATGGATGATAAAAACATGAATAAATATGTCAGAACAGCAAACAAAACCTGCAATCAAGCTTAAAATGTTGGCCAAACAAAAATATTGGCCTTGCAGTTGCCACATTGTGTAAATATGCTAGCTTCATGAATGATATCTTATATACAGCATGGGCTCCCGCTCCGTGACCTATCCGGTCTTGCATAGTGACCATCACAAATACTGACCAACCAATAATTTTTGAATTATTTTTTTCACTGTTGCTCCAAATGTATCATAGTGTTGAAATTGTTTGTGATAATAAAATTTCTGGTGTGACTTCCCAGGTCTGGATTCATACACCTTTTGCTCCAAACAAGACCATGCCCTATTATTTTTGGAAGGTCCAGAATTTTCTCTGTTTGGAATGGTTACCCAATTTTTTACACCCTGAGTTAGGTGGGGAAATGAAACCAGGGGTTTTGACCTGCAATGCCATCACAATCTAACACTTTCTATGCCTTATATAATTATCCGTACAAAATTTGAATCTGCGAACCCACGCAGGCCGTCAGAAGTGAGATGTAAACATTTAGCAAGATGTGCCATCTGAACTGCTAAGCCATATTATAGTTAAACAGTCATATCTATATATATAAATATACAGAGAGAGAGGGATATTGTAATAATCACATAAGTTTCATTAGTTTATGATGTGAGATTTTGCAACTCAAATCTCAAGTTCCAAAGTAAGTTATTGTTGTCCAAAGTCAATTTCACACAGGACTTTCATAGTCCAGCTGCAACTTGCCCTTGAAAGCTTATCACATCCCGCATGTATCCCAACACAGTCACCAGAACCAGGGCACCCTACTGTGGTAGTCCATGGATTTCTCTCAGCCACAACACCATCAGTCCATTGGTAGTTCCCATTTGCTTGTCGTTTTAGCCCGATCCAATAGAAATTATGACGGGCGATCAACTTCAAATTTCCCTCTATAGAATTTAAAATGCCTGAGTCTCTTGGTCCCATGTATGCCAGATGAGCATTCCTTTCTTCACAATATGTTTTCCCTTTCTCCCAAGTCATTGAGAAAGAGCTTGAAAAATATGAGAATCTTTCATTTACTTCTACCCAAGGGAGAGTCACAAACTTCAGCATTTTGGCTTCTAAATTTGCCAAATATTCTTGCGAGACTTCACCTTTAGGACCTGGATGTCCATTGTTTCCCTTTGATCCTGCAATAAAAATTAAGACAAAAATGAGGTAATGTTCTTTCCATATGTTACTTAAATGTCAGTGTTTCTTAACCTGGGTTAGATGGAACAATGTACAAGAATGAATGTGAAGTCTTGGCGTATTCGAAGTTTAATAAATAATAGAATTCACAGCAAAGAAATTTTTTTAAAACAATCTTTTTATCCACACCAGATTGGTATTTGAAGCATGGGATCTGAATGGCTTGTACTATCAACACTTTTAATACCGGGTACATCATTTTAGCTTTAGGATTTCCAAAGTTGCGATTTCTGCCTTGTAATGTTTTCCTTTCCAAAAGTACACTTATTTCGGTACTCCAGAAGTATGCGCACCAAGATGTCACATAACCTAAACCCTAACCTGGTACACAACCTGAGTTCAGGTTGTGCGCCATCTTGGTGCTCATACCCCAGGAGCTCCCTTATTTTTCTGCCAACAAGTCCCCTATCACGGAATCTATTATTGTGGCACAAGTCACAACGAAGGTTGTGTATCTGTATCTATACATCACAATAATTGCATTTGTTCAAAGTTAGTTGCCTTTAATATATCTTTTATTTATATAACGAGAATTCTACAAAATATTGTCAAAATCTACCCTTTTCTCCATTGAGTCCTCTCTCTCCCTTTTCTCCTCTTACACCAGCCACACCCTGGAATCCACGCTCACCCTTCTGTCCTTGCACCCCTCGCTTTCCAGGCCTCCCTGGCATTCCCTGTGTGTTTGGAACCCAGTCCAATTCAAAATGCATTTTTGACGTCGTCTCGTCATAATTTACAGAGCAGGTATCATGTGCAATGATTCCTTTCGTGACGACGAATACTAAACACAGCATTAACTCTTTTGTTCCGTATAACATATATATTCGTACTACCATCCTTGGTCATAATAGTTATTTTCGGACTATTTTACGTTTATGTTCATGTTTTGTGAAGTATTCCGCACTAACTAAATCATTTTGAGCATCCAACTATGATCCGTGCTTGATCTGTCAACATTTTGTTTTTTTGTAAATTTTTTATTTTACTACTAAGTGAATTTTATTTGTGTAGGTATTTCAAAGCTTAGAGATACACGAAAGTATTTGTCATTACTTCAAAAATAAGTCATTTGAACGAGCGGGAAACAATTTCGCGCACATAATAAACAAACAAAGATTCCAGACAACTATCGTGGACATGCTCTCACATATCATTGATTATTTCGCGTTTCGCTTCGCTTGTGAAGCTGAGTCTGGTTTTTCTTCAAAGGTAACGTAACTCTCTTTCAGAAGAGCGCTTGGAATTTCGTTTCTTTGTAACACGTGTTCATCGAAGCGATAAGAGTGTGAAACGTTCTCTCAAAAATTTTTGAAATTTCTCTCTTCTTACACGCGTAGGGTCGAACGGTTTCGCCTACGTCACTTGGGCGCGTTTTAGTAGGAAGACGCGAAAATAAGCTTTTTAAAGAGATATTGGGGGTGTTCCTTGTACGTTTGGTTAACTGGTCATTACATATTATAAAATGGTACATAAAGTCGATTGTATACAGCGGAAAAAAAGGGTTAATGTTAGTTTCAACATATTGACAAATTTGCATTTGTGACTTCGAGTTGAAAATGAATGAATGACCACGTTGCATCTTGTGTCATGGAAGTTTATTTGACCTGAAAGCTTTTTTCTTTTTTGTGATGTAAAATTGTTTTGTGATTTCTGTAGTTAGAATTATAAGTGAGATTAATCGTTTTGTGTCTGCAAGCGTATCTATAATAGTGATGGATTTGTTGTTTTCGTGAGCTGCTTTACTTAATATTTGAACATGAATCTATATTTTCTTAGAATCCCAGACATTATGCTAGAAACTTGTTTGTAAGCGGGGTTGAGTTAACCACAGGAACATTCTGTATTCAGTATTAAAATGGAACAGTGATGTCACTTTTTTATCTTGACACTAGATTTGTTTTGTGGGTCAAAACCCCCTCATTTTCAAAATGTGAAAAAAAACATTTTTCTTGAAACTTGAAAACATTGTTTTGCGAAATTGTGAAAAACATGTATTTTTGCATTTTCCTTCTTTAACTTTTTATTGACTAGGAATGGGCAATATGGAATACCAAGTTTTATAGACTTTTGCTTTTAACTGTGATTAGATACTAGGGATGGGCCGGGATTCGGATCTGGACTCGGATTCGAGTCGAATCCAGGCATTTTTTGGACTCGGATTCGATTTCGAGTCCACGTCGTTTTTACCGAGTCTATGATCAATTCTGTTTTTACTAATTTACGCCTATGTTTGCACTTTTACCCCTATAAATCTCACTACATACCTTAGCTAGTTGAAATTCAAGGTTAGATATGTAACATTATCACTCGTGTGTAATATAAACACACCTAATAAAAACGACGACAGATATCCAGATAATATAACGCAAGTTAAAAAATTTTGATAGCTTATAGTAATGATGCGCCAGTCACCTTCAAATTATCTATCCTTTCTGGTATACATGTGGTACACAATAAAATATGTGTTAGAGCAATATTTTTGAGTTTTAGATAAATATGAAAATAAATATGTAAAATGCGTAAATAAATATGAAATATGCGCAGGATCAACCCAAGGGGGAATCTCACATAAAATCGAGTTTATTACGGGCAATCCTTTCTCTAAAAAGGAAGCAATGGAAAGCATGGAGCGTTTTAGAACGTTTACATGAACTACTAAATTGCAAGAATTGTATTGACGACGAGTGGCATCTCTCTACCATTTGCGCACGCGACATAGTAAATTTGAGGCTAGAAATATCTGGAATTATGGATTTTAGTCAAAAGCTTTTTATTTTTCATATTGACATGCAAAAATTATTAAACAGCCGCCCAGAATTGATGCAAGGTGGTGGGCTGGAAATCCAGTTGACCCGCGTTTACGTTTGTATTATGGCCGCCAAAAAAGAAGAAAAATATATTTTTAAATTGATTCAACAGCTATCTGCGGAACCATTAGGAAAAAAAAATATGAGCTACGACGTATGTTTGTAAGCGCGCGATGCTGTAGTATGGTCAAAAACGTGTTTTTCCACTTTTACATTGTGACGTCACGGACTCGGAGGATTCGATTCGAGTCCTTGACCTATTACTCGGATTCGTCGAATCTCTGTAATGCCGGACTCGTCCCATCCCTATTAGATACCAGCTTATTAAGGATTACCTATTTCTTTGTAGCATTTTCAAATAAAACATTTTTAAAATTTTCATGTTTGCCTTTTTGTTTTAAAACCTCAAATACATGAATAATAAATACATGATTAAATATGTTAGGGTAGCAAACAGAACACTAATAATCAAATAAAAACATGAAAGCAAAATTTTTGAATAGCAAAAGTATTGGCCTAGCAGTTGACACATTGTGTAAACATGCTTGCTTGTATTAATGATATCTTATATACAGCATGGGCCAGGAGCCTCAGTGACCTATCTGGCTTTGCATACTGACCATCACAAATACTGACCAACCAATTATTGTTGAGTTTTTCTGCTCGAAATGTATCATATTGTTGACATTGTTTGTGATAATAAAATTCATTCACGCCTTTTGCTTCAAATAAGGCTATTTAGAAGCAGCCATTGATCTAATGATATGTAAGGGAATATTGTCTTTGGAAGGGTCAATTTTTTTTCTCTTTGGTACGGGCTACCCAATTTATTTTACCCTGGGTTAGGGGGGGAATTTGAACCAGAGATTTTACCCTGCAATGCCAACACAATCTAACACTTACTATGCCAGGGCTTATATAATTATCCCTACAAGATTTGAATCTGAGGACCCGGGCTGATCTGAAGTAAGATGCAAACATTTAGCAAGATGCGCGCTATCTGAACTGCGAAGCCATAATATAATTAAACAGTCATATATCGAGAGATAGATAATAATCACATAAGTTTTAGTAATTTATGATATGAGATTTCGCAACTCAAATCTCAAGTTCAAAAGTCTATTTCACACAGTACTTTTAAAGTCTTGCTGCAACTTGCCTTTGTAAATTTATTACATCCCGCATGTATCCCAACACATTCGCCATTGCCGGTACATTCTACTTGAGTAGTCCATGGATTTCCGTCAGCCACAACACCATCAGTCCATTGGTAGTTCCCATTTGCTTGTCGTTTTAGCCCGATCCAATAGAAATTATGACGGGCGATCAACTTCAAATTCCCCTTTATAGAATTATAAATGCCTGGGTCTCTAGGTCCCATGTATGCCAGATGAGCATTCCTTTCTTCACAATATGTTTTCCCTTCCTCCCAAGTCATGGAGAAAGAGCTTGAAAAATATGAGAATCTTTCATTTACTTTTACCCAAGGGAGAGTCACAAACTTCAGCATTTTGGCTTCTAAATTTGCCAAATATTCTTGTGAAACTTCACCTTTAGGACCTGGATGTCCAACCATTCCTGCATTTCCTTTTGGCCCTGAAATCAAATGTATGTTTAAAAGTTTTCGAACTTTTCACCAATAATAACGAGTTTGATTTTTCTATCACCAATTTTTTTGTGAAAATAGGGGGAAGAGTTTTTAAATAGGCTGCGCTTGACGAACCACTGCAGTAGGCAATCTCACCCAGAATTTCTATGTTAACTGATTATTGAATATTAATTAAGTCACTTTCACAGAATAAGATAATTATGTGTGATGGAATTGCTGAACTTCTCACCACTGTAGCGTGATTCATATAACCCCTGGTCGTTTACGGCTTCCTCTACCATCAAGCCTATTAATCTCATCCCTGACATGGACTGGTAACCTAACAAGAGGCCCTGGTTCGCCATATGATCAAGACGACTCATTGACTCTCCTCTTCCCCACGATAAATATGAAAAAATTCTAATTATTGCTTACCTATGATTCCTTGTTCGCCCTTTTCACCTCGCTGTCCCTGTGTTCCTTTCTCTCCTGTAATTCCAGGTATTCCTCTCTTTCCAGGTCTTCCTTGTATTCTTTGTGCATTTTCCAACCAGTCTAATTCTAAATGCATTTTTGATCTCGCTCTATCGTAACTCACAGAGCAAGTACTATCAGATTTGATCTCCGTTATTACAACGCCAAGCAGGAAAAATATGAAACTTGCCTTCATCATTTTTATAGTATTCATCTTGAAATTATAAGTCAGATATGAGCGAAGTCTTGCGTGTTTTATATCTTTTTGTATTGGTTGCTCTATTTTTCACACAGAACACAAATCTTTTACTTTTAATCTGGGTGGTTTAAAGGTGTGTCTCACTTGTTTTGCTGGAAATTGTTCAAGGCTTTTTGTAATGGAATATTTGGGTCATGTTTACAGTTCATAGGGTTTTCAAGCTGTTAACATTTTTTGTGAACAACTTGCACTGAATTCTCTTTTTGTCTCATAAAACACTAGTAGGCTATATTATTTCTTTATTTGGTGGTTTTAGGGTGTGGATGCTCATTGGGCAAATTGTGATCCATGTTTAGTAAACTTTTTTGTTTTTGGAATTTGTGGTCTTTTTATAGGTCATGGGTTTCTAAACCATTTTTCAAGCAATTAACAGATTTGTGAATATCGTAGTTAAAGTGGATTCTCTTTTCATCTCCCAGAAAACAAGTATATTTCTTTTGTACTGGGTGGTTTTAGGGTGTGTGACACTTATTTTGCAGAGTGTTATCCTTGTTATTAAATAAGATCTATTGTGTGTGTGGTTTAAGGTTTCCTCTTTAAAATACCATACCTAGGGGTGCAGCCAGTGGAGGGTTACATGGGTCGTATCACCTGCCTCCCATTTAAGAAATATTTTTGATGCAAAATTTCTTCTACGAAAGAGCAACAGCGTCGTTTTATGGTCGCGCATCATGGTTTCGCGGCCAAACGATATTATTCTGTGTGTTATCACTGTAGCGCAATTAACACCGCCAGACCTTTTTCGTCTCTGCAATATGTTATCTTTTTTAGTTGGCACTGATAATGGCGCTTACCAAAATGTCAGTTATCCTTTATCAATAAGAAAGTTTTTTTCATTTATTCTATTCTCCACATTTCCACTGATCTTTCTCGGACCGCTTGCGAGTCTGCGTACCCAAGTTTGCGAACCTATAACCTATACGAAAGCTTTCAATCCAGCCACTGACAATATGAAATAAAATCCAAGCTTATGACAAGTTTATTGTTATCAATAACAAATAGTAAATAAAAGCGGAATTTTACATTTTTAGTAGGACTGTGTGAAATTAGAGAAAAGTTCATCTCTGGATAATAAGAGCAGTAAATTAATGATATTTATAAATTTTTTCAGACAAATATTCAAATCCAACTCCATTCTTTTAGAATTTGTTGAGTTTTTGGTAGAATTTAAAATCTTCAATCAGACTGACAGAAACTACTATAAAATGCACTTTCAAGTTTTAATGTGAAAGCAAGAATCCAATTTCACAGATCTGTGTAGATGAGTGACTAAGGATTATGATCAGTAAAACTCATTTAATTCAAATTCACAGAGTACTTTCATACGATCATTGCATGGTTGTCTTTCAACATCATCAGTACCATACTTAAATATTCCACAGTTAAACAGAGGTTTAGGCTCGCGCTGTTTCCAATACGTTGACCATATATTGCTATCTACTGTAGCCCCATCTAACCATTTAAAATCTCCTTCGATAAGATTTATTCCAATCCAGTAGTAGTTAGAGCGAGCTATTAGTTTCTCGTTATTTTGCACAAGACTCAAGATAGATGACTTTTGCAGGCCCATGTATGCCAGATGAGCATTCCTTTCTTCACAATATGTTTTCCCTTCCTCCCAAGTCATTGAGAAAGAACTTGAAAAATATGAGAATCTTTCATTTACTTCTACCCAAGGGAGAGTCACAAACTTCAGCATTTTGGCTTCTAAATTTGCCAAATATTCTTGCGAAACTTCACCTTTAGGACCTGGATGTCCAATCATTCCTGCATTTCCTTTTGGCCCTGAAATCAAATGTATGTTTAAAAGTTTTGAACTTTTCACCAATAATAACGAGTTTGATTTTTCTATCAGCAATTTCTGTGAAGTCCAAGCATCTGACGCAAATATCTGGCTTACTAGTCCCATGCCCATGGACTGGTTATCACACATGCGGCCATGTTACACCCTATCGCCATCTTATCGACTTTTCTCGCCCCCACGATAAATATGAAAAAATTCTAACTATTTCTTACCTATGATTCCTTGTTCCCCCTTTTCACCGCGCTGTCCCTGTGTTCCTTTCTCTCCTGTAATTCCAGGGATTCCTCTTTTCCCAGGTCTTCCTTGTAGTCCTTGTGCGTTTTCCAGCCAGTCTAATTCTACATGCATTTTCGATCTCGCTCTATCGTAACTCACAGAGCAAGTACTATCAGATTTGATCTCCGTTATTACAACGCCAAGCAGGAAAAATATGAATCTTGCCTTCATCATTTTTATAGTGTTCATCTTGAAATTATATGTCAGATATGAATATGAGCAAAGTTTCGTGCGTTATATCGTTTTGTACTCCTTTGAATTTTTTTTTCTTTTACTGGGAGGTTTTAGGGTGTGTCAAGCTTGTTTTGCTGAAAATTTTTCAAATCTTCAATTTTTGAAGGCTTTGTTTTGAAGTTCGGGTCATGTTTACAGTTCAGGTTTTTTTTAAGCAATTTACATATTTGTGAATATCTTAGAATGGATTTTTTTTTCATCTCCAGAACACAAGTATATTTCTTCTGTACTGGGTGTTTTTAGGGTGTGTGACCCTTATATTTGCAGAGTGTTATCCCTGTGAAGTAAGGTTTTGTGTTTTCATAGATAGGGGCCATGTTTATAGTTTATGGGTTCCTAAACCAATTTTCAAGCAATTAACATATTTGCGAATATCTTAGAAGAGAAAATTTTTTTCATCTTACACAAGACAAACTTAATACTCTACAAGTCTGCTGCTTATTTTGCAGAGTGTTATCCATGTCAAATAAGGCTTTGTGTGTTTCATATATAAGGGCTATGTTTATAGTTTATGAGTTGCTAAACCAATTTTCAAGCAATTAACATATTTGTGAATACTGCACTGTGATTTGGCTCAGAATCTAGGTTTAATCTCTACCAGTTTGCCTATTTTTATGCAAACACATTCTTCATTGTTTTACCATCACTTAGCTAAAATGTTTAAATCTGACTGTGGTTCAAGTACAGCATGTAGTACATAGTACTACTCATTATTTATCGATTTTAATCGGTAAGTATGTTGATAGGTATTTGTCTGTCTGTATGTATGTCTGTTTGTCTGTTAGATGCACGCGATATCTCACGAAAGCGACATTGAATCTGCTCCAGATTTTGCATGTGCATTCATCTTATCTCGGACCAGAAGCCTATTGATTTTGGGCGAATTATGTCGTATAATTAGCGAGTTATCAATCAATTATTGATATAGTGATCTAGATTTTTATAAAGCGAGAGAATTTTGAGACCCGCCGAGTGTGTGTGTGCGATGCGCAGTGCGCAAGTTACAAGAGCGGATGAATCGAAACTGCAGTTACTGTTTTGGGGGATCCCCTAACTATCGATCGATAAGTCTTCGGTTTCCAACCGATATTCTTGTATTTGCCTTTTAAAAAGTGTTTAATGAGAATTACAATTTTTACTTAAAATTGCCCTATGCATAAAACTACATCCCCTTCCAATTACCAATGAATTCTTAGCTTGTGTTATATGCAAGTCAAACTCCCATGTTTGTACAGATCAAGTATGTTATTATGTGATCATGAATAAGTACTGTAGTGATGAAAGAAAATAAAATTCTTTTTTAGGTGAGTGAACACGTACCACTTCTTCCATCTTCCAACCTTCCATCTTGTATACATTCTGTACGTTTTAAACCTTATCTAAGGTTTTGTTTGCTCTCCTGATTTCATAATCAGTTTTTATTTTTTTTTACCAATCATTTTATTGTTATGCTGATTATGGAGTCAAAATAAACTTAATATTATATTATTATATTATTATTATATAAAATAATAATAGCCTATCACAGCGAATATGAAGCAAAATGTCTCCCAAAAACAGCACAATTCTTTCCGAGAAAACAGCAAAATTATTTCCCGGTTGATTCCTTCCTGATTGGGCAACCTTCCACTATGCCATCACACTTAAGATTACTAACAATGTAATCAATTTCTTGCCATTGTTAAAACTAGGGCTAGAGAGCCATGGAACTGTGATATTTTGGTGGAGCTAAAGCCAAGCTTACCATGTTAGATGGAGCCAGCTACCAGAAATTTTGGTACTCCTGAAGTATATGAACCAAGATGGTGGACACCGGAGTGTGTATGTGTACCAGGATAGAGTTAGGCAATAATTTCATGTACAAATATTACGAGAGTCACTTGGCTAGTCCCTGAACTCGTAATATAACGTAAAATTATGCCCTAACCTGGTACACATACTATGTTCCAGTGCTTGCCATCTTGATTCACATACTTTGGGGAGTACCAAAATTTTAGTGGCTCCATCTAACCATCTGATTATTTTTAACAACTGCATTTGGGCAGATATTTCATGGCAGTGGTCACACCTAAAAACCTTAATGTGAATGAGGCCAGCTACGACATAGAAAAAATGAATCTTCTTCGCCGGAGCTGGAACCCCTCTTTGAATATACTGTGACTCCAGAACTGGAGCCAGAGCCACTGTGATTTTGAACAGGTTCCCCAGCCCTGGTTAAAACCCATAATTCGTGAAATAGAATCCTGAATCAATAAGTAATACATCAATACCATTTTCAAAATTTTATTACTTTGTACAAATAATCGCTAATAAGTGAGTTTATTTTGACTTTGTAACAGACAATGAACATATAAGGCAATATAAGCACTTTAACCTAAAATTGTGAAACTTGAAAAACTTCGTTTTGCGAAATTGAGAAAAACATGTATTTCTGCATTTTCATTCTTTTACTTTTTATTGACTAGGAATGGGCAATATGGAATACCGAATTTTATAGCCTTTCGCTTTCTGTGATTAGATACCAGCTTAAAGATTACTTATTTCTTTTTAGCATTTCAAATAAAACATTTTGTAAAATGTGTATGTTTGCCCTTTCGTTTCGAAACCTCAAATACACATGGATGATAAAAACATGAATAAATATGTCAGAACAGCAAACAAAACCTGCAATCAAGCTTAAAATGTTGGCCAAACAAAAATATTAGCCTTGCAGTTGCCACATTGTGTAAATATGCTAGCTTCATGAATGATATCTTATATACAGCATGGGCTCCCGCTCCGTGACCTATCCGGTCTTGCATAGTGACCATCACAAATACTGACCAACCAATAATTTTTGAATTATTTTTTTCACTGTTGCTCCAAATGTATCATAGTGTTGAAATTGTTTGTGATAATAAAATTTCTGGTGTGACTTCCCAGGTCTGGATTCACACACCTTTTGCTCCAAACAAGACCATGCCCTATTATTTTTGGAAGGTCCAGAATTTTCTCTGTTTGGAATGGTTACCCAATTTTTTACACCCTGAGTTAGGTGGGGAAATGAAACCAGGGGTTTTGACCTGCAATGCCATCACAATCTAACACTTTCTATGCCTTATATAATTATCCGTACAAAATTTGAATCTGCGAACCCACGCAGGCCGTCAGAAGTGAGATGTAAACATTTAGCAAGATGTGCCATCTGAACTGCTAAGCCATATTATAGTTAAACAGTCATATCTATATATATAAATATACAGAGAGAGAGGGATATTGTAATAATCACATAAGTTTCATTAGTTTATGATGTGAGATTTTGCAACTCAAATCTCAAGTTCCAAAGTAAGTTATTGTTGTCCAAAGTCTATTTCACACAGGACTTTCATAGTCTTGCTGCAATTTTCTCTTGAAAGTATATCACATCCCGCATATATCCCAACACAGTCACCAGAACCAGGGCACCCTACTGTGGTAGTCCATGGATTTCCCTCAGCCACAACACCATCAGTCCATTGGTAGTTCCCATTTGCTTGTCGTTTTAGCCCGATCCAATAGAAATTATGACGGGCGATCAACTTCAAATTTCCCTCTATAGAATTTAAAATGCCTGAGTCTCTTGGTCCCATGTATGCCAGATGAGCATTCCTTTCTTCACAATATGTTTTCCCTTCCTCCCAAGTCATTGAGAAAGAGCTTGAAAAATATGAGAATCTTTCATTTACTTCTACCCAAGGGAGAGTCACAAACTTCAGCATTTCGGCTTCTAAATTTGCCAAATATTCTTGCGAGACTTCACCTTTAGGACCTGGATGTCCATTGTTTCCCTTTGATCCTGCAATAAAAATTAAGACAAAAATGAGGTAATGTTCTTTCCATATGTTACTTAAATGTCAGTGTTTCTTAACCTGGGTTAGATGGAACAATGTACAAGAATGAATGTGAAGTCTTGGCGTATTCGAAGTTTAATAAATAATAGAATTCACAGCAAAGAAATTTTTTTAAAACAATCTTTTTATCCACACCAGATTGGTATTTGAAGCATGGGATCTGAATGGCTTGTACTATCAACACTTTTAATACCGGGTACATCATTTTAGCTTTAGGATTTCCAAAGTTGCGATTTCTGCCTTGTAATGTTTTCCTTTCCAAAAGTACACTTATTTCGGTACTCCAGAAGTATGCGCACCAAGATGTCACATAACCTAAACCCTAACCTGGTACACAACCTGAGTTCAGGTTGTGCGCCATCTTGGTGCTCATACCCCAGGAGCTCCCTTATTTTTCTGCCAACAAGTCCCCTATCACGGAATCTATTATTGTGGCACAAGTCACAACGAAGGTTGTGTATCTGTATCTATACATCACAATAATTGCATTTGTTCAAAGTTAGTTGCCTTTAATATATCTTTTATTTATATAACGAGAATTCTACAAAATATTGTCAAAATCTACCCTTTTCTCCATTGAGTCCTCTCTCTCCCTTTTCTCCTCTTACACCAGCCACACCCTGGAATCCACGCTCACCCTTCTGTCCTTGCACCCCTCGCTTTCCAGGCCTCCCTGGCATTCCCTGTGTGTTTGGAACCCAGTCCAATTCAAAATGCATTTTTGACGTCGTCTCGTCATAATTTACAGAGCAGGTATCATGTGCAATGATTCCTTTCGTGACGACGAATACTAAACACAGCATTAACTCTTTTGTTCCGTATAACATATATATTCGTACTACCATCCTTGGTCATAATAGTTATTTTCGGACTATTTTACGTTTATGTTCATGTTTTGTGAAGTATTCCGCACTAACTAAATCATTTTGAGCATCCAACTATGATCCGTGCTTGATCTGTCAACATTTTGTTTTTTTGTAAATTTTTTATTTTACTACTAAGTGAATTTTATTTGTGTAGGTATTTCAAAGCTTAGAGATACACGAAAGTATTTGTCATTACTTCAAAAATAAGTCATTTGAACGAGCGGGAAACAATTTCGCGCACATAATAAACAAACAAAGATTCCAGACAACTATCGTGGACATGCTCTCACATATCATTGATTATTTCGCGTTTCGCTTCGCTTGTGAAGCTGAGTCTGGTTTTTCTTCAAAGGTGACGTAACTCTCTTTCAGAAGAGCGCTTGGAATTTCGTTTCTTTGTAACACGTGTTCATCGAAGCGATAAGAGTGTGAAACGTTCTCTCAAAAATTTTTGAAATTTCTCTCTTCTTACACGCGTAGGGTCGAACGGTTTCGCCTACGTCACTTGGGCACGTTTTAGTAGGAAGACGCGAAAATAAGCTTTTTAAAGAGATATTGGGGGTGTTCCTTGTACGTTTGGTTAACTGGTCATTACATATTATAAAATGGTACATAAAGTCGATTGTATACAGCGGAAAAAAAGGGTTAATGTTAGTTTCAACATATTGACAAATTTGCATTTGTGACTTCGAGTTGAAAATGAATGAATGACCACGTTGCATCTTGTTTTATGGAAGTTTATTTGACCTGAAAGCTTTTTTCTTTTTTGTGATGTAAAATTGTTTTGTGATTTCTGTAGTTAGAATTATAAGTGAGATTAATCGTTTTGTGTCTGCAAGCGTATCTATAATAGTGATGGATTTGTTGTTTTCGTGAGCTGCTTTACTTAATATTTGAACATGAATCTATATTTTCTTAGAATCCCAGACATTATGCTAGAAACTTGTTTGTAAGCGGGGTTGAGTTAACCACAGGAACATTCTGTATTCAGTATTAAAATGGAACAGTGATGTCACTTTTTTATCTTGACACTAGATTTGTTTTGTGGGTCAAAACCCCCTCATTTTCAAAATGTGAAAAAAAACATTTTTCTTGAAACTTGAAAACATTGTTTTGCGAAATTGTGAAAAACATGTATTTTTGCATTTTCCTTCTTTAACTTTTCATTGACTAGGAATGGGCAATATGGAATACCGAATTTTATAGACTTTTGCTTTTAACTGTGATTAGATACCAGCTTATTAAGGATTACTTATTTCTTTGTAGCATTTTCAAATAAAACATTTTTTAAATTTTTACGTTTGCCTTTTTTTTAAAACCTCAAATACATGAATAATAAAAACATGATTAAATATGTTAGGGTAGCAAACAGAACACTAATAATCATATAAAAACATGCAAGCGAAATTTTTGAATAACAAAGGTATGGGCCTAGCAGTTGGCACATTGTGTAAACATACTTGCTTGTATTAATGATATCCTATATACAGCATGGTGACCTATCTGGTTTTGCATACTGACCATCACAAATACTGACCAACCAATTATTGTTGAGTTTTTTTTCCCCTTCTGCTCGAAATATATCATATTGTTGACATTGTTTGTGATAATAAAATTCATTCACCCCTTTTGCTTCAAATAAGGCTATTTAGAAGCAGCCACTGATCTAATGATATGTAAGGGAATATTGTCTTTGGAAGGGTCAATTTTTTTTCTCTTTGGCACGGGCTACCCAATTTATTTTACCCTGGGTTAGGGGGGAATTTGAACCAGAGATTTTACCCTGCAATGCCAACACAATCTAACACTTACTATGCCAGGGCTTATATAATTATCCCTACAAGATTTGAATCTGCGAACCCGGGCTGATCTGGAGTGAGATGCAAACATTTAGCAAGATGCGTGCTATCTGAACTGCGAAGCCATAATATAATTAAACAGTCATATATCGAGAGATAGAATGTGATATTATAATAATCACATAAGTTTTAGTAATTTATGATATGAGATTTCGCAACTCAAATCTCAAGTCTATTTCACACAGTACTTTTAAAGTCTTGCTGCAACTTGCCTTTGTAAATTTATTACATTCCGCATTTATCCCAACACATTCGCCATTACCGGCACAAGCTACTTGAGTAGTCCATTTCCATGTAGTCCGTGGATTTCCGTCAGCCACAACACCATCAGTCCATTGGTAGTTCCCATTTGCTTGTTGTTTCAGTCCGATCCAATAGAAATTATGACGAGCGATCAGCTTCAAATTCCCCTTTATAGAATTATAAATGCCTGGGTCTCCAGGTCCCATGTATGCCAGATGAGCATTCCTTTCTTCACAATATGTTTTCCCTTCCTCCCAAGTCATGGAAAAAGAGCTTGAAAAATATGAGAATCTTTCATTTACTTTTACCCAAGGGAGAGTCACAAACTTCAGCATTTTGGCTTCTAAATTTGCCAAATATTCTTGTGAAACTTCACCTTTAGGACCTGGATGTCCAACCATTCCTGCATTTCCTTTTGGCCCTGAAATCAAATGTATGTTTAAAAGTTTTCGAACTTTTCACCAATAATAACGAGTTTGATTTTTCTATCACCAATTTTTTGTGAAAATAGGGGGAAGAGTTTTTAAATAGGCTGCGCTTGACGAACCACTGCAGTAGGCAATCTCACCCAGAATTTCTATGTTAACTGATTATTGAATATTAATTAAGTCACTTTCACAGAATAAGATAATTATGTGTGATGGAATTGCTGAACTTCTCACCAATGCAGCGTGATTCATATAACCCCTGGTCGTTTACGGCTTCCTCTACCAGCAAGCCTACTAATCCCATCCATGACATGGACTGGTAACCTAACAAGAGGCCCTGGTTCGCCATATGATCAAGACGACTCATTGACTCTCCTCTTCCCCACGATAAATATGAAAAAATTCTAATTATTGCTTACCTATGATTCCTTGTTCGCCCTTTTCACCTCGCTGTCCCTGTGTTCCTTTCTCTCCTGTAATTCCAGGGATTCCTCTCTTTCCAGGTCTTCCTTGTATTCTTTGTGCATTTTCCAACCAGTCTAATTCTAAATGCATTTTTGATCTCGCTCTATCGTAACTCACAGAGAAAGTACTATCACATTTGATCTCCCCTATCACAACGCAAAGCAGGAAAAATATGAATCTTGCCTTCATCATTTTTATAGTGTTCATCTTGAAATTATAAGTCAGATATGAGCGGAGTCTTGCGTGTTTTATATCTTTTTGTATTGGTTGCTCTATTTTTCACACAGAACACAAATCTTTTACTTTTAATCTGGGTGGTTTAAAGGTGTGTCTCACTTGTTTTGCTGAAAATTGTTCAAGGCTTTTTGTAATGGAATATTTGGGTCATGTTTACAGTTCATAGGGTTTTCAAGCTGTTAACATTTTTTGTGAACAACTTGCACTGAATTCTCTTTTTGTCTCATAAAACACTAGTAGGCTATATTATTTCTTTATTTGGTGGTTTGAGGGTGTGTGATGCTCATTGGGCAAATTGTGATCCATGTTTAGTAAACTTTTTTGTTTTTGGAATTTGTGGTCTTTTTATAGGTCATGGGTTTCTAAACCATTTTTCAAGCAATTAACAGATTTAGGAATATCGTAGTTAAAGTGGATTCTTTTTTCATCTCACAGAAAACAAGTATATTACTTTTGTACTGGGTGGTTTTAGGGTGTGTGACACTTATTTTGCAGAGTGTTATCCTTGTTATTAAATAAGATCTATTGTGTGTGTGGTTTGAGGTTTCCTCTTTTCAAAATACCATACCCAGGGGTGCAGCCAGTGGAGGGTTACATGGGTCGTATCACCTGCCTCCCATTTAAGAAATATTTTTGATGCAAAATTTCTTCTACAAAAGAGCAACAGCGTCGTTTTATGGTCGCGCATCATGGTTTCGCGACCAAACGATATTATTCTGTGTGTTATCACTGTAGCGCAATTAACACCGCCAGACTTTTTTCGTCTCTGCAATATGGTATCTTTTTTAGTTGGCACTGATAATGGCGCTCACCAAAATTTCAGTTATCCTTTATCAATAAGAAAGTTTTTTTCAATTTTTCTATTCTTCACATTTCCACTGATCTTTCTCGGACACCTTGCGGGTCTGCGTACCTCAGTTTGCGAAAACCGGACCTATGCGAAATCTTTCATTACAGCCACTGACAATATGAATTAAAATCTAAGCTTATGTACAAGTTTATTGTTATCAATAATAACAAATAGTAAATAAAAGCAGAATTTCACAATTTTAGTAAGACTGTGTGAAATTAGAGAAAAGTCCATCTCTGGATAATAAGAGCAGCAAATTAATGCTATTTATAAATTTTTTCAGACAAATATTCAAATCCAACTCCATTCTTTTAGAATTTGTTGAGTTTTTGGTAGAATTTAAAATCTTCAATCAGACTGACAGAAAATAATATAAAAATGCACTTTCAAGTTTTAATGTAAAAGCAAGAATCCAATTTCATAGATCTGTGTAGATGAGTGACTAAGGATTAGGATCAGTAAAACTCATTTTAATTCAACTTCACAGAGTACTTTCATACGATCATTGCATGGTTGTCTTTCAACACCATCAATACCATACTTAAATATTCCACAGTTGAACAGAGGTTCAGGCTCGCGCTGTTTCCAATACGTTGACCATATATTGCTATCTACTGCAGCCCCATCTAACCATTTAAAATCTCCTTCGATAAGATTTATTCCAATCCAGTAGTAGTTAGAGCGAGCTATTAGTTTTTCGTTATTTTGCACAAGACTCAAGATAGATGACTTTTGCAGGCCCATGTATGCCAGATGAGCATTCCTTTCTTCACAATATGTTTTCCCTTCCTCCCAAGTCATGGAAAAAGAGCTTGAAAAATATGAGAATCTTTCATTTACTTTTACCCAAGGGAGAGTCGCAAACTTCAGCATTTTGGCTTCTAAATTTGCCAAATATTCTTGCGAAACTTCACCTTTAGGACCTGGATGTCCAATCATTCCTGCATTTCCTTTTGGCCCTGAAATCAAATGTATGTTTAAAAGTTTTGAACCTTTCACCAATAATAACGAGTTTGATTTTTCTATCAGCAATTTCTGTGAAGTCCAAGCATCTGACGCAAATATCTGGCTTACTAGTTCTATGCCCATGGACTGGTTACCACACATGCCATGTTACACCCTATCGCCATCTTATCGACTTTTCTCGCCCCCACGATAAATATGAAAAAATTCCAATTATTTCTCACCAATGATTCCTTGTTCCCCCTTTTCACCTCGCTGTCCCTGTGTTCCTTTCTCTCCTGTAATTCCAGGGGCTCCTCTTTTCCCAGGTCTTCCTTGTAGTCCTTGTGCGTTTTCCAGCCAGTCTAATTCTAAATGCATTTTCGATCTCGCTCTATCGTAACTCACAGAGCAAGTACTATCAGATTCGATCTCTGTTATCACAACGCAAAGCAGGAAAAATATGAATCTTGCCTTCATCATTTTTATAGTGTTCATCTTGAAATTATATGTCAGATATGAATATGAGCAAAGTTTCGTGTGTTATATTGTTTTGTTCTCCTTTGAATTTTTTTTTCTTTTACTGGGAGGTTTTAGGGTGTGTCAAGCTTGTTTTGCTGAAAATTGTTCAAATCTTCAATTTTTGAAGGCTTTGTTTTGAAGTTCGGGTCATGTTTACAGTTCAGGTTTTTTTAAGCAATTAACATATTTGTGAATATCTTAGAATGGATTTTTTTTCATCTCCCAGAACACAAGTATATTTCTTCTGTACTGGGTGTTTTTAGTGTGTGTGACCCTTATATTTGCAGAGTGTTATCCCTGTGAAGTAAGGCTTTGTGTTTTCATAGATAGGGGCCATGTTTATAATTTATGGGTTCCTAAACCTATTTTCAAGCAATTAACACATTTGCGAATATCTTAGAAGAGAAAATTTTTTTCAAATTCATCTCACAGAAGACAAACTTAATACCCTAGAAGCCGGTTTTAGGGTGTCTGCTGCTTATTTTGCAGAGTGTTATCCTTGTGAAATAGGATCTATGTTTGGAGTTTAGGAGTTGCTAAACCAATTTTCAAGCAATTAACATCTTTGTGAATACTGCACTGTGATTTGGCTCAGAATCTAGGTTTAATCTCTACCAGTTTGCCTATTTTTATGCAAACACATTCTTTATTGTTTCACCATCACTTAGCTAAAATGTTTAAATCTGGCTGTGGTTTAAGTACAGCATGTAGTACATAGTACTACTCATTATTTATCGATTTTAATCGGTAAGTATGTTGATAGGTATTTGTCTGTCTGTATGTATGTCTGTTTGTCTGTTAGATGCACGCGATATCTCACGAAAGCGAGATTGAATCTGCTCCAGATTTTGCATGTGCATTCATCTTATCTCGGACCAGAAGCCTATTGATTCTGGGCGAATTATGTCGTATAATTAGCGAGTTATTAATCAATTATTGATATAGTGATCTAGATTTTTGTAAAGCGAGAGAATTTTGAGACCCGCCGAGTGTGTGTGTGCGATGCGCAGTGCGCAAGTTACAAGAGCGGATGAATCGAAACCGCAGTTTCTGTTTTGGGGGATCCCCTAACTATCGATCGATAAGTCTTCGGTTTCCAACCGATATTCTTGTATTTGCCTTTTAAAAAGTGTTTAATGAGAATTACAATTTTTACTTCGTTAGATTATGCGGTTGCTTAAAATTGCCCTATGCATAAAACTACATTCCCTTCCAATTACCAATGAATTCTTAGCTAGTGTTATATGCAAGTAGAACTCCCATGTTCGTACAGTTCAAGTATGTTATTATGTGTTCATGAATAAGTACTGTAGTGATAAAAGAAAAGAAAATTCTTTTTTAGGTGAGTGAACACGTACCACTTCTTCTTGGCAAAACCTTCCATCTTGTATACATTCTGTACGTTTTAAACCTTATCTAAGGTTTTGTTTGCTCTCCTGATTTCATAATCAGTTTTTTATTTTTTTTTACCAATCATTTTATTGTTATGCTGATTATGGAGTCAAAATAAACTTAATATTATATTATTATATTATTATTATATAAAATAATAATAGCCTATCACAGCGAATGTGAAGCAAAATGTCTCCCAAAAACAGCACAATTCTTTCCAAGAAAACAGCAAAATTATTTCCCGGTTGATTCCTTCCTGATTGGGCAACCTTCCACTATGCCATCACACTTAAGATTACTAACAATGTAATCAATTTCTTGCCATTGTTAAAACTAGGGCTAGAGAGCCACGGAACTGTGATATTTTGGTGAAGCTGAAGCCAAGCTTACCATGTTAGATGGAGCCAGCTACCAGAAATTTTGGTACTCCCGAAGTATATGAACCAAGATGGTGGACACCGGAGTGTGTATGTGTACCAGGATAGGGTTAGGCAATAATTTCATGTACAAATATTACGAGAGTCACTTGGCTAGTCCCTGAACTCGTAATATAACGTAAAATTATGCCCTAACCTGGTACACATACTATGTTCCAGTGTCTGCCATCTTGATTCACATACTTCGGGAGTACCAAAATTTTAGTGGCTACATCTCCCAACCATCTGATTATTTTTAACAACTGCATTTGAGCAGATATTTCATGGCAGTGGTCACACCTAAAAACCTTAATGTGAATGGAGCCCAGCTACAACATAGAAAAAATGAATCTTCTGAGTCGGAGCTGGATTCACAGTTTGAATATACTGCGACTCCAGAACTGGAGCCAGAGCCACTGTGATATTGAACAAGTTCCCCAGCCCTGGTTGAAACCCATAATTCGTGGACTAGAATCCTGAATCAATTAGTTTTACATCAATACCATTTTCACAATTTTATTACTTTTTACAAATAATCGCTAATTAGTGAGTTTATTTTGACTTAGTAACAGACAATAAAAATATAAAGGCAATATAAGCGCTTTAACCTAGAATTGTGAAACTTGAAAACTTCGTTTTGCGAAATTGAGAAAAACAGGTATTTCTGCATTTTCATTCTTTAACTTTTTATTGACTGGGAATGGGCAATATGGAATACCGAATTTTATAACCTTTTGTTTTCAACTGTGATTAGATAACAGCTTAAAGATTACTTATTTCTTTTTAGCATTTCAAATAAAACATTTTGCAAAATTTGTACTTTGCCCTTTCGTTTCGGAACCTCAAATACATGGATGATAAAAACATGAATAAATATGTCAGAATAGCAAACAAAACCTGCAATCAAGCTTAAAACGTGCAAGCAAAATTCTTGAATAAGAAAAATATTGGCCTTGCAGTTGCTACATTGTGTAAATATGCTTACTTCATCAATGATATCTTATTTACAGCGTGGGCTTCCGCTCCGTGACCTATCCGGTCTTGAATAGTGATCATCACAAATACTGACCAACCAATTATTTTTGAATTATTTTTTTCACTGTTGCTCCGAGTGTATCATAGTGTTGAAATTGTTTTTGAGAATAAAATCTCTGGTGTGGCTTCCCAGGTCTGGATTCATACACCTTTTGCTCCAAATAGGCCATGCCCTATTATTTTTGAAACGGCCAGAATTTTCTCTGTTTGGCATGGGTTACCCAGTTTTTTACACCCTGAGTTAGGTGGGGAAATTGAACCAGGGATTTTAACCTGCAATGCCAACACAATCTAACACTTTCTATGCCTTATATAATTATCCGTACAAAATTTGAACCTGAGAACCCACGCAGGCCGTCAGAAGTGAGATGTAAACATTTAGCAAGATGTGCCATCTGAACTGCCAAGCCATATTATAGTTAAACAGTCATATATATATATACGGAGAGAGAGGGATAATATTATAATAATCACATAAGTTTTGTTAGTTTATGATATGAAATTTTGCAACTCATATCTCAAGTTCAAAAGTAAGTTATTTTTGTCCAAAGTCTTTTTCACACAGTACTTTCAAAGTCCTACTGCAACTTGCCTTTGTAAATTTATTACATTCCGCATTTATTCCAACACAGTCGCCTCCACCGGTGCAATCTACTTGAGTAGTCCATGGATTTCCATCTGCCACAACCCCATCAGTCCATTGGTAGTTCCCATTTGCTTGTTGTTTTAGCCCGATCCAATAGAAATTTTGACGAGCGATCAGCTTCAAATTTCCCTTTATAGAATTATAAATGCCTGGGTCTCTTGGTCCCATGTATGCCAGATGAGCATTCCTTTCTTCACAATATGTTTTCCCTTCCTCCCAAGTCATGGAAAAAGAGCTTGAAAAATATGAGAATCTTTCATTTACTTCTACCCAAGGGAGAGTCACAAACTTCAGCATTTTGGCTTCTAAATTTGCCAAATATTCTTGCGAAACTTCACCTTCAGGACCTGGATGTCCAACCATTCCTGCATTTCCTTTTGGCCCTGAAATCAAATGTATGTTTAAAAGTTTTCGAACTTTTCACCAATAATAACGAGTTTGATTTTTCTATCACCAATTTTTTGTGAAAATAGGGGGAAGAGTATTAAAATAGGCTGCGCTTGACGAACCACTGCAGTAGGCAATCTCACCCAGAATTTCTATGTTAACTGATTATTGAATATTAATTACCGTATTTACTCGAAATTACGCCTATATCGCAGATAGGCCGACACCCTAAAAACGGCCCTAAAACGGCGATTTTATAAAAAATCGCACATAAGCCGGTGCTACGAATCGTGACATGCCGGACACCTCAAGAGAAACGTAGAAAGAGAACAAAATTACTGTAACGCAAACATTTCTCATTTTTATCATTTCTGCCTGTTAGCGAGAGCCGTAGGTGGAAATATTACCCGTAATTTATGTTAAATAAAGTCTATATTGCTTTTCAGTACGTCGTGATTGTGTCGGGAGTTTAAAATAGAGTTCCTGAATCAGCATAAAACAATTTACTTTGATCGCCACAACGGCGATTAATTTTGTTCCTTGTCCGTTTCAAGGAAAGAAATAACGCTGTATTAACACATTCTTATATATCGCTACGAATCTTAACACGCCAGACGCCTTATGAAAGGCGCAGAAAGAAAACAAAATTGCTGTGACACAAATATTTCTCAACTTTATCATTTCTGTTTGTTAGCGACGGCCGTAGATTCTTATTCGTAACTCTTACTTGTAAATTCATGTTAAAGTCTATACTGCTTTTTATGCGTCGTGATTGGTATTAATGGAAGGGATTGTTGTCGGGAGTTTAAGAGAGTCCCTGAGTCAGCATAAAACAATTTCCTTTGATCGCCACAACGGCGATTAATTTTGTTCCTTGTTCGTTTCAAGGAAAGAAATAACGCTGTATTAACACATTCCTATAAATCGCTACGAATCTTAACACGCCAGACGCCTTATGAAAGGCGCAGAAAAAAAACAAAATTGCTGTGACACAAATATTTCTCAACTTTATCATTTCTGTTTGTTAGCGACAGCCGTAGATTCTTATTCGTAACTCTTACTTGTAAATTCATGTTAAAGTCTATACTGCTTTTTATGCGTCGTGATTGGTATTAATGGAAGGGATTGTTGTCGGGTTTTTAAGAGAGTCCCTGAGTCAGCATAAAACAATTTCCTTTGATCGTCCACAGCGCGGTTAATTTCGATAAGAGTCCTTATCACCGCGTGGCCTGAATAGAGTTAACAGATAACATATCGTAAAGTTATTAAGTTATTAAAAGTCGCGTGCCGTTAATTGCCTCTACGGGCGATAGCGCACCAAATAATAACGTTTTCACCACGAAACAACTGGCTGTAAATCGACACTGTTGCTGTTATGTAAAAGAAACAAAATTCTTTTATTGTTGTTATATTTGACTTTTATTGAAAACGGTAAGATTAGGAACAACGAAAATAAAAAACGAAAATAAATAACAGGAACGAAGAACGGAAATAAATGATGGAAACAAAGAACGGAAATAAACAATGGGAACAAATAACGAAATAAATATTGAAAACGATGAACGGAAATAAACAATGGAAACGATGAACGGAAATAAACAATGGAAACGATGAACGGAAATAAACAATGGGAACAAATAACGAAATAAATAATGGGAACAAATAACGAAATAAATAATGAAAACGATGAACGGAAATAAATAATGGAAACAAATATCAGTAAAAACAGTCTCAAAATCCTTCAAATTCTTCCTCACTGTCGCACTCCCCGAAGAGATCATTCCATTCCTTGCTGTCAACATCCGTTTCTTCATCTGTGTCATTGTCTTCCTCCTGCCATAAGGCATCATCTTCAGTGCCATCTAAATTGTTGCTGATGAAACATTTGAGAAACGACTTTTTGATCATGTCTTCTGGTATCATTTCCCATGAGGCCTTTACCCAAGACACCACTGTAGGCAAAGGAGGGCGCTTGAAATTACCTTCGGCTGTACGCTCAGCCATGCCATCTGCCATCCACTGTGTCCACTGGTTTCTCATGTGTGCTTTGAAGGGTCTGTTCAGGCTAACATCTAACGGCTGTAGCATTCCAGTCAACCCTCCTGGTATGACTGCCGAAACATTCGACTCCTTAAGAGACCTCTTTACCTTTTCTGTAAGGTGGGCTCCAAATTGGTCCCAGACCAACATTGAGGGTTTCATGCGAAGACCCCCATTTCTGAGCTTCCAGACCTTATTCAGCCATTTCAATACACCTTCTTCGTCCATTCATCCTTTTGGGTGCATCGGCAGTGCAACTGAGCACTACCGTAAAATGGGTTTTTTCATGCCCTGTTGTTTTTATTAGAATTGTTTTTTCACCTTTTGCGTTCAATGTCCTATTACTCGGCATGTCGATACACATTGGGGTCTCGTCCATGTTGCCCATTCTAGTCAGAGGGAAATCATGAGTTTTTCGATTGCTTATCACGAAACGTTGAAAGTTGATGATTTTTTCTTGGAATTCCGAAGGCAGCTTTGGGGCTATTTTTGTTTTCTGTCTAAGAGATATTCCATTCCTCATTAAAAACCTTGTGCACCAACTCGTGGAAGCAGTGAAAGTTGAGGTGCCTTGGTAATTACCGGATTTGGCCATCTGCAATGCTTGCAATTGCACTGCAAATCGAGATACACTGTAGCCATTCTGCCTTTGGCCATTGAACCACTCAAGAAGGTCCTTTTCCATTTCAGGATGTTGTCCAGTTTTGGGCCCTCTCTTGGCGCGTTTTGAACTTGGCATGGATTCCAATAAGCTATCCTTTCTCCATCTTCTAACATTACTCTCATCCACTCCAAACTTTCTTGCTGCTTCAAGGTTGCTTGACTTTTCTGCAGCCGCTACTACTTTGAGTTTAAAATAACAAGGGTAAGACATTCTTCTTCTGATAGAGTTCGACATGATAACGGTAGTTTAAAACTGGACTGAACGATAAATGACAAGACTATTTAAAAGCGAAACAAGCGAAAGCGATCAAGTGTGTGACAACCAATCACAGACTGTACAAGCGATCACGTGGGATCAGACAAGCACAAGCGAGCGACAACCAACCAATCACAGACTGTACAAGCGGCATGTGCCGATCAGCTGTATGATAAGACAATCACACCTGCACAAGCGAGCGAAAACAAACCAATCACAGACTGTACAAGCGTTCCGTGTTAAACAACCAATCACAGACTGTACAAGCTATCAGCTGTATGATGAGACAATCCACCTTCACAAGCGATCGTGTGTGTGCGTGCACGCTTGTTATCGTGAGAACTTGGTATGGTTTGAAGCTTTTGGAATTATCGGCAAGTCAGCATAATATCATCTCGTTGCGTGATCAAATTCAGATGCGCGAATGAGTCGATTTTTTGGTGCAATCTGAAATATGCTGTTTTTGAGTTTTAAACTCGGCCTATCTGCGATCATATACGGTAAGTCACTTTCACAGAATAAGATAATTATGTGTGATGGAATGGCTGAACTTCTCACCACTGTAGCGTGATTCGTATAACCCCTGGTCGTTTACGGCTTCCTCTACCATCAAGCCTATTAATCTCATCCCTGACATGGACTGGTAACCGAACAAGAGGCCCTGGTTCGCCATATGATTAAGACGACTCATTGACTCTCCTCTTCCCCACGATAAATATAAAAAAAATTCTAATTATTGCTTACCTATGATTCCTTGTTCGCCCTTTTCACCTCGCTGTCCCTGTGTTCCTTTCTCTCCTGTACTTCCAGGGATTCCTCTTTTCCCAGGTCTTCCTTGTATTCTTTGTGCGTTTTCCAGCCAGTCTAATTCTAAATGCATTTTCGATCTCGCTCTATCGTAACTCACAGAGCAAGTACTGTCAGATTTGATCTCCGTTATTACAACGCAAAGCAGGAAAAATATGAATCTTGTCTTCATCATTTTTATAGTATTCATCTTGAAATTATAAGTCAGATATGAGCGAAGTCTTGCGTGTTTTATATCTTTTTGTATTGGTTGCTCTATTTTTCACACAGAACACAAATCTTTTACTTTTAATCTGGGTGGTTTAAAGGTGTGTCTCACTTGTTTTGCTGAAAATTGTTCAAGGCTTTTTGTAATGGAATATTTGGGTCATGTTTACAGTTCATAGGGTTTTCAAGCTGTTAACATTTTTTGTGAACAACTTGCACTGAATTCTCTTTTTGTCTCATAAAACACTAGTAGGCTATATTATTTCTTTATTTGGTGGTTTTAGGGTGTGGATGCTCATTGGGCAAATTGTGATCCCTGTTTAGTAAACTTTTTTGTTTTTGGAATTTGTGGTCTTTTTATAGGTCATGGGTTTCTAAACCATTTTTCAAGCAATTAACAGCTTTGTGAATATTGTAGTTAAAGTGGATTCTCTTTTCATCTCCCAGAAAACAAGTATATTACTTTTGTACTGGGTGGTTTTAGGGTGTGTGACACTTATTTTGCAGAGTGTTATCCTTGTTATTAAATAAGATCTATTGTGTGTGTGGTTTAAGGTTTCCTCTTCAAAATACCATACCCAGGGGTGCAGCCAGTGGAGGGTTACATGGGTCGTATCACCTGCCTCCCATTTAAGAAATATCTTTGATGCAAAATTTCTTCTACAAAAGAGCAACAGCGTCGTTTTATGGTCGCTCATCATGGTTTCGCGACCAAACGATATTATTCTGTGTGTTATCACTGTAGCGCAATTAACACCGCCAGACCTTTTTCGTCTCTGCAATATGGTATCTTTTTTAGTTGGCGCTGATAATGGCGCTTACCAAAATGTCAGTTATCCTTTATCAATAAGAAAGTTTTTTTCATTTATTCTATTCTTCCACATTTCCACTGATCTTTCTCGGACCACTTGCGAGTCTGCGTTCCCAAGTTTGCGAACCTATAACCTATACGAAAGCTTTCAATCCAGCCACTGACAATATGAAATAAAATCCAAGCTTATGACAAGTTTATTGTTATCAATAACAAATAGTAAATAAAAGCGGAATTTCACAACTTTAGTAGGACTGTGTGAAATTAGAGTAAAGTTCATCTCTGGATAATAAGAGCAGCAAATTAATGATATTTATAAATTTTTTCAGACAAATATTCAAATCCAACTCTATTCTTTTAGAATTTGTTGAGTTTTTGGTAGAATTTAAAATCTTCAATCAGACTGACAGAAAATAATATAAAAATGCACTTCCAAGTTTTAATGTAAAAGCAAGAATCCAATTTCACAGATCTGTGTAGATGAGTGACTAAGGATTATGATCAGTAAAACTCATTTAGTTCAAATTCACAGAGTACTTTCATACGATCATTGCATGGTTGTCTTTCAACATCATCAGTACCATACTTAAATATTCCACAGTTAAACAGAGGTTTAGGCTCGCGCTGTTTCCAATACGTTGACCATATATTGCTATCTACTGCAGCCCCATCTAACCATTTAAAATCTCCTTCGATAAGATTTATTCCAATCCAGTAGTAGTTAGAGCGAGCTATTAGTTTTTCGTTATTTTGCACAAGACTCAAGATAGATGACTTTTGCAGGCCCATGTATGCCAGATGAGCATTCCTTTCTTCACAATATGTTTTCCCTTCCTCCCAAGTCATGGAAAAAGAGCTTGAAAAATATGAGAATCTTTCATTTACTTTTACCCAAGGGAGAGTCGCAAACTTCAGCATTTTGGCTTCTAAATTTGCCAAATATTCTTGCGAAACTTCACCTTTAGGACCTGGATGTCCAATCATTCCTGCATTTCCTTTTGGCCCTGAAATCAAATGTATGTTTAAAAGTTTTGAACTTTTCACCAATAATAACGAGTTTGATTTTTCTATCAGCAATTTCTGTGAAGTCCAAGCATCCGACGCAAATATCTGGCTTACTAGTTCTATGCCCATGGACTGGTTACCACACATGCGGCCATGTTACACCCTATCGCCATCTTATCGACTTTTCTCGCCCCCACGATAAATATGAAAAAATTCTAACTATTTCTTACCTATGATTCCTTGTTCCCCCTTTTCACCGCGCTGTCCCTGTGTTCCTTTCTCTCCTGTAATTCCAGGGATTCCTCTTTTCCCAGGTCTTCCTTGTAGTCCTTGTGCGTTTTCCAGCCAGTCTAATTCTAAATGCATTTTTGATCTGGCTCTATCGTAACTCACAGAGCAAGTACTATCAGATTTGATCTCTGTTATCACAACGCAAAGCAGGAAAAATATGAAACTTGCCCTCATCATTTTTATAGTGTTCATCTTGAAATTATATGTCAGATATGAATATGAGCAAAGTTTCGTGCGTTATATCGTTTTGTACTCCTTTGAATTTTTTTTTCTTTTACTGGGAGGTTTTAGGGTGTGTCAAGCTTGTTTTGCTGAAAATTGTTCAAATCTTCAATTTTTGAAAGCTTTGTTTTGAAGTTCGGGTCATGTTTACAGTTCAGGTTTTTTTAAGCAATAAACATATTTGTGAATATCTTAGAATGGATTTTTTTTCATCTCCCAGAACACAAGTATATTTCTTCTGTACTTGGTGTTTTTAGTGTGTGTGACCCTTATATTTGCAGAGTGTTATCCCTGTGAAGTAAGGCTTTGTGTTTTCATAGATAGGGGCCATGTTTATAGTTTATGGGTTCCTAAACCAATTTTCAAGCAATTAACATATTTGCGAATATCTTAGAAGAGAAAATTTTTTTCATCTTACACAAGACAAACATAATACTCTACAAGTCTGCTGCTTATTTTGCAGAGTGTTATCCTTGTGAAATAAGGCTTTGTGTGTTTCATATATAGGGGCTATGTTTATAGTTTATGAGTTGCTAAATCAATTTTTAAGCAATTAACATATTTGTGAATATCGTACTGTGATTTGGCTCAGAATCTAGGTTTAATCTCTACCAGTTTGCCTATTTTTATGCAAACACATTCTTCATTGTTTCACCATCACTTAGCTAATATGTTTAAATCTGACTGTGGTTCAAGTACAGCATGTAGTACATAGTACTACTCATTACTTATCGATTTTAATCGGTAAGTATGTTGATAGGTATTTGTCTGTCTGTATGTTTGTCTGTTAGATGCACGCGATATCTCACGAAAGCGAGATTGAATCTGCTCCAGATTTTACATGTGCATTCATCTTATCTCGAACCAGAAGCCTATTGATTTTGGGCGAATTATGTCGTATAATTAGCGAGTTATTAATCAATTATTGATATAGTGATCTAGATTTTTATAAAGCGAGAGAATTTTGAGACCCGCCGAGTGTGTGTGTGCGATGCGCAGTGCGCAAGTTACAAGAGCGGATGAATCGAAACTGCAGTTTCTGTTTTGGGGGATCCCCTAACTATCGATCGATAAGTCTTCGGTTTCCAACCGATATTCTTGTATTTGCCTTTTAAAAAGTGTTTGATGAGAATTACATTTTTACTTTGCTAGATTATGCGGTTGCCTAAAATTTCCCTATGCATAAAACTACATTCCCTTCAGATTACCAATGAATTCTTAGCTTGTGTTTTATCCATGTCGAACTCCCATGTTCGTACAGTTCAAGTATGTTATTATGTGTTCATGAATAAGTACTGTAGTGATGAAAGAAAATAAATTTCTTTTTTAGGTGAGTGAACACGTACCACTTCTTCTTGGCAAAACCTTCCATCTTGTATACATTCTGTACGTTTTAAACCTTATTTAAGGTTTTGTTTGCTCTCCTGATTTCATAATCAGTTTTTTATTTTTTTTTACCAATCATTTTATTGTTATGCTGATTATGGAGTCAAAATAAACTTAATATTATATTATTATATTATTATTATATAAAATAATAATAGCCTATCACAGCGAATATGAAGCAAAATGTCTCCCAAAAACAGCACAATTCTTTCCAAGAAAACAGCAAAATTATTTCCCGGTTGATTCCTTCCTGATTGGGCAACCTTCCACTATGCCATCACACTTAGGATTACTAACAATGTAATCAATTTCCTACCATTGTTAAAACTAGGGCTAGAGAGCCACGGAACTGTGATATTTTGGTGAAGCTGAAGCCAAGCTTACCATGTTAGATGGAGCCAGCTACCAGAAATTTTGGTACTCCCGAAGTATATGAACCAAGATGGTGGACACCAGAGTGTGGTTGTGTACCAGGTTAGGGTTAGGTCATAATTTCAGATACAAATACTACGGGGGTCACTTGGCTAGTCCCAGATCTTGTAATAAAACTAAAATCAGGAAAATTGGAACAAAATTATAGCCCAACCCTAACCTGTACACATACTACGATCCAGTGTCCGCCATCTTGATTCACATACTTTGGTGGGAGTACCAAAATTTTAGTGGCCCCCTCTCCTAACCATCTCATTATTTTTAACAACTGCATTTGGGCACTGCAGCAGGCATGGCAGTGGTCACACCTAAAAACCTTAATGTGTATGGAGCCCAGCTAGGACATAGAAAGAATAAATCTTCTGAGCCAGAGCTGGCACCACAGTTTGAATGTACTGCGACTCCAGAACTGGAGCCAGAGCCTCTGTGATTTTGAACAAGTTCCCCAGCCCTGGTTGAAACCCATAATTCGTGGAATAGAATCCTGAATCAATAAGTAATACATCAAAACCATTTCAAAATTTGATTACTTTGTACAAATAATCGCTAATAAGTGAGTTTATTTTGACTTTGTAACAGACAATAAACATATAAAGGCAATATAAGCGCTCTAACCTAAAATTGTGAAACTTGTAAACATCGTTTTGCGAAATTGAGAAAAACATGTGTTTCTGCATTTTCATTCTTTAACTTTTTATTGACTGGGGATGGGCAATATGGAATACAGAATTTTATAGGCTTATGCTTTAAACTGTGATTAGATACCAGCTTAAAGATTACTTATTTCTTTGTAACATTTTCGAATAAAACATTTTTGAAATTTTCACGTTTCCCTATTCGTTTTAAAACCTCAAATGCATGAATGATAAAAACATGATTAAATATGTCAGAATAGCAAACAAAACCTGCAATCAAGCTCAAAACGTGCAAGCAAAATTCTTAAATAACAAAAATATTGGCCTTGCAGTTGCGACATTGTGTAAATATGCTTGCTTCATCAATGATATCTTATATACAGCATGGGCTCCCGCTCCGTGACCTATCCGGTCTTGCATAGTGATCATCACAAATACTGACCAACCAATTATTTTTGAATTATTTTTTTCACTGTTGCTCCAAATGTATCATAGTGTTGAAATTGTTTGTGATAATAAAATCTCTGGTGTGTCTTCCCAGGTCTGGATTCATACACCTTTTGCTCCAAATAGGCCATGCCCTATTATTTTTGAAACGGCCAGAATTTTCTCTGTTTGGCATGGGTTACCCAGTTTTTTACACCCTGAGTTAGGTGGGGAAATTGAACCAGGGATTTTGACCTGCAATGCCAACACAATCTAACACTTTCTATGCCTTATGTAATTATCCCTACAAAATTTGAACCTGAGAACCCACGCAGGCCGTCAGAAGTGAGATGTAAACATTTAGCAAGGTGTGCCATCTGAACTGCCAAGCCATAATATAGTTAAACAGTCATATATATATATATATATAAATATACAGAGAGAGAGGGATATTGTAATAATCACATAAGTTTCATTAGTTTAGGATGTGAGATTTTGCAACTCAAATCTCAAGTTCAAAAGTAAGTTATTGTTGTCCAAAGTCTATTTCACACAGGACTTTCATAGTCTTGCTGCAATTTGCCCTTGAAAGTATATCACATCCCGCATTTATCCCAACACAGTCACCAGAACCAGGGCACCCTACTGTGGTAGTCCATGGATTTCCCTCAGCCACAACACCATCAGTCCATTGGTAGTTCCCATTTGCTTGTCGTTTTAGCCCGATCCAATAGAAATTACTACGGGCGATCAACTTTAAATTCCCCTTTATAGAATTATAAATTCCTGGGTCCCTTGGTCCCATGTATGCCAGATGAGCATTCCTTTCTTCACAATATGTTTTCCCTTGCTCCCAAGTCATAGAGAAAGAACTTGAAAAATAATAAAATCTTTCATTTACTTTCACCCAAGGGAAAGACGCTAGCTTCAGTATTTTGGCCTCTAAATTTGTCAAATATTCTTGTGAGACTTCACCTTTAGGGCCTGGATGTCCAATGTTCCCCTTTGATCCTGCAATAAAAATAAGACAAAAATGAAGTACCGGTAATGTTTTTCCAATTTGTTATATGCACTGGATCACAAGAATTGTATGCGTACCAATATGGAGGTAACTAATTTTGTTTGCCTACTTTACATCAAGTTGTGTAAAGGGACTGAAACCTATGGACAGGGGGTATATTCCCTTGGCTAAGACAGACAGTCCTCGAACTCGTAATAGAACTAAAATAAGGGAAATCGGAGTAAAATTTTGGCCTAACCCTAACCTGGTACACACACTACCCAAGAATGTTTACAAAATATTCTCAAAATTTACCTTTTTCTCCATTGAGTCCTCTCTCTCCCTTTTCTCCTCTTACACCAACCACACCCTGGAATCCACGCTCACCCTTCTGTCCTGGCACCCCTCGCTTACCAGGCCTCCCTGGCATTCCCTGTGTGTTTGGAACCCAGTCCAATTCAAAATGCATTTTTGAAGTCGTCTCGTCATAATTTATAGAGCAGGTATCATGCGCAATGATTCCTTTCTTGACGACGAATACTAAACACAGCATTAATGTTAGTTTCAACATATTGACAAATTTGCATTGACTTCGAGTTGAAAATGAATGAATGACCACGTTGCATCTTGTTTTATGGAAGTTTATTTGACCTGAAGCTTTTTTCTTTTTTGCGATGTAAAATTGTTTTGTGATTTCTGTAGTTAGAATTATAAGTGAGATTAATCGTTTTGTGTCTGCAAGCGTATCTTTAATAGTGATGGATTTGTTGCTTTCGTGAGCTGCTTTACTTAATATTTTAACTTGAATCTTATGTTTTCTTGGACCACCCGACATTATTCTAGAAAACTTGTCTGTAAGCGTGGTTGAGTTAACCACAGGAACATTCTGTATTCAGTATTAAAATGGAACAGTGATCTCACTTTTTTATCTTGACACTAGATTTGTTTTGTGGGTCGAAACCCCCTTCTTTTCAAAATGTAAAAAAAAATGTAGCTAAAACACTCTTTAGACCTTCAGGACTCATAAAAACCTACGTTTTCCAGACGCTACGCCCCGCTAGCAGCGTCGAAAGTTGAATAAATAACTTTTGTTTTCTGAACATTATAATATGTCAAATGCTTAAATGATAAATTTTCTACATGAAAATTTTTTAAATTTGTTTTGAATTCAGGAATATTTTGTATCCAGTAATGGAACCAATTAGGTCTAGTTTCATGATCTATTCCATTCATCTACTTCAGAGGTGGGCAAATCACGACCTGCGATGTGTTGCACCGGGCCCACTTGTACGTGCTGAAATTAGTACTGTAGTTTTTATGAGATAATGAAAATAACTTCATAATGACCCCTGATTGTTACACTGTACTTCTTAATATTATATAAACGTTAGCCTAGCTGTTGGACTAGCTTTTGTAAATAAACTGTTTTTACTCATAGTTTTCATCTTGTGTTTTGAGCCTCCGGCCCAGTAACCAAGTCTTTGTAACAGGCCCACTCAAAAAAATAATTGTCCACTCATCCCTGATTTACTTAGTTTAGTGAGGTCAATTCTACCAATTATACTTTGACAGAATTTTGTTCCACATGGGCGATATGCTGGGATTTATTTCACCTACGTACTTTATTTGTATTGAAAACATGATCCAGCACTATTGATGATAATTTGGCTGAATTTGCGTCTGCATGAGCGATATGCCATAATTTATTTCACCCACATACGGTACATCTTTAGTGTAGTGAGAACAGGGTCCAGATTTTTCAGTAGGTGATTTATTTCACCTACATACTTAATTTGTATTGAAAACATGATCCAGCACTATTGATGATTATTGGGCGGAATTTGGTTCCGCATGGGCGATATGCCACATACATCTTTAGTGTGGTGAGAACAGGGTCCAGATCTATTGATGATTATTTGGCGGAATTCGGTCTCGCATGAGCAATATTGTCGTTTGTACGGTTCATTTCATCTACAGGAGCTCCTGTAGTGGTTTATTACGACACATGATTCATTATGTCTGCTGAATGTCTGAGTCTGTTATTTGTTGAGTCACGGTCACAGTTAGCGACATTTTTTTCGTTTGGGAGAATGGAAAATCCTTTGTTATGATTTATGAATCATTGCCGGTGTCCCGATATGGTAAAAACTTTTTTTTCAATGTGTAGGGTTGGGTTTCAACCAGCCTTCACAAAAATTGGTGACAAATAGTATAAAAGAGAGGATTTTATACTCTCACACATCAGTTTGCTCAGATATTTGTGGGAAACATTGATTGTAACGTTCATTTTGTCATGATGTGGCGTTTGATTGGTTTATGCTATGTTCTTACCATTGTGACATCACAAGAAACATGTTCTATAAATTATGATGCAACAACTTCTAAAATGCATTTTGAAATGGATTGGAATTCTGGTTTAAAAGGCATTCAAGGTTTTCCAGGAAAGCAGGGACCATCTGGAAAGCGGGGACCACCGGGATTGAAAGGGGAAAGGGGTCCACCAGGGCCATTGGGAGTAAATAACAACCAAGGAGGAGCAAAAGGTCAAAAAGGTGAAAATGGAATGAAAGGTGAAAGAGGTGAATGGGGATTGGCTGAACTTCCAGGGTTCAAAGGACAAAGTGGACAGAAAGGGGAACCAGGAAATGGTGTTAATTCTGACATTTCCTCTAGATTGGCGAAAATTGAGGCTCGTCTAGATGCATTAGAATCTATGCCTCGCCATTCTCCCCCACTCATCATCGCAGAAGACCATGGTGGGGTTATTAATTGACACTTTTCTGAATTCTGCTATGTTGACCCTTTTATCAGACTGATAATTTTGTGATTCGTTGCCAATTGCAAGCTGTATTTTCATATTTTTCATTTCATTCTAGTCAATTACGTAAAATAGTGTTCTTGCTGAAAACAGATACTCCCGTATTGTGTGTACCAGGTTAGGGTTACAGCATTTATTCCGATTTTTCCTATTTTAGTTCTATTACGAGTTCGAGGACTGTCTGTGTTAGCCAAGTGAATATACCACCTGCCCATAGGTTTCAGTCCCTTTACACAACTTGATGTAGAGTAGGCGAACAAAATTAGTTACCTCATATTAGTACACATACTTCTGGAAAGCTGAAAACAGAATGCTCTGACATAATTAACCAGCAATGCCTTATTCAGACGACGTGTATTATTCATTGTCATCCATTTATTGTTGGGTTAGTTGAAGTTTAGCTATATTGATTCAGTATTATACTTGTAGTTTATTCGTACCTTTTACCCTTACTCATTTAAAACTGGTCGAATGTTTAAAAATTGAAATTCTGTGTTTTGATGAAAATGAAATGTCTGGCCTGATGCAACAGATCTTGATCGGGTTAAAGGGCGAAACTCTCTCTCCTGCGTGGATTTTGACTTTGTTTACCAGTGCTAGCCTGGGACTACTCTACCTCTCAAGCCTGGGACTACAGACTACTCTACCTCTCAAGCCTGGGACTGCTCTACCTTTCACGCTTATTCATTCCATATTAGTTTAATTCACAATAATTGAAATTGTGTTTTTTTTGTTGAAAATAAAATGTTTGACCTGATGCAACAGACCTTGGTTGGGTTACATAGTGAAACTCTTTTTCTTGCATGGATTTTAGCTATATTGACTTAGTACGGTACTTGTGGTTTTTCCATATCTTGTACCCTTATTCATTTCAAACTGGTTGAATTTTCAAAAAATCGAATTGTGTGTCGAATTGTATGTTTTTTGAAAATCCAATGTTTGGACCCAAATAAATATCACTGCATTATTAAAACTTCTTGTATTTTGACGCCTGTGAGAATCCTATAGAACAGTGGTTCCTAAATGTTGGGGCGCGCCCCACAAGGAGGGCGTAGATGATTTTTAAGGGGTGTGAAACTAATTAGAAATAAAAATATTTGTTAGATTGGATCTTGCCCGCCTTATTTTGCCTATTTACGTTCCATCCACATATTTTCAATGTGTTTTCTGAACATAACATACCTTTGCTCTACTATCTGTTACTTGTAGCTTATTGTTAGATAGTTATTTTCAAGGTGGGCCGAGAGACTTGACGAATTCTAAAATAGGGGCGCGGCTTAAAAAGTATATGCATACAGATCCACACGCAAAAGCTTAGAAGAGGGATAGGTAATTGTTCGGCGAAAACCCAGTCTGATTACCATACCAGCAAAAATCTTTTAAGATTCTGGCTTCACACCCCCATGTTACAATAAGTTAATAGATAATTTTTTTGCTGTTTTGCAGGTAAACAGGCCAGAATTTGTGTACAGTTGTGGAAGAAATTCACAGATATGGGAAGTTGGAAGATCAGCCTTGGAAAGCAGGGCCAGTGAAAGAGTTTTGCAATTGGCACTCCCGAAAAATCCACCCAAGGAATACAAAGAAGACAGGTATTCTGAAGTTTGTTAAATCTTTTTAGGGTCTGGTAATTTCATAAACCACGGTTAATATCATTGTGAAGGAAGTAACCCGCTTTTAAGCAATGGTATGGCACTTTTATGGCGGGTAAAGGTCTTTTCATTTTCATTTTATTAAAAGGTTTCATATATTTTATTCCCTGATATTTTGTTTATTGATGAGACAGATTATAAAAATTTTTTTTTTATTAAAGATGTTGTTCAAGAATATAAAGTGTACCATGTACCAAAGTACCATGTTTCACCTTACATAATACGCTGTAATATGTATATTATGTACCATTATGTCTAATTTGCAAGTTGTTTCAGCACATAAGTCACTAGCAATTGGTAGTCTCTCTGTGTTTCTGATTCCTGCTCCTCTTTTGCATAGCCGGTCTTTTTTTCTGCGCAAATGTTTCACACATTCCGCCCATTTATATTAGCTGTGAGGCAAGGTGTTTGATGTGATTAATGTTTCCCTGTGCCAGAGTCTTGTTCCGATTAGAATTTTCTTTCAAGTAACTGCTGGTCGGTTGCGGCTTCCTCCACCATCAAGTCCATGTATCTGAAAACAAATAACTGGCTAACTAATTTTGTCATACCCGACGTGGACTGGCATCGGACGAGAGGCCGTGGTTCGCCTTATGATATCGACTTTCCCCTCCCCCAGGGGTTTCATAATAGGTTGTAATCCACAGGTCTATATCTCTGAATTACTTCTTTCTCATCAAGTTTTCTTACGTTCATCAGGCTTCAACATCAATATAGTTGTGGCCGAGTTTCACCGATATGGAACGTACCAATACGAGCACAGACTTGCAAAGAACGACCAAGAACAGCTGAACTTGCCAAGTCTAAACGACCTCACCCAGAATATGTGCCAAACAGTGAGGTTAGACTTTTTTTATACCTAAGCTCTCGACAAGGCTCTAAGCAAGCATCCATTAATACAAATGATTGTGGGGAGCTGCAGTTTGAGAAACCAGAAATATTTCAGTAGTATTATATAATTTGATCTATTTTACTCAAAATGAGAAAAAAAGGATACAACAATCATAGTTTTGCTGGGGTAGGGGAAGCTGGTTATTTAGCAACGACACTCTGGGTTCTAATATCTAATGAAAAATATCTATTCCAATTTGGGAACAACAGTTATTATTATCAGTGGCTTGATAATTAATGAACAGACGAAAGGCTGTGGTACGCTATATAAAATAAATCTTATCGGACTTCCTCTCCCACGAGATAAAATGAAAAATACTTTTTTATATTTTTATGTTAACTTTCAGGTAATGACCACAATCAACCCAACAGCTTTGAAAGCGTATTGCACCATGCGAGTCTCTGACCTTGCTCGACCTAAGAGTAGAGGAGAACGACCTTTCATTGATTCAAGGTCACCAGAGGAATCTATATGGAAGGTCAGAAAAAGCAGCTCATACTTCTCTGATACTCTTGCATCGGTAGATCCGTATGCATATAATGCAAGGATGCTGTAGCAAGAGTGAAGATAGTTATTCTAAGTGATTCAAGAGTCTTGCTGCACACTAACACAAATATTTTTCCTGTAACATTGGGTGAAACATTACAAAGATATATTTGTGTTAGTGTGCAGCAAGACTCTTTCAATCCTTTCTCATATTTTTATCTAGAAATAAGTCAAAGCATTGGTTTTAAAAGAGATAAAAGCGTTTTTTTTCTTTAAACTGCTTCGAATCTCGTTTCAATCTGCATTTAGTTTACTGCGTAATGTGTCACCATAATCCTGTAAGTTTTTTTGGGTATTGGCATCTCAGCAGTTGCTATCTGTAAAGTAACTTTGCTCAGAGAAGATCCTCTACTTCTGAGTGAGTATGTGAGACTTTGCTTTGAGTAAAATTCTGTGTTAAATGGCCAGGCAATTGGGGCATTGAACCATAACTCTATATTATATTTGCGGTAGCTATTGGCATTTGGGTGCTCGCTTGTAACTTTGATCAAGAATGAGTCTTCTTAACTTCTTATTGCTCCTTACCAATGTTGAGGAAACACCATTTACCAAAGACTCAAAGTTACTTTAAATGTTGCAGACTCTTCATCAAATAACTGCCAGTGAGTCGTAACTCAGTGATCGACTTGTATGTTTCGGGACTTGGGGTTTAGAAAGTCTACTCCCCAGCTCTGCTCAATGTGAGCGAATTCTCCTGAAACATCTGGGTAAAAAGGGATCATAAAAAGAGTTTAGGGCTTATATAATTTCAGTTACAATCATACAAAGAAGTTTGAGTGTTGAATGGAAGAAATTAAGAAATTATTCATCCGCAGGTCTCGATGCCCGCTAGATCTGCCACAGCCAGTCCACGTGTCATGGAAATGGCAAAGTTCAAAGGGTATGCAGATGGATATGTTGCCAATCGATCTGTCCAATGGCCGGTATCAAGAGCGACAAGACGAGCAGTTGCAACTCCACGACAAGAACAATTATCAGCACCAATTGTCAGGTACCAGTGGTTCCCAATATATCGTTATTTTTTTGGTACTCTCGTAGTGTGTGTACTAGGTTAGGTTAGACCAGGGGTAGCTAACACGCGGCTTTTATGACGGTTTCATGCGGCTCTTTTCGCTTTGATTATTCTAAAGAAAAAATAACTTACAAACCGTGATTCATTATGTTTCGATTGAACATTTATGATTCATTGTGCATTCTTCTTTCATTTCGAACGCACACTAGGGCATTTATTCACGTTACGATGCAATCGTACTCTCACATTTTTTCGTTACAGGAGGCCCGCCAGACCTAGATCAGTTTCCATGGTTTCATGGGAAGTTAACTAGACGGTTTTTTACTGTTTCTGCACATTTTAGCAAGGTTTATAGTGTTTTTTTACGGTTTTTCACTGTAGTACGTCACAATCTCATTCTTTGGTGTGAAAATCGCTTATTGCACTACAACGGCTATCGTATCGAAAACGAGGTCTGGCAGCAAATGCGCAGTTTACCATTTGAGTGAATTGATTGAACTGAAGTTCAGTCACAGGTTATGTCTTCGACGACCCATTTAATTCTCAGACAGACAGTTTGAAATTCCCTCCAGTCTGCAACTGAGATGAATTTAGAGATCTAAAAGAGATTGTTCAATTCAAGGAATAACATAGGCCCCACTAAGTAGCATGCATACCAATTGATGGCTTGTAAATGTCCGTCATAATCATGTTTGTTTGTGAAATTTAGAATGAACTGACATTCTAGCAGAGATGAATAAACATATGTTTTCCATTTGTGTTTTAGTTTATAATGTGGCTTATTACCATAAAGTATTAAATGCGTCTCTTGGTCTCTGAATGGTTGGCCACCCATGGTTTAGACCATAATTTGATTCCGATTTTCCTTATTGTAGTTCTATTACATTTTTGGGGACTGTCTGTGTTAGAAGAGTGGACATACCCCCTGTCCATATCTGAACATCCACTTCTGGAGCGCTTTTTTTGGAACAGTGGTGGCCACAGTCCGAGCCACCGAAGTGTTGCACCGGCCGGCCCACTTGTTTAAATTGAAATTTAAACCATATTTTTTATGGACATACATTTTTGTTGGGAACATCGATGAAAATAACGTCATAATGACCCCAATGGTTACATTATGCTTTTCATTAATATATAATTATAATTTGATTCACTATCAAGGTGGTCACTGACTCTGATGACCGTATGTTCGCATCACTCCCCCAGGTTATAATGAAGGTCTATTTCTCGCTGATAATTTTAGCGAAGCTGTTATTTTTTTTCCATCAAACATGGGGGCTGAGACCAACATTTCTCGTATCCGAAAAATCTCGCCGCAGAAAATTTCTCCGCATGATAAATCGCCGCAAGAGCATTTTGCTGTAAAACAAGTATTTGTGATAGAAACAGTTAGGTTTATAGGGACATAACTGTCTTTATCACAAATATTTGTTTTACATCAAAATGCTCTTGCGGCGATTTTTCCTATGGGGAGATATTTCCTGTGCAAGATTTCCTTCGATGAATTTTCCTAGAACCAACATTTCTATCTTAGCTTCTCTGTGGCGCATTTTAAGGGGGTGAGGGGATGGCAACGCCTATGTGGCGTTATGCTAACTACCGACAATGTTTCTTCCATCCAGATTCAGAGATTTCACATTTTATCTTTTAGAGCTTCCATGGATCATGTTCAGTTCAACCCAGACGCATTTTTAGTAAGTGAAGCCGCCAAGAAAGCACGATGCACTCCAAGATTAGAAGAATTATCTCACCCAATTCAACGATGATGAACATCAAACCTCCATTTTTTTGACTTGTTTTAAATAATATAATTCAAGAATTCAATTACACACAATTTACAGTAAAACAGAATAGAGAAGAATAGATTTTTATTCCTAATTTAATAAATATGAATGTGTTTATTGATTGATTGATTGCCCTTATTATTTATATACATATACGGATACTTCCCTGTGGTATAGAAAAATACAACACACAATTTTTGATTTGTTTAAAATAACACCATTCATGAATGCAAGAATTATTACTGGTTTAATAATAAAAAGATAATGGGTTGGCCATCCCAGCCGATTTGGTTTGGTTTTGAAAAAATTTTAAAATGTGTGAATAAATTAATTTTTGGATCCTACATAGCAATTTTTGGTAGCTTACAAAACTCTTCTTGGACCCTCGTGAGTAAGACTCCTAAAAACGTGGTCTAACTTGGCAATTACAAATTTCAGAACTACGTTCATAATTCCTGATTCTATTCTTTATCGCTGTTTTGTATGATACATACTGCATGCTTTTCTCCACATACTCCGATCCTATACACAGTTCCATTACTGTTACCTAAAAGCTGTTCTAATTTAATCCGTGCTTTGACTGTTTGAAATCTATTGGTGATCAGTAATTTATTTTTCACCATGCTGAAAAATACGAATTCTACATAGACAATTTAAAAGGGAATATATAAAAAAAATCGCATTTCAGGGTGAAGGGAGACGCCGAAAACCATAGCTGGTTATCGAGCGGCGACACTGTTGAGAAAGTCTAACAAAACGCGATAAATACAATGAAGTCGAACAAAAATATGTTGTTCAATAAGTAAAATGAAGGAGCAATAGGTACACCAAGGCGACATGGTGAAACCAACCAGTCGCCGTTTCAATCAAAAGAAGGTAGACTCCAAGCACCACAGTCTATGTAACCATGGAGATTATATTGCAAAATAGTTTGGGAGTGTTGACAATACGAGGTGCCGGTAACGTTTTATTGATTAGCAGAAGATAAAATGGTGTTATTTTTTTGTCATGATCCCAGGTTTGAACAGTGTGTCTTTAATGAAATGAAATATCGTCAACTAAAGCTTTAAGGCAGGGGTCGGCAACCTTTTGTTGCTCGCGGGCCAAAATTAAAGGTTTCAAGTCATTTGCGGGCCGCACATATTTAAAAAAAGTTAAAAACCGAACAAATGGCCGATGAATCGCACAGATCGGAAGTTAAGTATTATGCAGCGCGCGAAGACTGACCATTTGAATATTTTCTGCACCATTAAACCATTTGCACTCAGCATCAACTTTTCTGGGTTTTGTTGCCAGTTGTGTAATTATAATTAAATTATAGGGGTCAATAAACGCGTTATTGTGAAGTATATACTTGTTAGGATGTGATATAATTTAGTCTACACGTGTCTCAAAATAAATTTTGTTATGTAAAGAACAAAATCGTCAAAACAGCTGTTTTGTTACCATAATTCAGTGAAGCGTCGCAGGCCAGATTGTATTGCTCCGCGGGGCGTAGGTTGCCGAACCCTGGTTTAAAGTTTGTGAGTGCTTGCCTGATTTGCAATTTTCGAAACTCTGTAGTTTCATATGGGTATAGTAGTAAAGGATGCGTGTACAGAAGCGCCTTTATTCCAGGAAGGTTCACATGGGACTCGTTAGGGCACTCCCATAGTGTGTGTACCAGATTCCGATATCCTATTTCCGTCGTGCATGAAATATTGTACCGACACAAGTAAGAAAAAAAGTTCATAAAGAGACGTACAATATTGACGCGGGGCCGCGAAAGACTACCGGAGTCCTCGTGCCAGGGTCAGCGTGTTTGCTGGGCAGAAGACGTCAAGTAAAGTGAACTATTTTTCAATAGGTTAGAGTTAAGGCATAATTTTATTTAGATTTTCCGAGTTCGAGGACCGTCTGTGCTAGCTAAGTGAATATCCCCCTGCCGATATGTTTGTGCCTTTACACAACTTGATGGAAAGTAGGGAGGGAGTCTTTTGTTTTCATTTATCTTGCTTAGAGAGATTTCCTGCTATCGACAGGGTGAGAAAAAAATTTGCGCTATCAACTGGGTCTTATTTCAAGGTGAGGGCTTATATTGAAATCATTTTCAATGAACACGCTATTTATTCCACAATGAAGCGATAAGCATGGACAGTTATATTCTGGGTTACGAATCGCCTGAAATATCACGTAAGTTATCGGTACACTTCAGGACCTAGACAGGCGGAATTCAGGACAACCCCATACACCTCCACAGTTAATGGGTCATCAGCTTGCGCCAATCGCGCTATCTTTAATTTCCTGAAACTATTTGTTGTTTTGATTGAGACAGGGGTGTTGGTCGACGAGGAATGCTTGATTCTTCGACATGAAAACTATTTACATATGCCATATGTTTAGAACTGACATGGGCAATCTACGGACCGCACGCCAAATGAGGCTTGTTTGGTAATTTAATCTGGCCCGCCTAACGCTGCCAAAATCAAACTAAAACCAAAGTTTGATGTTTTAGTTGAAAATAAGTCAATGAATCTGTTGGGTTTACGCACGAGGTTCATTGTATTCCACTTTTGCTTTAGGAACACTTTGAATATTGTTCATAAAATGTATCTTTTATGTCACACTCGCATGGCCTGCCAGTCTAGATGGGTAAATTCCTGGACCCTGTTCAAATAACCTTGCCCACCCGTGGTTTAGAACTTCTGTGGTAAATTATATTTAGATCTTTCTATGCGTCTGAAAGCCTAAGGCACCGGTACGGCTTTCTGGACGTGTGAAGTGTGACAACACAGATAGATTTTATTATCACAAACGAAGTTAAAACTATGATAAATTGAAATAAAAGTAATTTATTATAAAGTATTAAGTTTATTTCGACTTCATAATCAGTAGGCCTATAACATGCAATGAAATGATTGATAAAAACATTATAAAAAATGACAATGAAATCAGGATTGCAAACAAAACCTTAGATAAGGATTAAAACGTATAGAATATAAGATCGAAGGTTTTGCCAAGAAGAAGTGGTAAGTGTTCACTCAGCAAAAAATATTGAATTAATTCACACGCACCCACTAACACAACCACAGAGATATTATAAAGTAAGAAAACGCGATAATCGTCGAAATTAGTTTAATTTTTACAATTATTTATAATACGTTTTTAATTTAGGCTATAATAGGTTTTTAACAGTGAGTGAATAAGTATTTTATAAGTTTATTTCGACTCCATAATCAGCATATCAGACGATAAGATAATTGATAGAAGCAAGTAAATATAATTGATTATTAAATAAAAAATGCTGTAAATTTGTTTCTTTAATATGTTCGAGGGGAATACTGGACAGGCGGTCGACTGCATCATGTCCCATCGTCTAAGTTCACGAATCTAATAAATAAATGTTTGTTAAAAGCGTAGCCCTTTTCTTCCTGTGATCAGTGTTTTCGCATTTCAAATTGACTTGAAAGCTATTGCCAAATTTTGTATCGTGTTTGTTTATTTTGTTGTTTGCTTCAACTATTTTTAGTGGACGGGCGCTTATATTGTAAGTCTTCAACTTTTCCTTAATTTATACACGTCTTCCATCTATCTTTTTTTATTTTAGTATTGATATATGTCGGGCTCATTCTAGTCGAGCTCACACGAGGGGTGATCGTGCACTCAACCTGCAGTCGATAGCACGGCAATCGTACATAATTAAAAGGTTGAATTGATAATTTGAACTCAGATCGACGTCGAAATAAGGTTTGTGACACTAGTTGGTTTTTGTGGCGTTAAAGTTCATATTTAGCTGGCGCGTGACATACTCAAATTTTATGAAAGTATTTCAATTTTTTATCTAAAACAAAATAATTCATATAATTTATGAACTATTCATGTTTTAACAATCCAACAGTAATACTTTACAATATATACTTTACAAGTAAGGCATGGCATGTAATTTTTAAATCTCGATGACGCCATAAAGTTACACAATCGCCATTTATTTCATTTCGCGGCTGGCTATGTGCATATTCCAGTTTTGGGATTCTTATTTCATATATCTATTTTCTGATATTTTATGCGTTATTACGGACAGAAATTTATTTCAAAATATAGGCAGGCCGTTAGAGAGTTACGGTAGCAAGTTGATGGACTGCTGAATTAAAGGTTTCTGCTCAATGTGATGAATTGCTGGTATTGCAGTATTGAAACGGATGGTTCGTTCATATAGTGATAAGGCCAAATGCCAGAATGTTGGAACATTAGGCATAATTGTGATGTTAATAGAAATTGGGGGTCTTTCCCACTTCGAATTCATTGTCAAGCACAAATCAATGATTTTTTGCTTCGTTTGCTCACCTGATTTCATAATCCTGTAATCAGTTTCGATTTCTTTGTTTTTATTAATCATGCAATTTTTATGCTGATTATGGAGTCGAAATGGACTTATTTTTAATACTTTAGTAATTATTTTATACCCTGAGTTACCATGTCAAGGGAAACTGGAGCTGCCGTGATACAGCGCCATGGCATTCTGGTATTGGTATGCCATAATGCAGACAGCTTATACCGGTACATACTGCAGTACTGTTATATTATACTTATAATTATTTTATACCCTGATTTACCGTAAAAGCGCCTAACTTCGGACAAAATTACTATATTTTCGTCAATAACTCGGCCATTTATTGTCCAAACGATGCCAAAATTGCTCGGTAAAACATTCGTGCGGTAATTTAGATTCCCTGCAACTTTCGGTTCAATTGGACTATTTTCACTATTGAAATAATCTATTTTTCTTGCAATCTGACTGTTATCTTTCACTGCCCTAACTTCGGACAGTCATTTTCTTCACTTCGTAACCGCGACGCACAGAGAGAGAGGCTTCCGATGCGGATGACGTAATCACGTCGTTGCGTGAAGATAAGACGCTCGATCGTCGTCGTAACGTAACATTAACGTCACGACGAAAATGCATTATTTGAAACTTCCGTTGTCCTATGTTTACATCTTTCGCTCCTTATTTTCGTTACGTCAGATAAGTATAACAACACGTTAGTCATTTTAATCAGGAAATACATACGTAAATATATCTGATGCAAACCGTTTCAATCCACAATGAAATATTTTAACGGGCTTCTATCGAAGTCTTTGAAGTATTAATATTCTCGACGGATAGCTTGGTTTATTCTGCGCGGTTATCTTTATAAGTGATAATTTATATCAAACACACGGTGAATCCGATTGTAAAGTTTAATTTAAAGTTCAACTTAATTTCGTTAACATATAAGTCCCGTTTATTTGTTGGAGATTAAATTAATTTTTAACTTCGAGTGAATAAAATTCACCCAGGCCGTATTCAATAACTGTCATTTTGACTACTAATCATAAAATAATTGTTAAGTCAGTACACTGTGCCATACAGACGTTTGATTTTTTACAGTTTTATATATTCGATTTTCAACGTCATCGATTAAGTGTGACATGTACTTTCATTAATGTAATTTTGGCATATATTCACACATGGACCGAACAAAATACAAAAATATTACATTGGAACGCCGTCTTTATCTTAACGAAAATTGTCATATTGGCGCCGTTGTGTCTGGCGTCAAAATTCATTTCCGCGCCGCAGTGTGACGTCGTGTCGGAAGTGAGCGAAAAATAATCTACGTGAGGTTGACGTAACTTTTGACCCTGCGTGAAATCTTAATATTCTTACGGAATTTATAATTCAGAATTTTAGGTTTTATTTAAATCTCGTATGACATCTTGCGATCACTCAAATAAAATATATACATTGTTATCGCCCTCTACCGAATGATGGTATTTTGACGATGATAGCTTTAGTAGGAGCGAAGCCGTTGAATGCCGGGCAGGCAATTTTCGGCAAAATTGCCGTTTTTGTACCAAAAAAATTATAATGCCACATTAAAAAAGATGAGAATAGATGTAGATATAACAGCGCTACCTATAATAAATGAAATTAGCAATATATGGCGCGTTTTAGCCAAGATATGGCCGTTCAAAAATTATGTCTGAAGTTAGGAACTGTCCGAAGTTAGGCGCTTTTACGGTACCATATCCAGATATCAGGAGAAATAGAGCTGCCATGATACAGCGCTAGGGTACGCCAGACATGCTTCTGTCAGGTTTAACAGTCGGGCACAGTTCACCGATCGCAAGATGTCCCGTATTTAGATCCATGACAGAAACAATTTGATAATCAATTGACTGAGTGTCTGGCAAATGAATGAGATCATGCTATGGTTGTTGATTTAATAATATAAATCAATCAGGACATGCATCTGCTGTCATGTGACCAAAGTCGCTCATGCCAACTGTTTTTTGTGCTAAAAAGTGGGAATGCTACGATAAATTATTTTTCTAACTCACTAACCCCAGCGATCTCTGAAAAGCACGGCGTTTTTGTCATCTGTCCAATATTGTTGACCGTCAGCCTAATTACTCATCGATTTTAATCGGTAAGTATGTTGATGGGTATTTGTCTGTTAGATGCACACGATATCTCACGAAAGCGAGATTGAATCTGCTCCAGATTTTGCATGTGCATTCATCATGTCGTGGACCAGAAGCCTATTGATTTTGGATGAATATGTCATATAATTAGCAAGTTATTAATTAATTAGTGATGGGACACAAGGAGTCACTATGGAGTAAGAGTGCTGTTTTGGGGGATCCCCTAACCTTCGATCGATAAGTCTTCGGTCTCTGACCGATATTCTCGTTATTTAATTGTGAAGTTTACAGCAAACATTCTAATTTTACTTTACCATGGCTTAAAACTGGAAGCCTCAAAAGATATCGGGATAAGCCGATTGTGCCAGTTGATGCACAAAGTAAGTCCATTTTCCTAATTTTTTAATCCTCAATTTTACCTTCTAAGTACTGTGTGTTCCGCGTCGGTGTTCCGGGGCAAAAAAAAGTTTGAGAAACGCTGCTATAGCTGTTCAGCAAGCTATCAAAAATTGTGATATAATGATAAATCATTCTCTATTTCCTCGCAGTATATTATTTAATGAATAGCTCAAATACCGAGATGTTTTGAACCAAGTGCAAAAAAATGCAAAATGTCGTCAGGTATCAATGAAGGAACGAACAGACCAGATATTGAACTGGATTTATATTTCTTGATCGCGAGATTTTTGTCTCAGGGACCATGTACTGAAGCAGCCAAGACTTTAATACTAGAATTAGAAAAAAATGGATTATTACACAAAGATATATCATGGACTGGAGAAACCAAAAGGCCGACGTTTGAACATTCATTATCAACTTTCCGGGACATTTCTCCCGATTTTCTTTTTCAAGTTTGCCAAAGATTAGGTCCTTTATTGAATAACTCATCACCCCCGTCTAGTGTTGCCAAATCATCTATATGTGGGGCAGGTAGATATTCTTTTTTACGCAATGAAAAAACTGTTGTTCCCACTAGATGGAGCTCAAGGTCTTTTTCAGCTTGTGTTGAAGGAAGACCTCTTGTACCCCCTCATAATTTTTCTCCGTCTCACAATTGGGCCCTTGGTATTTTTGGTCGGGAACATGGAGGCACGAAATTCAAAAATTTACTAAGGCCTACGAAGACTTTATATGGCAAAATGAAATTACATAGAAGGGTTTTAGGGCATTTATCTTCTGTATATTGTATTCTTTATGACCGAACTGGTTCTAGGATATTCACAGGGTCTGATGATTGCCTTATCAAATGTTGGTCATCAAATAAAGGCAGATTACTTTCAACTTTTCGGGGTCATCAATCAGAAATATGTGACATGGATATATCTTACGAAAACACAATTTTAGCTTCTGCAAGTTGTGACAAGGAGATTAGAATCTGGGACATAAGAAGTGGAAAACCCATTACAATTTTACAAAGTCACAGCGCTATGATTACAAGTATTGAATTCAGCGCTTTAGTACAAGGTGAAACACGATACCTCATTTCTACGGGCCGAGATGGGAATGTATGTTTCTGGATTTGGAATTCACAAACTTTAGAATTTGCTACTCAGCCTATTAAATTTCAGGAAAGAAATCGCCCCGGTGTTGCTATGTTGTGTTCATCATGCAGTGCTGGTGGACGATTTATTGCAGTTGGAGGATCTGACAATCTTGTCCATATTTATCAAATTCCATTCGAATGCGGTGCGACTATGATAGGACCTATGACTATTGCAGAGCAAGACGAACACAATAATACTGTAGATAGCATCTGGTTTTCTCATAATGGCTTACGTCTTATAAGCGGCTCAAAAGATGGTACGGCTCGAGTCTGGAGTTTCGAGTTTTCAACGTGGACCTCATTAGTTTTGGATGTTTCTAGAACATTCGATAGTCCTTTAGATGCAAGTATTATAGACTCAAACAGTCAAACTAATTCAAAAACTCAAAATAATAACAACGCAAGTAAGATAAATGTGACTATGGTAGCATGGGATTGCAATGATGAAAATGTAATGACTTCTTTGACGGATTACACAATTAAAGTATGGAATTCGGTAACCAGAAAACTTTTGAGCATTTTAAAAGGACACAAGGATGAAGCCTATTGTCTTGAACCCCACCCTAATGATAAGAGGATTTTACTATCAGCTGGGCACGACGGCAATGTCTTTTTATGGAATGTCGATGACGGAAGCGTGATAATGAATTTTCATAACATGCTGGAAGGACTTGGTCATGGCGCAGTTTTTGATGCAAAATTTTCACGGGATGGAAATTCTTTCGCTTGTACTGATTCGCATGGTCATTTATTATTATTTGGATTTGGTGATGGTAAGCCTTATACAAAATCACCTGTACAGCAGTTCTTCCATACTGATTATCGGCCACTGATTCGTGATCAGCATGGATATGTGTTAGATGAACAGACACAGCAAGCTCCGCATCTCATGCCTCCTCCATTTTTAGTCGATGTCGATGGCAATCCATATCCCACAGATCTTCAGAGACTTGTTCCTGGAAGAGAACATGCTAATGATACACAAACCCTGTTGCCAGATTTTCTTGCAGAACAAAATGGTCTACAATCTCCAAGCGAGGATTATGTGCAGCAGAATGATGTTGAAAATGTGGCAACGGTGGTGGAATCTGACCATGATCCAGCTGCCCGCTCAGTTTTAGATACGATAATAGAACAAATGCAGAGAGTTGAAAATGGTGAAGGGCCGTCAGTGCAAGATCCTGCTCCATTCTCATCACCCAGCTCTACTGTGGGGCTCAGAAGAGAAGGCGATTTAGCAGGAGTGAGACAGATGCATCGAAACGCACCACGGAGTCAAGTCGCGTCTGTGGCAGATATAGTGGCCCTAACACAACGTGTCATAACCCCGCAATTTTCTCAAGAAGAAAGCGAGAGACATGAGTATTTACGGCAGCGAAAAGGTGCGTCTGAATTACTCTGGCATCGCAAAGAAAGAAGAAAACGGCGACCAATATCGAATCGAAGACAATCACGCGATACTACAAATCAACCAGGCTTCTCAAAAACACCAGAAAATTTACGAAAATCATCACAGCGCAGGGCGAGGTCTAATTTTTATAAAGAAGACCCAGAAGATGAACAAGAACAACCTAGGTCATCATCGAGGCATCGTTTGATTCGCAGAATGCGAGCTTACGCTCATGGTTATAGTACACGTTCTAGAGCTCCTAGACGACGCATGTCTTCAGTGGCGGAAAGTATTAACGAAGAGTTAGATAATAATTTAGAAGAAATTGAAGAACACTCAACCAGTGCTTCTGGTGAAACTTCCGATTTCTTATCCAGTGAGGAAGATTTTAGTCAAAAAGCGAAAATAATTCGTCGCAGTAAAAGAAAGAAAAATTCGAAACGAAAAAAGAAAGTAAATGGCGTTGTTTCTGATGTTGACACATCCAATTTGAGGCGAAGTGTAAGACACCGGAGGGCACCGAAAAGACTGGTAAACTCCTCGGAAGGTGGTTTATCAGAAACAGATGACGAGACTGCTGAAAATACAGCTAGTACAGGCTCGTTATTTCTATCACCAAGTTCGAATAAATCGAAGCACACCAAACGAAAAGAAATACGGAAAGCTCGTGCACAACGAATCTCCTCTGTTGCTTCATCCCGACACGAGGATATGGAAACATCGGAAGACGAAGAACGACCTTCGACCTCTGCTAACTGTCAATCAAATAAAAAAGTGCAATTAACAAGCCAAACTACCTCAAATACAGACAATAAAATTAAAAAACCACCTAAAAAAGAAATCGCTAAAATTCCTTTTGATATAATTCCAGGTCAGCCGCCTCCCCCAATGTATCTTGCTCCTGATTGGATAAAACGTGTCACCCCCTCTCATTTTCCATATGTGCCTCAAATGGAAGATGAAATTGTTTATCTTCGGCAAGGCCATGAAGCTTATATTAGCAAAGTGATTAACGATAACGTATGGCCGGTCGTGGAAAACGAACTCTGCTATAACCTGATGAATATAGGACATACAGAGCCTTGTAAAGTTATCGAAATCGAATACATTATCGGCCCACCGACCCGTTGCGAAATCTGCCTCCTCCCTTTGAACCAGAAGGTTTCAAAAAAGTCAAAAAAATTCAAAGTCCAATTTCATGATATGCCTAATGTTGTTGATTTTTTAATTCTCAAAGACAAATATGACACTAGTGTTAGTAGAGAGTGGAATATAAACGATAGGTTTCGTTCTATTATTGATGATACTTGGTGGTATGGAACGGTTGTCGACCATAGCGTACGTGACCCAACTTATCCTGACAGCTATTTTCAGTCTTTTTCCGTCTTGTGGGACAGTGAGAACAATCAAGAAGAGTTAGACTATCTTTCACCATGGGACATGGAGCCTATTCCACAAAACATTTCTAATCTTATTGTAACACGCTCTCAAAATCACGTAAGCTCAAGTAATGATACTCTAACAACACATGCACTCATCGGACCAAAAGAGCTTCGCAACGTAATTTCCTACCGGTATAAAAGATCTGACTGGTCATGTGATGAGGCCAGTGATTCAGATGATAGCGAGAGTGAATCTGTTGAAAAGAGAATGGTTAAAGAGTCTTCGAGAATCGCAACCGCAATTCAAGCGCTCATTGACGAAAAAGAGTTTACACCGTTCGCTAGCCCGGTCAATGTTTCTATTTATCCTTTGTATACAATATATGTTGCATTTCCAACAGATTTATCGACTATTCAACAAAGGCTACAAAATAGGTTTTATAGACGTTCTGCTGCATTCCTATGGGAGGTTTCATATTTGGAAAAAAACGCAAATGCCTTCAACGAACCTGATTCTGAAATTGTGAAAAGAGCGGAATTTTTATGCAGTTTGTTAATGAGATTTGTGCAGGGAAAATCATATCATGATATTATAGAATTGCAACACGAAATGGAGGACGTTGATCATGAAACCACAGACTCAGAAGCTGATGTTTCAGAAGATAGTGATTCTTCTGTAAGCAGTATTCCTTCCATCATACACTCCGGAACCGAAGATGAAGTCGAATCAATAAATCAATCTCAAGGTGCGAGTGAATATGCGACAACAGCTGAAGAAGATAATTCAAATTTGTCATGGATAGAAGACGCTAAAAAGTTATTAGATGATGTTCTCGACGCTCGGGATTCGAGACCTTTTCGAAGCCGTGTAGCACAACATGAAGATGACACTGAAACATTAGATTTAGTTACGATACAAAACAAATTGTTGACTTCAGGATACACTGAACCGAAAGAATTTTTCGATGATGTTACACTAATGTTTTCGGAGTTTAAAAAGTCGAATCAAAGCAGGGAAGGGAGGTCAATGATGGCGCGATTGTCACCTCTAATGTCGTCAAGGATTAACACTATAATTAAAGATTGGAAAAAGAATCAGTCGAAAGCATGCAATGGCTATAATGGGGTAGGAGTACGAAGATCGAAAAGGCGTATTAGACGTCTTTCGTCTGACTTATGGTCGCCAAATTCTAAATCTGTGTCCCAAGACTCAGATTCTTTTGCGGAGCCGAGGGCCAGAAAAAATCCAAATTCAGCGGTTGGTGCTTATCCGACACGCCAAATGTTGCGAAGACGCGCGAAAAAAATCAACACCGTCACAGAAAATGGTGAAGAGGAGGTGCAATCAATAAATTCAAGGCAGAATCATCGTAAATTAAGGGGTCGGAGGTTACAAACGGTAGATTCTGACGAAGCCGGTAATAATGAATATGAGGGAGAAAATGCTGAATCATCTGTTGCTAATAGCAACCATATCGATGAATCAACAGAAATTAACAATGAGCAAAACAATCACGATAAACAAGAGTGCAGTACTCGAGCAAAAAAAAGGAAACATTCAGATCGAGACGAAATAGGTCAAGGAGACGCAGCGTTATCGATTCGCCAAATGAAACGACAAAAAAGGATGAAGTCATCCAATCATGACTCTACGAGCGAGAGCGAAAAAGGCAATGACAGCGATTGCGATTTTACAATTAATCAGAGAGTACTGAAGAGCAAAAAACATTCAAAAACAAACGGACACATCAGCAAACAAGAACAAAGTAATTCAAACAAGCATAGTCTACGACCAAAGAGACAAAAACCCACTCGTTACAACGATTACTCAGACTTATCGGAAAGTGAAACAGAAACGCTGAATCATTTAAATACTTCTTCAGAACTCGACAACGAGCCTAGAATAAGATCGACCCGAACGAGATCAAAGTTGAATTATGAAAATGACGAAAGTTCCGAGGAAGATAGCGAAAATGATGATGTGGATGTTTTGGAAACGGGGGAATCAGAATAATGAACAGGACATACATAGCCAGGGATTCTAAAATGAGTGTTGTGAAATTTCTAATTGCCAAGTTATATCGTAACCGCTAGTGGGAAAATGTGAATTTCCAATTGTCTTGAGGGTCTAAAAATGTGTTCCAAGCTACGAAAAATTGCTTTTTTTTTGGGGGGGGGTGTCCCCCAACCTAACCCCTCTCTTGCCTGCGCCCATGTGTTTGAAAACCAGAGAAAGCTAGAACTGAATTTCCAAAATATGAACAATCTATGTTGTTTAGGAACCAGGGACAACAACTAAAACTCAATTCCCAAATTATATGGAACATTGGGAATCGAAACTCGTTCAACGTACTTAAATATTCAAAGAGATTGAAAATATTAATGATTATTTCAGTTTTTTATTTTTTCTGGTTTTCAAGGTCGAATATTTTTGCAGTTGTTTCAAGTGTACAATCGAATAAAAGCTTACAGTTTTCCCTCTCTCTCTCTCTCTCTCCCTTATTTATCCACCAATGGATTCAAGCCTGCGAACGATGGTTAGGTGCACTGCAAGAAGTGCAATGGAAAATATGTTCCTATCACTTAACATGATGCGCCAACCCATGTAACTCTTAACATTATAAGTTATTTGTACATTTAGGAAATAATTTTTCCATCGATATTATAATTTTTCTAATATGTTTGTATCCCTGGCGATATCTCAGCTTGGGACCAAATCATTTTTATTTATTCTCATACACAGAATTCAGTCGTACTCAGTTCTAAGTTATTGAATCTTAATTTGTCTGTGGTTTCTTGTATCTCTTTTTGTCAATACCTTTCAAAGGTGTAAAATGTCGGTTTGGGTTAAGTGAAAGATCTGCTCAAGTGGCAATAACTCATTCCTAATCCCCCCCCCCTCTATCTGCTTCGACTCTTATCCCTAATTACCATCCTTGGGAGCAGTATTTGTTCAAAATATATCACATATACTTACTAGGAAGTGAAGGATATACATTTCTGTGCAAGTCTACAGGCAACAACTGTAATTCGAAAAGCTGTTGAAACTAAATAGGTTTATGGTGAATAACACATCACCAAATGTTGATGTTTCGACAGGTTGACCTGAAAAACTGAACACAGCTAATTTAGAGCATATCTTTAAGGAAACATAACTTTTGTGCATCCTAGAGCTTGTGAAAATTTTGGCACAATCATACACAAACAGAAGTTCAAGTGCTATCTTTATTTTCGCGGAAGTAATTATGAAATTTTTGGCTTCTGTTTTCTGGATCACCCTGTACTGTTAACGCTTTTTTTTAACTCAGTTTTTCATTTATTTTAAATGTTTATTTTCGTTTGTTCCTTTTTAATTGGTTTTCCTGCGTACATACAGTCTTGTTTTAACTACTACTTTCTGTTTGGGACTTTATTCAAATACTGCAACATTTAAACCCCAGAGCCATAGACCTATTTCCGGACTATTTTTAAATGATTTGAAATTGGATAAAATGCTGCTATTTGTAATCATGTGTGTGTTATGTACTGTTTCTATTTTTTAAGACTGGTGGTGCAGTACTCCAGAAGTATGTGCACCAAGATGGCGGACACCGAAACGTTGTAGGTGTACCAGGTTAGGGTTAGGCAATAATTTTAACATTTTTAGGTACAAATACCTTGGGAGTCACTTGGCTAGTCACTGAACTCGTGATGTGATAGAACTGAAATAAGGAAAATTGAACTAAAATTATGGCCTGACCCTAACCTTGTACACATACAACATCTTGGTGCACATACTTCTGGAGCGCTGAGGGTATTATGGTCCAACATAATATTGGTGTTTTTCATTTCATGAGAATTACTCAGGGAAGGATAAAATATTTTTATATTCATCTTCCGTAAAGGGAAACTGACAATCACGTGATTGACTACTGTTTTCTGATTCTCTATCCTGGTCAGATATGACAATAGATTGCCAAATACCTGTACTTGTTCCGGTGCTCCAGAAGTGTGTTTACCAATATGGAGGTAACTATTTTTGTTCTACTTTACATCAAGTTGTGTAAAGGGACTGAAACCTATGGGCAGGGGGTATATTCACTTGGTTAACACAGACAGTCCCTGAACTCGTAATAGAACTAAAACAAGGAAAATTGGAATGAAATTATGGCCTGACCCTAACCTGGTACACACACTACGGGAGTACCCTTGTTCCAGATGCATGGACTTGGAAGCAGTAACCGATCTGCAGTTACCTGAACCGCCCTGTAACTAGAGAAGTTCACTGATACTCTAGCGCATGATTATCCTCACATAAGATGCAGATCCATGCATCACAATCAATGATAGTCATCCTCAACACCTGATGTGCCAACATCATAGCTGAAAAGCTTGCTATTTGTTTAATCCACTTTGAAGTATCAGTCATGAGTTATTCATTTTTCATGCAAGATTTCGCTAATTATGCTAAATCGGGATAATAATTCATTTTTTTCAAAACTTGTAACTGGACAGGTTTTGTTAAGTCGTGCAATTAAGTCCAATTTTCTTTTTCCTGGCATAAATAAGATTATTCATCTTCCCATAAGAGTTCTAAGCACTGACAAACTAAAGGCTGCATATATATAGGGTGTCCATAAAGTCCCTTTACAATTTCAATTTTGTTATGAAGTCAGTTCTCAGTATATCTTGACCAGGTTTGTTTTAATCAGTAATTTGTTAGATATTTTTACTTCGTTCAATACATCTGTGAGGGCCAAAACAATATATGGTATCGATAATTTCCTTTTGCAATTTTAAGACTTTATGAACACCCTATATTTACTCGTATTCAGGGGTCAAGTTACTATTGATTCGGTTCGCAAGATCATTGAAGTTAGGATGTTTTTGTGTACCGTTATGATCTGGAAAATTTCAAGCGATAAAACCCCAGAAATGCCGCAATGTGTTATCTTTAATCTCACTTATTCAATTATGAGCATATGTACTTTCTTTTTAATTTTGCTGGTTCTTTGCCTTTTTTAACTAATATGAAAATGTGTTCTGCCTTCTATATCTGACCATTATCCAGGCCTTATGTATTGAAACACTATATAATACAATATCCTTTTATGAGACTCTGGCCTTGATTGCAAATTGTGTATGGTTTTTGTCTTGATTTTATGAAATTTGCCTCAGATTAATTCTCTTCTCTTAATCTAGTCCTGGATTCAAAAGTTCATGACTTTTTTCCCAAATAAAACATATTGGACAACCCTGAGAGCTGAGACCCCAAGTTCTGATAATCTGCTGCATAATGTCAAATTATTATCTGTAAATGCCTATTAAAACAAGGGCAAGTCATATTCAACCAATACACGAAGAGTACAACTAAATTTTAAAATATAAAATCAATTGTTGCAAAATTCATCGTCTCAAATTGCCTATTCAAACTTACATACAACTCATTCAACGTTGGAAGCGAATTCTTAGCTTTACGGTCGGTGTTCTAATATCATTTCACAATATCTTAGACCAGTGGTTTCTAAACTACGACCCGTGGGCTAATTTAACACTAATTTATCTTTTTTTGTTTAGATTGTCACGTCATTATCTTAGTTCGAGCATGTGTATATTCATAACAATTCAATTATACTGATATCTTAATTAGGCGTACCAGTATCAACCCCTCATGGGCTCTCCCGGCCCGCGATATCTTTGCGCTTTCAATTTTGGCCCCTCGGTAAAACTTTGGGAACCACTGCTCTTTTTAGTCTCTTTTTCATATTGTGTTTGGTTCTTTACAATTTGACAAATTTAGAGTATCTAGGAAATTGAATTTCTATTATTTCAAATGTACTAGATATATTTCAGACATCTCTAAGCTCCTATGTCCTGATAATCTGCTACAACAAGCAAAATTATTGTCTGAAAATGCTTATATTGACTATGTTATTTTTTTAATGATTCGTTTGTCTGCTTTTTTCGTCGCAACAGAATTTTTTGAAATTTGTCGTTTTGTTTACTTTTTATATTCTTTTTATGATACTATTGCAAGATGCCATTCAAATATTTTGTCGTTTTCATTTGCTTTCTTTTTTTCTTAGATTTCAGTTAAAAATATACATTAATAGGTTAAAATTGGTTTATGATGGATACGAATTACACCAACCTTGGATTATGTATCAGCGTTTGGGAAAAAGTGCAAGCGACTAACTTAGTAATGAAATACGCACTTTCAAGTTTCAATTTTACCTTCAGAATGAGGGGGTGACTACTATGCATTGGTATAGAAGATATCATAAAATATTAATTCATATTTTATGCTTAACAATACGAATTTTAATTTCATTTCACAAATGACAATTAGTGACCGGCAGTTGCTCTATGAAGTGCAACCTCTGAAAACACGCTTTGACGGGGACGAGTTTCAGACAGAATGTCTGAAACGCTCTGATGAAAAAACACTATATATATCAAAACCTCGCCATGCGTAAGGCACTAACTTCATAGGCATTATGTAGATTGATTCAAGTATAGGCTTAGAAACGCAAAGGGATTGGAATTACCTGCACATACCAGATTGAACTAATTTTAAAACTCGTTTCGCGCACAATTTTTCACAATTTTCAAGCCGCACAAATTTTCCTTTGTGTGCCGAATCTGGCCCGCGAGCGACAAAAAGTTGCCGACCCCTGTCGTAAAGGTTGAAACTGAACAAACTTAGTTGGCCCGACATCAGTCTATGTTGTTCATCATGTTTCCACGACAACATATCCAGGCCTATAATTTTTCTGCACAGCCATTTTTATAACTTCTTCACTTTCAAAGATATTTACAATTACAAGCATCCAATAATTTGTGTGCATATTAATTTAAGTCCCTCTTCGTGATTGACATAACATGAAAGTGTGGTGCCATATCAACTTAAAATATCTGATGAAACATTGAATGTTTATGTCTGTTCTGTATTATGATGTAACAATGGTGAAATAATGAAAGTTTAATCCATCAGAGATTGTTCTTTGCTTGAGATATAATATTGCTGAACCATAACTAGACAGCACAATTCAGGTATAGCTTATGTCTGTTTCTATGTAAATGTGAAAATATATTCTGGCGAGAAACTTGAAGGACTTTTTGCAACATTGAATGTTATTGTCTCCTATGTATTCTGATATAACTAGTAACATTGGTGAAATAGTGAAAGTTTAATCTATCAGAGAGTGTTCTTTGATTAATTAAGGTATAATATTTTACCGAACTATAACTAGACAGCACAATTCAGGTATAGCCTATTTCTGTTTCTATGTAAATGTGGGAATATATTCTGGCGAGATGAACTCATGTTTAGGTGTGAGTGTGACGAAATATTGATAAGAGACTGATTGATTTTCAAAATGCTAGAAGTTGAAAGAGTTCATTTCTTTTTGTCAGGCCACCAATCGTCAAATGCTTAGAAAGTCAAATTTTCAAATAAAAATAGTACTAATTATTCAAAAAAATCAAGAATTTAATATTATTCAAATATGATTGATTTATTTTTGACCATTGATGGCACCGAACTTTATGATATCACACCAAACCAGTACTTGATTGACTGTGATGTCACAGTTACTATTTCAATATGCTATGATAGTGTAGAATTCAATTGTGGTTGACATTGTTGAACTTGGAATGAAAAAAATAACATTATTACTCGTTTAATGACAATTAATAGTTTAGATATTTTAAATAAAGTTTAAATGAAAATGAATCTAAACTTATATGTAGTTGTAAGAAATTCCGGTACTCTCGTAGTATGTGTACCAGGTTAGGGTTTAACTTTATTCCGATTTTCCTTATTTTAGTTCTATTACGAGTTCGGAGACTGTCTGTGTTAGCCAAGTGAATATACCCCCTGCCCATAGTTTCCAGTCCCTTCACACAACTTGATGTGAAATAGAAATAGGCGAACAAAGTTAGTTGTATATTGGTACACACACTTTTAAAGCGCCATAATCTGAGTTAAAGTGAGCATGTATTTTTTTACAAGCATAGCAGAATTATCTGATTGTCTTTGTTATCTGTTATTTAATATCAAACATGGGCCGATCATACCAAGAAGAATGTGAATTTCTGGAAAAAGTGAGTCCAAATTGTTGGAAAATTAAGAAGGGTTTTGTTCCTAATATGAAGGTAAGAATACTATTATATTTATATATTTTGAACTAGAATCAGAAATGAAATGCCGGCATTTCATTTGGTAGTCCCGTACTATCAAAGCATATATGAGCACTATGCTCTCTCAGATTTTTTTCCTTTGTCACAATTTTTTTCCATAGAATTCAACTTATGGCAATGTTAAAATAGAACCTAATGTTTCGTAAGATACACCACCATTAACGAAGCCACCACCACATTATGTATACTATCACAAATACCATGAAATCAATTGCAGTGAAACAATTTGAGGAAAACTCATTTAGACCGTTTTTTTAGGCTTTTATTACTTAAACTTACTGCTATACTAAAACAAGATAAAGAACATTTTACAAGATGTAGCAATCTAGACACATACTAACCAAAAACGAATATTATTAACATTTTCAGATCGCTGGGCGATAGTGTCACGTTGGCCACATTAGGTGGCGCTAATTCAATTTCATCAAACCATTTCAACAAACCATTTCAACTTATTTTAGGTCGAAGGAATGTTCTATGTGAATGATCATCTTGAAAAACTGATGTTTGATGAACTGCAGAACTCATGTCGAGGAGGGGTGGGTGGATTCCTACCGGGTGTCAAACAAATTGCAAATGTCGCAGCTCTGCCTGGAATTGTTAAGGTATTTACCATTTATCCTCGCGTATAAATTGAGTTTGAAACTCCCAAAAAAAAGTGCCAAACTGAAGGGCTTGACTTTGCGCGTATAACTCTGATCGCACTAAAAGGTTTGACAGGGATAGTGAGGATGAATTTGAAGGATTTTGAGAGACTTCTTACTGTCAATAATAAAAGTAAAACAACAATAATGGTTATCATTCTCATTATTTCTCTTCTGCAGCCATTTGCTGTGATAGGTGCGTACGACAAGTTATGATTTGTAGGGTCGGCTTGTAAACAAATTTTTATAAATTCACTGTTTTAGGGCCGTTTTTAGGTGGTCAGCTTATATGCAAGGTTATACTGTGTCATAATATGGAGGCTCAAAGATTGGTTTTAAATTTGTTCAGAATGATTTCTCCAAACTTATTTTTATTAGGGCTGCTCTATTTCGAAATACTGTTTTTTTTTAACAAATCCCCTTTGCTCTCTCAATTTTGGTTCACTTGTAATTGCATTTTGCATGACCTTTGTCATCACGTTGGTTAGACTGGTTGAAAATATTTGATATGGAATAGCATTTTACAACTCATTTTACTTCAATTTAATCCTTTCTGTATTCCTAAGTGATGATGGTCGAATAATATTACTATTTATACTCTTTTATTCTATTTAGAATTCAATTGGCCTACCAGATATTCATTCAGGGTATGGATTTGCGATCGGTAACATGGCGGCTTTCGATATGTCAGATCCTGAAGCTATTGTATCACCGGGTGGAGTAGGTGAGCAGACATTTTACCCTAATTTTAAGAAAAGGGATTTTGTATCTATTTTGATGGGAGAAAGACAATCAAATAACTTAATCAATTATGTCCGGTTACCAGTCCATGATGGGCATGGGAATATTTCTCCGGATATTTATTTCATATTCATTGACTTGATGAATCAATCTTTGTGCCCTGCTATCCTTATATCTGATGTGAATGATCACAAATTTGGTTGTCAAACTTTTATCTTAAACTTTTAAATTCAGTATTCATCGAATTTTTTAAGCTTTAGCATGCATAACTTGGGGTGATGCTTATTGTGTACACATGCACACACGATACTACTTCTTTGACAAAGTTGAATTCTGTTTGTATGAGGAAGTCTGACTTTGATCAGATGAAACATTACAAAAATATATTTGTGCTGGTGTGCAGTAAGACTCTTGAATTATTTAAAACAACCTTCTTTACTATCCGCGCTTCATCACCCTTGCAGTTTAGTCATTTAGGGTATAGCAACACCCTCAAATCACTCAAGTCGTTTTTGCTTCTGCAATAGCATCCTTGCATTCACGCACCGACCAGTGCAGAAGAATAAAAATAAGAAGCACTCAAAGACCTAAAAACTATGTATCACTAATCGTTAATTAAATTCTTGCTTGCGTGCTGCCAGACGTTGTTCAGAGCCTATTCGGTAAGCCCTACTTCTAACCTCCACTAACTGATTTTTTTATAGGTTTCGACATAAACTGTGGAGTACGACTTCTACGAACAAATCTTTCGGAATCAGACGTTCAACCAGTGAAAGAACAATTAGCCCAGGCATTGTTTGATCACATTCCTGTGGGTGTCGGATCTAAAGGTGTCATCCCTATGAATGCAAAGTAAAACTTGGTTTTATTGTGTAATGTGGGCATGGTGGCCTTCTTAATTAACGCTAAGCATTCTCCAAGTGCCCAACCATTGTCCAAACTTGCTTTCACATTTATTTACAGATTAAAGTCTCTTAAAGGGTGTTACAGTTGTTTTTAGTTGATATCTATCTGGGCTTCACAGGAGTTCTTTCATTTTTGCTTAATTTAAAAACTGGCAACCATGCTGGGATCTCACCTTGTGTATTTAAGTAATATTGTGTTTATATTCAGAGATTTGGAAGAAGCATTAGAGATGGGGGTTGATTGGTCAGTACGTGAAGGTTATGCATGGGCCGAAGATAAAGAACATTGTGAAGAATATGGAAGAATGCTTCAAGCCGACCAATCTAAAGTATCTGCTCGCGCTAAAAAGAGAGGATTACCGCAGGTTGGTTTTTTTACTTAATATTATGATTTGGATTGTAAAAAAAGGCATCGTGTCATGGTTGCGCTGTGGATTGTGCAGCTTCAGATCGGTTAATCCTAAATTGTATGCGACTCATTTGAGCATTTAAAATAAGCTTTAGAATTAGACCTACCATTAGAATATGATGTAATATATATTTTATGTCCTGGTTTGTTTCTCAAAGCAGTCATAATCTTAAGTTGTGATGCTCTATACTGGCTTAGATTTCAAACTCTTAAGCCATTCAAAAACCACTCCTGGCTAGTATAGTCTTGAGGTCTGAACTTTGGGCCCTGCTGTTTAAACCTGTGTTGGAATGTCTGGTGAAATATTTCAGGTCAGAAGCACATACTTATCATTTGGAGTGAATCGGGTCAATGCAATGTCGAGCAGAATGTTTACGGTTTTTACCTAAAAATTTAGGCGCTCCCGAAGTATGTGCACCAAGATGGCACACAACCTGAACTCTAAACTGGTACACATACTATATTCAGGTTGTGCGCCATCTTGGTGCACATACTTCTGGAGGTTCAAAATGTATCTCCTTACGTATCTGTTGCTGCTGTTATGAAGCCTTTTTGAGAGCGAGAGGCATATGCAGGAAAGGGAGGATTCTGATATTTCTAATTGCCAAGTTAAACCATAACACCTAGCAGAGTCAGAAAATGTGACGAAGTCTTGAGAATCTGAAAAGCGTTCAAGCTACAAAAAATTTCTATGTATGATACAGAACAATTTTTTTTTCTATTTCAAAATGGGGGGTTCCGAAATCACAAACCCTCCTTGGGTTCGCCCCTGACAGTTGCACATTACTCATTTTAATATTTATTCCTAGCTTGGAACCCTTGGTGCCGGGAATCACTACGCAGAAATCCAAGTAGTTGATGAAATATTCAACAATCATGCAGCCAAGAAGATGGGAATTGATCATAAAGGACAAGTCTGTGTGATGATACACAGTGGAAGCCGAGGACTTGGACACCAAGTTGCCACTGGTTCGTTGCTAAAGTAGGATTTTCTCATTCTTATGACTCTGAGGGATATGTGGATGCTGTGACTTCCTGTGATAGTTAGGGATTCAGTTATTATCTTCAGTAATCATCCCAAAGAAGATTTGAATATCCTTCTATATCCACAACCCGGCCCGCGTGTCATTTACTGTGTGTGGTCTTTTCAATACTCAGATTTTTCCCCATCAAGCATAAAATCCGAATCTGACAGTTTATGTTTGAAAAGGCACTCACATGATTTCTGTTGTTGGTTATTATGACCAACTGACAACAGAAGTTGCACCCCCTGTTTTAGAGCAATGGCTCTGGAACTTTCATGATCTGTGGCCCTCATTCAAAGACTCTTCGGGGCTTGTGGACTCCTGCTCTTCTAATAAAATAGCGGCTACTGTAACCAACCAGCTTGTGAGAACCACCATGTGGTGCCAAAGAGTCCAGCAAATCTCTGGCACATAATAATCCTTGTGCTCCAGTTAAACACAGTGTGTGTTAGCAGGTGTGCTTTCATGCATAGCATAGTATGCCAACATTTTTTATCAGTGTTTCTCAAACTTTTATGCTATTTTGCCTGTTTTAAGAATGAATAGGATTGAAAGGAAGTACGATAATTCAAAAGAGTTACAATTGCTTTTCCAATTAATTCGAAAATCTCCTCAGCACACCTGAAGAAAATTTGTGCGGCTCGCAAAGAAGTGCCAATTTTAAATGATGTGCCTCGCGAAGCCTATAGTATCCAATTTGGTATCTATGCCCATGACTTTTACAATGTCTTATTAACAGCTAACTTGTACGAAGCGAACACCACATGTTATAAGACCAATAATTGACTACAACTCCTAGAAAACCTATGTTGAATAAAGTTGCAGCCGACGGTTTCACCCAGTTTATTTCCATGTGGCCCTCCTGTATTAAAGTTTGCACACCTCTGGCACACAGTAGAAGAACTGATTTTAATATTGATCTTCGCGCGGAGTGGCTCAACGGGCTAAGCATTAGGAATACGCTCGCCACCGCACCTCTATTTACTCTGCGTGGGTTCGCAGGTTCGAATCCCATGCAGGGATGGTTATGTGCGAGAGGATTGCTGGACTCCTCGCCGTCGTTGGGTGATTCACGTAACCGCTGGTCGGTTACGGCTTCCTCCACCACCAAGTCCATGCTTCCAAAAACAAACGATACAGTAAAACTAATCCCATACCCGACTTGGAATGGTAACCGGACGAGAGGCCGTGGTTCGCCATATGGATAAGCCATCTTATCGGCTTTCCTCTCTCGGGATAAATATGTAAATCCTATCCTATCCTTCTCATATCCACAGATGCTCTTTTATCAATGGAGAAAGCAATGAAGCGTGACAATATCGTAGTAAACGACAGACAACTTGCGTGTGCTAAAATCGCATCACAGGAAGGACAAGATTATCTGAAAGGAATGTGTGCTGCTGGCAACTATGCTTGGGTTAATAGGAGCTCAATGACTTTTCTGACACGACAGGTACGGTAGTTCTTATAACCTTCGATACTTTTTGTTTTGGGTGATTCAAGAGTCTTGCTGCGCATTCACACGAATATATTTCTGTAAATTTTTCTGCTTACTACTTCATACTATCATATATTTTATATTTCAACTGTGAATTTTTTGCTATTTCAATTGATATGTCACAACCCTTGGCCCCAGATATATTCACCCTGCACTTTACCATTGCAAAATATTTTATGCTAATTTTGAAAAAGTTGCGAGTTAGCGCTTGCGAACTGGTTTACATGTTCCTAACTATTAAAATATCCCACCAACCAACTATTTATAAGTACAGATAGCTAAGTTTGGTTTTACGTTTCTGAACTAGCATTTGAATACTACAACAAGTTAAATAGGTTTTCTGCCATGACAGGCATATTTGAATTGTAACAAAAAAGGAGTTTATGTACTGGTGTCATACATAGCAATTTTTGAAGTTTGAAACGCTCTTTAGACCCTCAAGATCCATGTTTCCTGGGCCCGCTAGCGGTTACAGTCTAACTTGGCAATTGGGAATTTTAGAACCAGTCCTATAAAATTTCCTGGTTACACCCCTGGTCTAATTGGACACGTTTAGTGGCCATAACGAGCGTTTCAAAATTTTGTTGCTATTGGTATTTTCTTTCGTCATTATCATTAAAAAATCGCTTTTCTCTTCGAATACTGGACCAATTGCTTTGAAATTTTCAGTGGTTAAAGATAAAATTTTTCTCCAGAAGGCTATTACTTTTTTTTCGCTATGACGTCATCAAAATTATTGCCATTGGGTGGAGCTACGTGTCCATATATTTGAGCATAGCTGTCTTGTTTTGTTATGATATACAGGGTGGCCCAAAAGTAGGTACACAGTTATTTTATTTATTTTTTATTATCTTCCAAGCAGCTAGAAAACTAATGTAAAATTCACACTAGATTTATTATCTAAAAAAATAAGCAATTTTTGTGGTACTTAACAAGTAACGTAAAGTGAACTGCAAGTAGCTTCAAAGCATATAAAATAGTTTGATAACTGTATACACCTACTTTTGGGCCACCCTGTATATAATATGAGGTTGAGAGAAAAACTTGCCTTGAGAAAGCAATTTGTAGTGCAACAGATTTAGTCAAGAATGAAAAATGGATATAGACAAATTAACAGGATTTCTCTAAACGTAATATGATGCCAGAAGTGTTGTTATGTTTCTAACCATTCCTTTGTTATTATCATCTTATTTTTCAGGCTTTTGGAAAAGTATTCAAATGTGCAGCGGATGATCTAGACATGCATTTGATTTATGATGTTTCACATAATATTGCAAAAGTCGAGGAACATTTTGTTGATGGGAAACAGAAAACTTTACTTGTGCATAGGAAGGGCTCAACACGAGCTTTCCCACCACACCATCCACTTATTCCTGTTGATTATCAGGTGTGTGCATTTGTTAGGTTCACTGATTTTTGGTCACAGAGTACTTGGACTATTGAGGTGGCATATTGGGGCATATTCACAAGAGGAACGCAAATTGCCATCTTTGGTATAATCATTAATATGCATAACTGTGCTATAAGATGAGTTTCCTATTTCTGAGTGAGTGCCTGTAACTTTGCTCAGATATGAGCCTCTTTATTTTTGAGTGAGTGCCTGTAACTTTGCCTAGAGATGAGTCTTCTTTATTTCTGAGTGAGTCTGCTTTATTTCTGAGTGAATGCATCTAACTTTACTCACGGATAAGTCTCCTTTATTTCTGAGTGAGTGCCTGTAACTTTGCCCAGTGATGAGTCTGCTTTATTTCTGCATGAAAGCGCAAACATTCTTTGAGCAAATTCTCAAACAAAATCATCAAAGTCATTTGAGAGACGAAATGATCAATAACAGCTTGATAAAAGAGTGCAAAGAATTATATTATTTTGATTTCCTGTAAGCTTATGATTAGTCAGTTTTATACACAGTAACTAAATGCATGTATGTATTGTCGACTCCTCTGCAGCATATTCTTGCTATACAACGGGTATTTTTAAAATTATATCTTATTTGTTTTTCAGTTAACAGGCCAGCCAGTCCTGATAGGAGGAACCATGGGAACCTGTAGTTATGTATTAACTGGTACTGAGCAAGGAATGGAGGAGACTTTTGGCACAACTTGCCATGGAGCGGTAAGTTTCTTAATAAAATAATACCTCCAACTTTCTTAGTATGACTTCAAGTATTTCGCTCTGAACAAAGTGTTGTACAAGAAGCAGCCCTAGTTGTCTGTTGAGCTATTATCAATGGCAAGGACCAGTCTGGAATGCCGATGCATCAGACCAGCAGTTTTCACCCTTGTTGGTGCAGCGGGATGCCATGGAACATTCCAGAGGCTTGATGAATCCCTGCGCAATTATTTAATTGTCCATCATTGTCTGTTATTCTTAAATCATTTAACCTGTTTTCACAGGGCCGTGCACTCTCTCGCGCGAAATCACGAAGAAACATCGGATATCAAGACGTCTTGAACAAACTCGCTGACCTCGGAATTTCTATTCGTGTGGCATCACCTAAACTTGTTATGGAAGAGGTAATTTTGGGAGTTATTTTGATCTCTCTACTCTAAATAATGCCCTGTACAAGCAGCTAATTCTATTTTTGACTCTTCGTCCTGGTATATCACATCATAGGCCATAGTATAAATAATTTGTCCTCTTGATGTCTTGACTATCCCCTCATCTGGGATAAATATAAAAGTCGTGTAATAATCTAGTATAAAAGAAATTATTTTTAGTCATTGTGATGAACCTAACACAGAAATAAACAAGCTCGTGCTTTTATTTGCTCAAACGTCAACTTAAAGCAGCACAACAAATCAAAGAATGACTTTCAAATCAAAACACCACATTATTAAAGGACGAACAGTATACGTCAGCGGATGTCAAGGCTGTTTGAAGCATTGCTAGATTTTTAAGACACAAATTACCACCTTCATCTTATCAATTACTCTTTTCCCAGGCTCCAGAATCATACAAAAATGTAACAGACGTCGTAAACACATGCCATGCTGTTGGAATCAGTAAAAAAGCAATAAAATTACGACCTATCGCTGTCATTAAGGGATAAGAGGGTAAAGAGTCAACACTGTTCGAAAGTATGATGGTCTTCAACGACATGATCTGATAGTTCTGATTCTGAAGCAAGCACTGTTCGCTTTGGGAGTTCTTTCATTTCCTTCAATGGTGAAATGTATATTTTGGTGGAATACTTTTGATTCTTTAGTATCAGTTGATGCTTCATTATTGTTCACTTGTAGATTAGAATTAATCAGTGAATTTTAGGAGCATTGCACTCACAACTCTTAAAATCACCCCCAATCTACACCATGTTTTACTTGGCTGGGGCACGGCTAATTTTAGCTTGGGCGCAATACTGCGCAATGATTCTCCAGTATCAGTTGCTGCTTTACTATTGTTCTGTAGTAGATTAGAATGAAAATTAGTCAGTGAATTTCAAGAGCCTGGCACTTACAACTGCGTGTAAGATAGGATAGGTTTTACATATTTATAGCGGGGGAGAGGAAATATGACAAGACGGCTAACCACGGCCTCTCGTCTGGTTACCATTCCATGTCGGACATGGGATTAGTTAGTCATTTGTTTTCGGAAGCATGGACTTGATGGTGGAGGAAGCTGTAAAGTCACCCCCAGTGCTAACCATGTTCCATGTGGCTGGGGCGCAGCTAATTCTAGCTTGCGCGCACCTAAATATGTTTCTGTTATAGATTTGAACGATCATTGAATTTGGAAGAGAGACTCAGACAAACTGAATTCTGTGGTTTCAACCACCTTATCTCCCCTTAGATAGTCTTGACCTGGGACTCAGATGACTTGACAACGCTCTGGAAGTATGTGCACTAAGATGGCGCTGAGATGAACCTTAAACCTAGGTTGTGCGCCATCTTGGTGCACATACTTCGGGAGCACCGACTTGACTTGAGCCCATGTCCCAGGTTTAAGCGTCTTACAGTGAAAAAATAAACTGGAGTTGTACTTTTTGATTCTTAGTTTTTTAGTTGGAATATTTATTTTTCCAACATTTCAATCTAAACAAGGCTTTGTACGCTTTTTTCTTGTAAGATGCTACAGTTAAATAAAATTAGAATCAGTCTTAGACTCTTAGTATGATAGCACAGATAGTAATAATGTTCTGTTTGAAATAATTCTTTGAAGTTCAATACAAATTTATACAGCTTAAAAATCAAAAGTAAACACCAAAGAATTGTAATTTTAACACTACTCTCGATCAATTGATGTGTGATTTTTAAAAAGACTCTTATTCATATTCAAAACTACTTTTTGATTCTTAGTTTTTTAGTTTGAATTTTTACTTCTCCAGTGTTTCACATTAAACTAGGCCAGGGGTTCTCAAACTTTTGGTGTTGCGGAGCCCTTGAAAAGTTGACTATCATTCACGGAGCCCCAAAATAAATGTTAAAATTGTTACTTTCCGATTAATATTCCTGAGTAAGTTAAACGTACTCTACCTAACTTAAATGCTAAACCTTTTTAATAGGTTTAATACAAGTCATATATAAATGTCAATTTCAAAAATAAATTAAATATACTAAAGCTGTAAATTTGACACTTGACAAACATATTAATAAATTGGGGGGTCGAATCTTTTACTTTTTGACATTTTCGGAGGACTTGAAAGGCCACTAATAATGTGCGCGATTGCATTTTGTTACAATCGCCGATTGTTTTCGTCAGCATGGCGTGTTTTTAAACATCTTCACGTCGGTGTTTATTCTCCCTAAATCAAAAATTTCCTTCGGCATATATATACATGTATTGTTCTACAATGACGACGATAATTGCTTATTTGTTCTCGTGGGGAATTATGAGTTCAATGTGAAAAACATGTTACCGTATTATAGTCATCTGCGACGAAATGCTAAAAATAATAATTATTAAAGAGGTAAATCCGCAGCTCAAATTTCTTGATTGAAAAACGGCATTCTAAAATATTAAAACTTGAAATGGAAAATCACACTATAAGTTTGGTTTCAGCAGACTCACGTCAGATTAAAAATGCTTTTATAGGCATTGTAAATCACAAAATTTGATGTTTTGTTAGTTTTTTATTGGTTATTCATCGTAGTAACTGCGAAATTGAAACACAGTCAATTGTACGCATGGTGTACCTTTTTTCATTCTGAAACTACCAACGGAGCCGCATGCAATAAAATAAATTTCAATCATTCGTATTTTGCCCAGATCTTGTGATTTTTCAAACAGCGATCTTATCTTGCTTAAAAATAATCTCGAGTGCGAAAAAACAAATCAAGTTTGACAAATGGCAAAAATACAACTCCAATTTATTCATAGTTGGCAGTTTATCACGTATTTTATGTTATTTTAGAATAGTATTCTTTCCTTTTAGCAATCCTAATAGTAATTTCGAATGAAACGTGAGTAAAGTGAGCAGAATTAAATTATTACGACAAGACACTTGAAATACTCGCATCGGTCATGCAATGAATATTTTACGCAACAGAAATCTCGTTATCCGTTTTTTTTCAATTGCTAATGAATCCTGACTGCGCTCCAGCTCATAAATAACGTCATTTTTAATTCCGCATCTTTACCATATTTCAAGGCTATATTATTGTCAAATTTTATCAAAGCTGTTCTTGCTTCTTTGAACAGTTACAAAATTAGCCAGTATTTTGAAAAGTAATCGAATAGCTCGCGGAGCCCTTGGGTTCCTCTCGCGGAGCCCTGGGGCTCCGTACGGAGCACTTTGAGAACCTATGAACTAGGCTGTATACAAGCAATCACCTTGATGATTGTTGAAACAACTTTTTTGTTTGTTTGTTTGTTTTGCAACAGTTGAGATAAAATTAGAATCGGTCTTGGTTTGATTCAATAACGACAACAACATTTATGACTGACAAAACCTCAATGAAGTAAATAATTCGTAATAGTTTATTTCAACTTCTGTGATAGAAGCAACCATTTCTAGAGATCTGACTACACCTTTTATGCTGATGATCTTTGTGTCGACAGACTTTTTTTGATTCTTAAATTTTATTCTAATTTTTTATTTTTCCTATGCTCTACTCTAAACACTGCTTTGGGACAAGCAATTATTTGAGTAATTGACATATACAACTATTTTCGGCGCTCCAGTAGTGTGTGTACCAATATGGAGATACCCAAGTTTGTTTGCCTACTTTTTACATCAAGTTGAGTGAAGGGACTGAAACCTATGGGCAGAGGGTATATACAGTGGTGGGATTCAAATTGTTTGTCAGCCGGATCCATCATACAAATGTCATATTCTCAGGTGGTTCTGTTACAAAAAGTCATGTAATGCTAACCAGTTCCATGAGACGGTTCTATAGCACCGGTGCGAATCCCACTACTGGATATATTCACTTGGCTAACACAGACAGTCTCATAATAGAACTAAAATAAGGAAAATCTGAATAAAATTATGGCCTGACCCTAACACACACTACGGGAGTATCCATTTTTCTTGTAGAACACAACTATGGACATGTATAAGTCTAAATTACAACAGTTAGACTGGTAAATCAAATAAGTAATCTGAATATTGTACATTCGATGGTATTACCTATTTCCCTGATACATTGTTTCAACTTTTGTGAAGAGATCAAGACTTTTGTGTAAAGTTTTCTAGATCACTGAAATAAGTAATAAATTTATCGATCTGTTACCTTGTTTCAACCGTGTACCTTCAATGACATTTTTAGACCATCAAGACGAGACTCTTGAATGTCCACATTGCCCTTGGCTAAATTGAATATACAACATTTTTCTTGTATAGTACAGTTTTCTTGTATGTATAATCAATTACTTGTATCAGTCTAAATTACAGCAATTATAGACTAGCAAAGCCCAACTAAGTCCAGTATGATACCTTCAATCGTATTTATCGTTTTTCTGATAACTCTCAATTTTCATTTATTTTCACAATATTACTTTTTGGTTCAAATTACTGTCACCATCAAAGTTTATTTTCTTCCACTGCAATGAATTTATTTGAGCAATGTTTCTTGGTTGTGTCGTCTAAGTATTGCTTATTAATGTAAGCTTAGTGATGTGAGCCATAATAAGGTGTATATTAGACGCGTCAGCAGGGCAGCGGTCGGCAAAGTGTTTTAGGTGAGGTCCTAAAAGTAAAATGGGAAAGGTTTCAACGCCCAACAATTAGTAAAAATAACATGATCTCTTTCAACGAAATAGTAAGTATATTCGTGAGCTTTCGTTAGATCATGGTCTAACTTCTTCATACAATACAAGATATAACTGAAAATATAACAGATCCTATAAATTTAGTCTATTATTGAGTTTCCTATAACTGGATTTAGATGCTATCGTATCATCTTAGAATTACGTTGAAAATTTAACTACGTAATAAACTTACTAGTTAAAGGGGCATTTAATTTGTTCAATTGAAATGAACGTAATGTATGATCGTTTGATATATAAAAAAAAAACATTTAAAAAAAATGTTGGATTTATAGAACTTTTGTGTGTATCACTGCCATAATTGGAATTTTTTGAATCCCACTAGAAAATGCTCGACAGCCAACGATTTGGCCACGGACCACAGTTTGCATACAGCTAGAGTTGTAGAGTCGAATAAAATGTAATATCGGTGCTGGGTTGAAAAAAAGAATTCACCAACAACTGTCGACTCATGTCCCCGATTTGATGAAAATTTTGACGCCGACTCCAGCTGGAAATTTGACTTCTGTACTAAGCTCCCTAGGAAATTTTGATATTAAAAACTCTGGATATGCAAGCCTTCTACAATAAACTGTTAGCAACATTCAATCCAGTGGTTCCCAAACTGTGGGTCGCGACCCCGGGTGGTGTCCGAAGTATCACACGCTTTCTTACAATCTACCACGTTTTAACAAGCATGCCTATGTTTCGCCAAAGAACCGTTGTAATTCTGATCTCAGAGATTTTTACACGCGCATTGCCGAACTCGTTCATATATATTTTTGAGCCAAAGTTCACCGTCCATTTGAAGCTGATATACAGGAACATTGTTCCCGTTAAGATAATTAAAATGATATTTATACTGATTTTTGAAATGCTGAACGTTTCTAGTTGTGGGGTCGCGAGTTATCTGCAGGCTTTGATTTTATGTGAAATCGGGTCGCGAAAAAAAAGTTTGTGAACCACTGATATCGTCGACTGAGTTTCTCTGTAAATTTTGATTCCGGCTATTACAATTGGAAGTCTGTTTGACCATCCGTGGCGCTGTGATAAACTCAAAATCAAATGTGGAAAGCTCCAAAAATATTGACAGTTGGGTTGACGAAGCTCCTATGAATGGGCCAGGTTCCGATGTTTATTTTGGTTCTATTGGAATTATGGTCTAACCCGGTACACATACTACTTTCTGGTGTCCGCCATTTTAGTGCACATCATTCTGGAGTGCCGAATAATGTGATCAAGACTGAGGAACCATTGGAAACTGTCTATGGAATTTCTGTGGCGTTCCGTTAGCTTTGGTGCCCTAACCATGTGCTTATTTTGGTTAATCAAGCACTGGGAACCACTCTCAGACGGCGAAGAGTCCAGCAATCCGCCCGCATATAGTTGGGTGCTCCCGAAGTATTCGTACCAAGATGGCGCGATCTTGGTACGAATACTTCGGAGCGCCTATTATAATTGAATCTGCTAACGCAAACCGGGGAATCAGCAAAAAAGGGGCGTGCTGGTTCGAATACTTAGCACAATTTTATCGCGCGTTCTTTGTCAGTTGCAATCTATACGCGGAAGCATTTAAATAATAACCTATGATGTCATACTATCATACACACATTACCGTCTATGACAAAATAGTATGTTTACTCTAACTTGGATACAATTTTTCATTGGTTATGTACGATTCATTGATAAATTTGCACATTACATGAAAATGATACTGAAATTACAGACTTTTTGACAGAGTGAAATTAAATAGTTACAACAGGAATTGGTATTTTGTTTTTGCCCGGGTTCACATGTAGGCCGTAGTATTACGAAGTTAGATTAGCTATGTTAGCTCGAATGTTGCTCACAGTGGAAAAAGTATTGGAAGAGGAATTACACGCAACCTCTGGGGAAGAGAAGATTTATTTTAGGCTCCTATTTGCAAATTTTGCGTTTGAAACAAAATCAGTCTGCAATGAAAGCTTTCAAGCTGTTGTTCATGTGCATTGGATTCGCTACGACAGGTGAATTGTTTTATTATTGATATGTAGCGAACGTGGATTGTAACGTTATTAAACCTCTTCAAATTAATAGTATGTTGCATTCTGCAAAATGGGTCAATTCCAACGCGACAGCGATAAAGCTTTGGTCCCCCATTTGTAAGGAACCCATTGGATGACGCATGTTTCCGGTCGCGCCTAGTGCTGAAATCTATATATTGTGCTTGTGATTATTCTGATTTTACTGCATTAAGAGTTGAGTGTTTTCAATTTATCTGTATTCGGATTGCATTGTGCATCTTTCAATATAACAACATTTGGCATCCAATACATTGTTGTGTGCTTTATTGATCTCTGAAGCAATCGAGATTGAGGTTACATTCCATAACGTGTGTCAATTCAATAACACGGGAATCGAATATACATATGGGGGCAAACAATTCCCTATAGATAATTTGTTGCCGGAATGTGGCTCAGCGTCGGCTGCTTTTTTAAGTTTTTACGCTGTTTTATATCACACCAAGAGCGATTTTGGGAAAATCCCCTCTCCATTACAACAAAACTGAAATTTAAAAGAAACCGGGTGATTTTCTAAATATTCATGTCAAAAGCGAAAGGACATTTAGGTTAAAAGCAGGAGAGGAAAAAGTTGTCTTCGTATCTAGTGCCGAGCCCACATTTTCAAATCGTTTTATTTTTTTCGAAGTCGAAGTTTGTAAAAAGTTTCCTTGAAAGTGAAGTCTTGTATTTAAATATCCTTGAGTGGAGTCTTATTTTTAAATTGCTCGAAGTTTGGAGTTATATTTTTGAATTCACCGGAGTTGAGATGTTCGTAGTTTTTATCAATTCAAAATTATGGCTCATGAAAAACTCAATAAATTTATTTTTCTGGGGTTTTGGGTCATAGCCAAGTTCTTTGTATGATACGTACAATGCTAAAATTTATATCTCTATCCTTGGATTCGGCAACCTTTTGTCCCCCGCGGGCCAAAATTAAGGGTTGCAAGTCATTTGGCGGGTCGCGCGTATATTTAGAAAGTTGAAAACCGAACGAATGATACTTTTTATAGGAAAAATCAAGCAGTGATACATCTCTCGAATATAATATAGATTTATTTCCTCATAACATTTCATCTTAAAAAATTCCGGATCTGGCCCGCGGGCAGTAGGTTGCCGACCCTGCTCTATATACAATCAGCTAACATTATTTTATTTTCGCATTTCTAGTCGATATTTCCGTGAAAGTTCAATTCAGGGGCAGTGCAATGATGACGTCACTCCGATATGAGGAAACGATCACGGTGAGCAATTATGATCTATTTTGGGGATCATTAACCTTTTTATAGCTGACTCAACTTTACTGTTTTATTTTACAGGCAAATAACGAGAGAGGTGAGTTACGGGTTAACATACTGCGTTATGCTCTTTTATAAAGTAAATTTAGGGACTGGGATAGCTTTGTGATTTGGAGAATTTAAAGTCTAATTTTGCAAATGAAACAAAAACAAGAGAGCAACGCTCAAATACATGGACACGTGGACCAGAGCGAAGCAGTCCTTACCTTTTACGTTACCGGTACCGTACCCTCAAAAAACTTCGAGTTTTCAGTCGCAACAATTTTCACAGTCAGCCGTCACGCTTGGCGGATAAAAACCGTGTTCCCATAATTAAAAAGTAATACAGCGCAATTTTGGATGAAATAATAGATCTCATAAGATTCATAGTAAATTTAGGAATAAATAAAAAGTAATAGCCTTCTGACGAAAAAAATCAATCTTTAACCACTGAAAATTTTAAAGCAATTGGTCCAGTATTCGAAGGAAAAATCGATTTTTTAATGATAATGATGACGAAAAACAACAACAGTATTGGTATGATCGTTATGTCCACTGACGTGTCCAAAAAATATCTGTGACTGCAAAAACCCGTGTTTTGAAACTATGATCAAATTCGAGAGTTGTCAACAAATAGCAGATATTTTCATCCAAATATACTGCATAGGGCGCACGTTAAATCTTTTTTCTCTTTCAAAAATGCGCCTTATATGCCTGTCTGCCTCATGTATGATCCGGCAGTGCTTTATTGCCTACATTTAAAACCAGTAACTGTACCATTGTTTTGTCAACAAACCGCATTTTACGTTTTTTTTTTAGTTTAATGAGCTTTGTATGGTAAACCGATACTTGTCGAAAACCGTCGCGTCTCATATTCAGATGCGCCTTATGTGAGGGTGAAACCAGAATCCTCGCAACTTATCGAGGATGCGTCTTATGGACCGTGAAATACGGTACTCAACAGTAAAGTAGAAGTTGAAAATACGTAATTTCTGTTTTGCTCAGAATTAAGAGAGAAATTGACTGAAAAGCTGGAAAACGCATTACCTGACAAACAGATTGATGAAGTTACTATAACAACCGAGGTTTCCCATGGCAACGAGGTTCATTCAACCAAAATCACCAAGTTTGACGTAACAACTCGTAATGAACTGGATCTGGATGGCACGACTTTCGATACTTCTACTAAAGGTGATGATATCACAAAAGCCGCTACGTCATCTAGCTACCGCACAGAGAAAGTTCGTGACGTCACAACAACGACTGTGGTCGAAAACGGTTTCACAACTCAATTGATCACTTCCATTGCTTCCACTAAGTCGTTCCAGGAGTCGACTGCGGCCACAGGTTACATTTTTTTCGGTTCACGCTGAATGAGAGGAAAGCTTATTAGATTGTTTAGCGGCACTACGAGTTAAGGAGGTCTATCTTAAGTACGGGTGAATAAAATGAATAAAAAATAGTTATAAGTAACTGACTCAATTTTTGTTCAGGCTGTGTCGTTGTTCACAATTCAAAATGTTTTCGAGCGATCGTTTATGACTACATGAACATCTCCTTCAGCGTTGCTGAATCTATCTGCGGAAACAAACTTGCTAACATTTATGACATCACACACTTTAACCTACTTCAAGATTATTTACGACCAATGATTCCTGATGGATGGTTATACGCTTGGGTTCGTACAGGAATGACTTACAAGGTGGGTGAAGTCTGGGCCATGTTGCTTATGTGACCTTACATGAATTATTTATATTTTATTGTATTTCTGGCAACTGGTATTTTCCCAAATTGCTTAGTATGGTGGATGAAAAGGGATAGCTGAACATGATCAATGACGTTATCATTTAAAGATTGCGAAGCATGATCAATGACGTCATCATTTATAGATGACTGAGCATAATCAGTGAAGTCATCTTTTACAGATGGCGAGCACACTTATTCGTAAATCCACATTGCAGCAGTTATCACATTTGGTATTGCTAGATTTCTGAAACACACATTCTTTATATCAACAGAACGGTCAGCTGTATTCAACGACGGGCCAAGCTATATCTCTGCCAACTGAGGTTTGGTTTCCTAATTATTATCCATCTTCTGATGCATCATACACAACTGTTGTTGTTCGTGTCAGTCGAAACCCGGAAGACGCATATCAAGGGATTTATAATGCGACTCCTTCCATAGGATTTAACGGAGGCCTTTGTGAAAATGAATTATAACTCTATTCATCGAATGATTGATAAACTAAAACTGTAGCATTAGGGTTATTAGTAGGTTGCATGTCCGCATTATATTTTGAATGAGATGCAAAATTTATATATAGAGAGACAAGCCTTAACACAGCACAATCCTGTCCACTAATCTCAAATTTGAGGGCTATATGATGCGTATTCAAATGAGGTTTTTCTTGCGTGGGCATTTCTAAAAAAACGCATTTTGCTTGTTAGATTTCTACCGCATAGAATATTTTTCAGATGTGTCAAGAAATGTTTTAACTTATTATTCTACCTAATTTGTTTTTAAGTGTAATGGAATAGTGCACGATATTGTTCATTCCAATTTTCCTTATTTTAGTTCTATCACGAGTTCGGAGACTAGCCAAGTGACTCCCATAGTCTTTTTAACTGAAATTATGGTCTAATCCTAACCTGGTACACACCTGGTACAATTTCTGACTTCAGCTCCGAAAAAGAAAATTTCCTTTCAAATTTTGATAACGAAAACGTTGACGTTTTTGAGGCGATACTCCCGAAGTATGCGAGCCAAGATGGCGGACACCGGAACGTAGTATGTGTACCAGGTTAGGGTTAGGCCATGATTTTAGGTACGAATATATTACGGGAGTCACTTGACTAGTCCCCGAACTCGTAATAAAATTATGGCCTAACCCTAACCTGGTACACATACTACGTACAGGTGTCGTCATCTTGATTCACATACTTCGGGAGTACCTTCAAGTCTTTTTGAATCAATGTTTCAAAAGCCTAATAAAATGAATACTTTTGGAACTAACAAATAAGTTATGACTAATCATATAACCACCGAAAGTTTGCGATTTTGAAAAATTCAGACTCTCGCTCTATTAGAAATTTGCTGAACTTTTGTCTTCACTGCCCTGTATTTAGTAAAGTTTGTCATCATACGAAGATTCGTTCTGTGCAGATTAGATTACTCCAGAAAACTCGAAATCAAAATTACAACACAGAACTAATTCGATGTAAACATTTTTGCCAGTTATTTATTTCATATTTAATTCAAGAGTCTTGCTGCACATTTACACTTACTTGCGTTTCTTGTCATAGTTGTAAAATGCTTGTCTGAAGAAGTCTGACCTTGGTCAGACGAAACGTTACGTCTAAGTGTGCAGCAAGACTCTTGAATAGAATAGTCATTTTCACTCTTGCTATAGCATTCTTGCGTTATACGCATACGGATACACCTGCGCGAAGGCATAGAGCAAGGAAAGGTAGTTAGTTTCACGTCACCCCAACTGTTAGTTTATTTATAATATTACTTTACTATTTCTCTGTATTTATTTCATCTCTTTTTAACTTTTTTTCCAGTCGGAATCTTTTGTTACACCGAGACTCACATTTACTTGATTTTTGGAACGTAAACTTTGTGACAGTTTAACTTGTTTATTTGTTATTTTTGACGCCGTAATTTCCCTTGAGTGTGTGAGTACGCAAATAACAATCTGTACACTTTATTGCAAACAATTGAGAGAGTATTCGAATGCGGTTGCCTGTCCTAGCAGTGTGTTCCCCAGCTTTTTATGTTAGGGGGGGGGGGGGGGGGAGAGATATTTTGTTATTAGTGATAAAACTATTTATCACTTATAAAAATGTGTTATGTATTTGACTGACTATGTATCTTATATGACTTATGTAATTCAACGGCATATGAGCTACTTTCCAAATATCCAAGCACATTTTTATTTACGTTGAGAAATAAAGTATGGTGTCACACCTGAAAATTAGGGGTTTTTCACCCCCTTATTAGGAGGGATGTAGGGAAATCAATGTGTGCAGACATGTCATGGATAGTTTCGGCACTCTGCCATTAGGTAGCGCTTTGCTCTTGCAGAAAGGGGCGCTCGTTTCTTTGTAAATGAGTTTTTCGACATTAGGAATATTGCGCGCGATAGAATGATGGGCGCTCCCGTTGTATTTGTACCAAGATGGCGCACAACCTGCTAACCCTAACCTGTTACACATACTATGTTCAGGTTGTGCGCCATCTTGGTACGAATACTACGGGAGCACCGATTAATGGGTGCTCCCGAAGTATGCGAACCAAGATGGCGGACATCGGAACGTAACATGGGTAACAGGTTAGGGTTAGGCGATAATTTTTTTCCAATTTTCCTTATTTTAGTCCTATTATCAGTTCGAAGACTAGCCAAGAGCCTCCCGTAGTATTTATACCTAAAATTATGGCCTAACCCTAACCTAGTACACATATTACATTCCGATGTCCGCCATCTTGGTTCGCATACTTCGGGAGCCCCGATTAATGTTTATTAGGGTTTCTCCATATTGCCTGGTTTAATGATATTTCTATGAGCATTATTTTTGCCATGTGATTGTATTTACAGTTATAGTTTATTATTATTTGTTTTCATTGACGAATATCAGACAAATTCGGTATGTTTTAATTTGGAACTCTTTTTGATTTGAAGACTGCAAGTTATTTAATAACAATTTGGTTCGACCCGATAATTAACTACATTTGATAATTGTATGACTATTGTATATACTTTTGCATCCAAACACGAAATATAAAATTTATATTTATGTGACTTACTACCGTGTTTCCCCGAAAATAAGGCCTAGTCAATAACGCGAAATTTTTTTCATTATTTAGTCGATAGCAAGAAATCTCTCCTACACATTTTAAATGATTGATAATATCTGTTTTGCAGTTCTTTTGAATAAAAATGTGTTATTTATAAGTAAAGAGATATCTGTATTATATTTTGTATATTTTTAAAATTTTGTAATTCTCTACTTTTTAATTTTGTTTTTGATAAATGAAAATATAAGACATCTCCCGGAAATAAGCCCTAGTGTTTTTTTCGGAAAAAAAATTGAAATAAGACCCAGTCTTATTTTCAGGGAAACACGGTATGCAGTGTAAAAGCTCTAGCGTTCATTGATTTGTGTAGACTTCCAGAAGGCCGAATTAATTATTTATTGCAAGTATTTTGTGCTGATTTGTTTTACATTTGTGCATTTGTTTTAAGATAATCGTGTCAACTCTATACTCCAAGTTGTGTGATTTCCTGAATTTGAGGATACAAATTTGGGCGCTCCGGAAGTATTCGTACCAAGATGACGCACAACCTGAACAACCCTGGCCAGGTACAATACTATGTTCAGATTGGGCGCCATCTTGGTACGAATACTTCGGGGGCACCCTAATTTGGGCCTAAAAGACAAGGTTATTGGACTGTTAACAAATCCTAGTGTGCAGTCGGTGTCGTCCAGGCCACAAAGAACAGATGTTATACCTTTCACTTCATTCAAAGCACTTTTAGTAATATCTGTGTCGAGAATAATCGTTTATAGAGCTGTTCTACGTTACTTTTGGCTGGAATATATAAATTGTTATCAAAACATTTTTACATGAGTACAAAAGCCCATAGTGTAAATGTTTCATGTCTCCCTTATGTATTATGTATTAAATCAATTACTAGGTCTATATATTTGCAAAGGAACATTTCTCGCAGATGAATACTGGGCCAATTGCTTTGAAATTTTCAGTGGTTAAAGATAAAATTTTTCTCCAGAAGGCTATTACTTTTTTTTCGCTATGACGTCATCAAAATTATTGCCATTGGGTGGAGCTACGTGTCCATATATTTGAGCATAGCTGTCTTGTTTTGTTATGATATACAGGGTGGCCCAAAAGTAGGTACACAGTTATTTTATTTATTTTTTATTACCTTCCAAGCAGCTAGAAAACTAATGTAAAATTCACACTAGATTTATCATCTAAAAAGCAATTTTCGTGGTACTTAACAAGTAACGTAAAGTGAACTGCAAGTAGCTTCAAAGCATATAAAATAGTTTAATAACTGTATACACCTACTTTTGGGCCACCCTGTATATAATATGAGGTTGAGAGAAAAACTTGCCTTGAGAAAGCAATTTGTAGTGCAACAGATTCAGTCAAGAATAAAAAATGGATATAGACAAATTAACAGGATTTCTCTAAACGTAATATGATGCCAGAAGTCTGTTTCTAACAATTCCTTTGTTATTATCATCTCGTTTTCACAGGCTTTTGGAAAAGTATTCAAATGTGCAGCGGATGATTTAGACATGCATTTGATTTATGATGTTTCACATAATATTGCAAAAGTCGAGGAACATTTTGTTGATGGGAAACAGAAAACTTTACTTGTGCATAGGAAGGGCTCAACACGAGCTTTTCCACCACACCATCCTCTTATTCCTGTTGATTATCAGGTGTGTGCATTTGTTAGGTTCACTGATTTTTGGTCACAGAGTATTTGGACTATTGAGGTGGCATATTGGGGCATATTCACAAGAGGAACGCAAATTGCCATCTTTGGTATAACCATTAATATGCATAACTTTGCTAAAGATGAGTTTCCTATCTCTGAGTGAGTGCCTGTAACTTTGCTCAGATATGAGTCTCTTTTATTTCTGAGTGAATGCCTGTAACTTTGCCTAGAGATGAGTCTTCTTTATTTCTGAGTGAGTCTGCTTTATTTCTGAGTGAATGCATCTAACTTTACTCACAGATAAGTCTCCTTTATTTCTGAGTGAGTGCCTGTAACTTTGCCCAGTGATGAGTCTGCTTTATTTCTGCATGAAAGCGCATACATTCTTTGAGCAAATCCTCAAACAAAATCATCAAAGTCATTTGAGAGACGAAATGATCAATCACAGCTTGATAAAAGAGTGCAAAGAATTATATTATTTTGATTTCCTGTAAGCTTATGATTAGTCAGTTTTATACACAGTAACTAAATGCATGTATGTATTGTCGACTCCTCTGCAGCATATTCTTGCTATACAACGGGTGTTTTTAAAATTATATCTTATTTGTTTTTCAGTTAACAGGCCAGCCAGTCCTGATAGGAGGAACCATGGGAACCTGTAGTTATGTATTAACTGGTACTGCGCAAGGAATGGAAGAGACTTTTGGCACAACTTGCCATGGAGCGGTAAGTTTCTTAATAAAATAATAGCTCCAACTTCCTTAGTATGACTTCAAGTATTTCGCTCTGAACAAAGTGTTGTACAAGAAGCAGCCCCTGTTGTCTCACAATATATAAGGTGTTATTATCAATGGCAAGGACCAGTTTGGCATGCCGACGCATTAGACCACCCTCGTTGGTGCAGCGGGATGCCATGGAACATTCCAGAGGCTTGATGAATCCCTGCGCAATTATTTAATTGTCCATCATTGTCTGTTATTCTTAAGTCATTTAACCTGTTTTCACAGGGCCGTGCACTCTCTCGTGCGAAATCACGAAGAAACATCGGATATCAAGACGTCTTGAACAAACTCGCTGACCTCGGAATTTCTATTCGTGTGGCATCACCTAAACTTGTTATGGAAGAGGTAATTTTGGGAGTTATTTTGATCTCTCTACTCTAAATAATGCCCTGTACAAGCAGCTAATCCTATTTTTGACTTTTCGTCCTGGTATATTACATCATATGCCATAGTATAATTAATTTGTCTTCTTGATGTCTTGACTATCCCCTC